GCTCTGTTCAACAAATTCATTTCCTATTTTCATTCCTATTATAATTTTAATAATTCTGAAAAAAATTTTCAAGAGAATATACAATACAAAAGAATCAAAAATCATTAATCATTGTGTTATCATTTAAAAAAAAAAAGAAAAATTTTAATATATATATGCAAGTATAATATGTTACAATATTATTTATAAAAAAAGCACATTGATCCGAGAATAAAATAAAATAAAAAAGGAATTTTTATCAAATGACATACATTTTATTTATTTTTGCATCATTTCAGTATATGTAATATCATATTGTTAAATTCATTTCAAATGTACTAATAGAATAGATTACTCTCGAGAATAACTATCTTTCTAAATTAATTCTACCCAAAATGCTGCTAACTTTTCCTATTAACCACCAAAGAAAAAGGAAAAAAAGATATCAAAGGTATTATTAAAGGTATTTGAATTTTTTATAAAAAATTTTTTTTAATAAAAAAAATAATATTAATTTCTATTTAATACTTTCTAATGTATTAAAAAAAATATTAGTAAATTTTTTAAAAAAACAACAAAAACAAAAAATTTTTGACATTTAAATTAAATGTCAAAAGAAAAAAAAAAGAAAATTAAGTCTGAATTATCTTTCTGTTAACCATTTTAACAATTGGAAAAAAAGAAAGAAAGAAAAGGAATCAATAAATTGAGTTAATAGTGAAAAGTAAATTAACAAAAATGGCTAAATAATAAATGTTTTATGGAAATGAATTGTTCTCTTACAACGCTTCAAACTTGTTTTTCTCTCAGGTAAATAGTATTTGCGTAAATAATGCGAATAATACTTACATTCATTCTTTTTTCGACAAATTATTTTCGCAAATTTAAATGGTACATTAATTGTCAAAGTCGAATATACTGTCACTGTTACATTTCTTCTCTCTCCTTAGTCATTGTATTGTTTTATTATTTATTATTATCATCATTATTATTATTGTTATTACCATTATTTATTATTATTATCAATATCATCACTACTATTATTTATTATTATTATTATTGTTATTACCATTATTTATTATTATTATCAATATCATCACTACTATTATTTATTATTATTATTATTGTTATTACCATTATTTATTATTATTATCAATATCATCACTACTATTATTTATTATTATTGTTATTACCATTATTTATTATTATTATCAATATCATCACTACTATTATTTATTATTATTATTATTGTTATTACCATTATTTATTATTATTATCAATATCATCACTACTATTATTTATTATTATTATTATTGTTATTACCATTATTTATTATTATTATCGATATCATCACTATCATTATTTTTTATTATTATTATTGTTATTACCATTATTTATTATTATTATCATTACCATTATTTATCATTATCATCATTACTATTATTTATTATTGTCATTATCATCATTTGTGACTATTATTATTATTATTATCATTGAAATAGTTATACGATGTACTTGTAATGATGATGGTCGATGTAATTTTGGAAATATTTACGCATCGTTGTATTATGTATTCGCTTCATGAAAGTATTAGCACCCAAATAACTTGTTCAATTTGCACTTTAGAAATTATTAACAAAGTTCGAGAAGAAAGCTAGCCCACGTAATTCAATTTCAAGACTTAATAATAAAATTTTTAAATGGAAAAAAGAGATGAATTTGAGAAGGAACAAAATATTCTCTTACATCCATTCATTTCTTACATTTTTAATTTCAAGAATACAGGAAAATTTTTCAACTTTAACGATAATGTTTGAAAAAAAAAAAAAAAAAGTGTTCCCTTTTCTCAGATAATTTCCCGGATTTATAATTTAAATAGAAACGAACAAGTAATTAAAGAAAAAAATTATTTTCTTTTATAAGCAAAAAGTAATACATAAGAGAAATGTATTAAAGTTATTTCATTAAAATTGATATAATCAAATCTTTTATCACAAACCACAAAATTTCGCTTTTTTTCTCTGCTTTAATTGTATTTTGACATCAATGATTAATTAAAATTGAAAAGCAAACAATTAATGGATGATAAATAAGTTATAAAAGTAATCTTAATTAATGACACTAACATTTACATTTTAATTATTTAATTACAATTTCTTTATGAATGATTTTCTTAACAGTATTTTACATTTGGAATGTTTTGGTAATACATTTTGTGATTTAAAAAAAAAAAAAATCATTAATTGTTATCACGAGAACTCAACGTTATCAACCAATCATCATATGATTTAGCTTATGAGATACGATTATTTTATCAGAAATAACAAAATAAAATTTATAGTAAAAATTTTAAACGAAAAAATCTTGAAAAGAGATTGCAGTAAAGTAATTAGTTATCATATCAAATGATAAAATTGCGATAATAGTTATATATTTAATTTTTTTGTTATATATTTTTATAGTTATATAATAGTTATATATGTTATATAATAGTTATATATGCGATAATAGTTATATATTTAATTTTTTTGTTATATATTTTTATAGATAATAGTTATATTTTTAAAGTAATTAGTTACCAATTTTAAGCGATAATAGTTATATATTTATAACAAATTTGAAATTAAAAATGAAAAATTAGGCCAACTTTGAAGAGAATCTGTAAAATTTTAAATAAAAAAGTTTAGTTTAAATTTCATTGAACATTTGCTGTGCAAATAACAAATAACAAATATTTTTAAATGGAAATATATGAAATGTGAAAAAATAATGCAAACGAAATGACAAAAATGAGAAACGATGAACTAATGAAGCGATCATTTGATCAGTCGATCATTTGATCATTTGATCAGTTAAGTTTGATCAAAACAATAAGTTGTTGCATTGTTAGAGATAAATAAATAGATTGATCTAAGCATTTTAAATTTAAAAAAATTTTTAATTCTACCAAAAAAAAAGAAGAATAAGGAAAAAAATGACTGAGATCACTAAAAGTATTTCTTATCTATGAAAAATAAAAAAAAAAAAGAATGAAATTTGTCCATTTGAATGACAATTTTTGAAATTGGTAATTTACCATTCATATCATAGAAAGTAATCTTGACATGATATTATAAGGATGAAATGCTTCATTTTAAATGTATTAACCATATTTTCAATTTTACTGAACGCTTATCTTTTTAATCTCAATCAATAAATATTCGCTGAAAAAAAAAAACTTTCTAAATTGCTTGAAAATTTCAAAAATAACATCATTTGGAAAAATTTTTAATCAATTTCAAAAAATATTATCATAAAAATTTTCAATTATTTTGCTTTAAATTAATTAATTAATTTATTCCTCATTTTTACTCTTTTGTTTTAAACTTATTTATTATCATTTATCAAAAAAAAATTAATAAATGATTTAAAATTTAATAATTAAATTGAACTTGTTTGCTTTTTTATCATCTTCGTTCGTAAAAATTCTATATATATCAATACAAAGTGAAATTTGAATTTAACATTTAAATTAAATTTAGGTTGAATTTTCCATTTTAAATTGGATTTAAATTTATAAAATTCTTGAAATTTGTTTATTAGCTGAAATAATTAATTAAAAATTATCTTTCTGATCACACATATTGTCAATAAAGAATTTTAAATAGAAAATGAGAAAAAAAAAAATGAATTTAAAAAGGAATAAATAATAATTTCATATTCATATAGAAAGATGTCATTTCATTTACTTACACAAATTTAAATTATCTAACTTCTTGCTATTTTCATTTTACGACGTATGAATTTTGATTAGAGTATGGAACATTCATTTAATTAATATTCTTCAATTCAATGTTACAAATTCTTTTCGATACTTCAACTCGACTTTTCGGCACTCTTCTCGATTGGTCAGTTCAGATGAAAGAGGTCACAATGATATTATAGAATAAAATTAATCAAATAATAAACACAATAACAAACGAAATTCATTGTAATTATTTGAGACGTTAACTACTATCAATTCTAAAATTCGAAATTTGACCGAGTAATTTTATCATTGCAATTCTTTTCATCAATTTATATTAACAAGTAAATTAACAGAGAGAGAGAGAGAGAGAGAGAGAGAGGGATAGAGAGAGAAAAAAAGGAAATCCTCAGTAAAATGAAACGAAGAGTAATAGAATTGTAAATTTGAGTAATTTGAATTTAATATACAAACAAACCAATCGATTAATTTATTAGAAGAATGCAAATTAGAATTGAAATTAAATTTAATTAGATGAAAATAAAGTGAACAATATGTCTTGTAATGAAAGTTTTCTTTATTCCTAAAAAAAAAAAAAAAAAAAAATGAGAAAGTTTTGAGAGAGAAAAAGTCATAGATAAAAAAATTAACACTTATTTTTTTTCTTTATTGATCTGTTTGTTTAACAAATTCTTTCTCTTTTTTCTTTGAATATTTCTTAACTTCCTTAGAATTCACATGGCTTAGATAATATAAAAGAGATCTTATATGACCAAGACTGCTCTGTTTACACTAGGCTTTTGATTTTCGTAAAAAAAAAAAAAAAAAGAAAAAAGAAAACGAAGCAACTTTACGATGTGAATAAAGTTTTTATTAAATTAATTGAAAGATTTCATCACATATTTATAAAAATAAAAATAATTAAATTTGAATTAAATAATATTTCATAAATAATTAAATAATATACTATTTCAATATTTTGTCACATATTTTAAATATAAATTAAATCAATGAATGATATTAGCTAACTAATATACAAATTATCATATGTGAATCAATTTTAAATTTAACAAATCTTTTATTAGTAAAATCTAAATCATTCATTTTTAAATAATACATTGATTTACTATTTGTTATAATAATAAGCAATAATAATAATAATACATCAATAGAACAAATATATACGAATAATTCAATAATAGAATATTTTATTTATTTAAAATAAAAAATTGATAAAATAAAAAGAAAAATAATTGTTATTTTAATTTTTCTTACGTATAAATTAAAATTTTGTTAATTATTTTGCTAATGCAAAACCAATTCGTTCATTTCCAATATCATAAATTTGACAATATTGTCGAATAAATGGGTCACCAAATATCCATGTTGGACCAAAGCCATTACCTTCCATTGGAAAGAATGAAAAAATGCAGGTATTATTTTCAACCTAAATTTTATAAAAATTCAATAATTGTATAAAAATTTTTTAAAATAAATATAAACAATATTAATATATAAAATAAATATAAGCAATATTATTAAAATAAACATGAACAATATTATGTATTATTGTCAAATTTCAATTTCATTTAATAATTATTAATAATTAATTTTTCATTTATAATTTTTCTATCATTTATTCGCAAATATTTTTCCTAAATTAATGAAAAAAAGAAAAAAAAAAGGGAAATATACTTTTTGCTAAAAATATTTTTCCTAAGTTATTTAATCTGTTTAATCATAATTAATATTTTTGCTTAAATTTAAGAAATGTTTAAAACAAAAAAAAAAAAAAAATAGAAAATAAATTTTAAAAGAATTGAATTGTTTAATTTATTGTTATTTGAAATTTAGAACATACCATAACAATATAATTTTCTGATTGTACATTATATTCATGTGAACCAATAATTAATGTCACTGGTGGTGGCTTAGAATCACATTTTAAAAAGAACATTTCTTCATTTTGATTGTACTAAAATAAATTTCTTCCTTTTTTCTTTTTATATTCTTGATGTAATTAATTGTTTATTCTTAATGTAATTAAAATATTCTTAATGTAATTAATTGTTTATTAAAAATAAAATAAATAACTATTAAAAAATGTAACTATGATTAGTTGTATTAGTGATAATTGATTAATTTCATATTTAGAATAAAATCTATATTTGATTTTAATTAATTAATTCTAATTAATTACTAAAAATATTTTTTTTGATTGAAAACAAGAAAATATACTTTTGCTTTAACAGCTGCACCCAACTGATTAATAACACTTTTTGGCCCAGCAATTAACGATGTCCCAGTATCCGATATTGCTTCCCAAGTACCAGTAATGGAATATTGGCCAGCTTTAACACCACGTAAACGAAATTGCCAGAATGTTGCTGATGATAAGGGTTCATAATCAATAACTTTATCACAATTTAAATCATCTATAGCACCGTATGAGAAGACACCACCAAAAACATTTTCTTTTGCACCCTTTAAATATTTCATTTAAAAGTAATACTTTTTTTTTGTCAAAATAAAACTTTAAATTATCAAAATGCTCATTTTATTCATTAAAAAAAAAAAAAAAAGAAATGAAATAATTTTAGCCAACAATTAATGCTTAACTAAATGTATGTTTTTTTCAAAATTTTATTTAATACTTTTAAACATTTACATTTACCTTTATTTACTTTATAATATTCCAAACATTTACCTATCATAATTACTTTATAATACTTCCAAACATTTACCTATCTTTATTAATTATCAGTAAACTATTAATATTATAATGTGTAAAAAAAAATTTTTAGTTTTTAAGGTATAAATTTTAAAAGGAAATAAAATAAATGAAAGAGAATTTTTTCTTACTCGACGATCTAACCATACGGTAAAAAGTGGCAACTTCATAATACTTTGATTAATTGCAGCAATTAATGGTGGTGTGACACCATCTACAGCAATTGATGCAAATGCTAAGCCAACAATGCCATCCACTGGATCATCTTTAAACCCACTTAATTTTCGAGCCATACCAAATGTTATATTTGGTATTACTAATGAATCTTTCATAGTTGGTCCAAACTAAAAAGAAACGAATGAATAAAATAAACTTTTTAGTATGACAATAATTTTGCTAGTATTAAATACATAATCACTTTCATATACGAAAATTGTGATAATTAAATTGTTATTATTATAGAAAGGATAATTATTAGTGTCACTTCATTTAATATCGTTTTTGAAATTGTATTTTTGATAATAAACTTTTGTTATTAGTATGTATAACAGAAGATCTTCGAGATCGTTTATTTCCTAGTTCCTAGATTTTTTTTTTAGCTAATTAGGATTGAAAGACTAATAAAGAATTGAACCAAGTCAGATAATGATTATAATTTGTTATTAAAGGAACACAAATTATTTATTTCTATTAATTCTAATAAAAAGTAATTTGATTAATTAGTAAGTGAAATCTTTATACTTCAAAAAAAACTTATAGCATTTATTTAAAAAATTTATCATAGATATAAGATTCATGAAAACTTTTTAATTAAATTTGGTAAAGAGTAGTAATTTTTTTCAGTTATTTATTTATTTAATTCAAAATTTTCACCAGTATGTTCACTCATAAATTTATCCTTACTTTTTAGAAAAAAAAAATTAGATTGTACTAATCATTCTCCAATACAAGGAATAGTTTAGTAATGAAGCAATAAATCATACGTTATCCCAAAATAAATTTTATAAAATAAAAGAGCAAAAGAAATTTAAAAGAAATTAAAAATTTTAAGAATGGAAGAGAGAGAGAGAGAGAAAAGTTTTGATATTACTAACAGCAAAATAATCTTTTCCCAATAATCCCTGCGCATTTGATCCATCACCATATAGTATAGACCAGGTACGACCATCTTCTTGATAAGTTTTTGAAAGTGATGAATTGAAACGATTTTTTTGTAAGCAATCATCTGCGACACAATTAACTTCTGGAATCCAAACATTTGATGATCCTGTATCTAATACAACTAGAAATGTTTGTTGTCCAATAGGTGAGCCAAGCGATATGTTTGCAACATATTCCATATCATCGTAATCGTAAACCTAAATTATAACTATTCATCATTATCACTATCTTCTTTAATTATAAGTGAAAAAATAAATTAAAATTTAAGTTTGTTAATAAATTCATTATTACATTTTTTAAAACAAATCTAAAGCATTTAAAATACAAAAGAATATTTTATATAATTTTAAAAATTTTCGAACATTTCAAAAAACTGAAATCAATTTAACGATTCGATAGTTTCTTTCTTCCGTTTTTTGATAGAGATTTTTAATTAAGATCATTTTTTAATTAAAATAATATTTAAATAAGATATAAGCTATTGCATATTTCACTATTTTTCTATAATTGTCACTAATTTTTTTTTTTCAATTAATACCTTCCTGACTACTTGGAAAATTTTAATCTGATATGACCCAATCATTCTTATTACTTCATTGCTAGCAATCAGTAGCTAAACATCAAAAAAAGTTCAAATCAAACTCCTGCAAATTTAGTAAAAAATGAAAAAAATAATCGGTTGGGTACTTTTTGAAAAATAATGGACTGATTAGTGTTGATAATTATCAAACATCTGCTATCAGCTATTAACTGAAATAAATAATCTAGCAGAACGATTACATAATTATCAAAGAGTAAGAAATATTCATGTCATTCTCAGCATATAAGCTTAAATTTTTCATATTATTCACTTCTAAGATTAACTTTTAACTTTTATATTTTCAACTTGCATTTATACAAGATTATGCTATAGTTATGTTAGCAATAGAAGAGAAACTGGAAGAAGAATTAACAAAATTGATAATCTCGAGAAGGTTGGACCTGAATTTTCTGAGATGAGTCATTAATAATTTATTTATATAGCTTTAGAAAACTAATTTGCTTACTCTTTCTCCTATTTTTGTTCGTGATCGAGTAGCACGAAAATGATTCTTCTTTTTAAGATGTTTGGACCATAAACCTTTTTTAAAAAGTTTTTTTCGTTTACTTTCAATTTTTGTCAACTGAGTCTGCAAATAAATGATGGCAAAAAATATTGAGAAAAATTAATCATTTCTAAAATGATGAATAAACAAATGATTTTATAATAATATTGCAAGATAAGCTTCAGTAATATCAAATAAGTTAGTTTCAGATTTACTTAATGGTCGAATTAACTTAGTTAACTTACTCTGTGTACAGCAGCTACAATGCAAATCAGTACGGCTGCTATGATAAGTACCTTCATGAGTGAATAGCAAGTTTGTTGTATTTGTAATTAGTTAATAGAAACAAGAATTGAGTCCAAAATTTGCTGCAATATATTTTTTCAATCTTTTCAACTTTTAGACATAATTTTTGGACTTGGAAATGATACTTTTGGAAGCAAATATTACAAGAAGGAAACTTATGTGATACGAAAAAATATTGTTAATAATGAAATTTGCAACACTAACAGTAGGTACAAAGCGGTATTGTTTATGTGAAATGATTTCTCTCTCTTTTCCCTCTTATCAATTATGAAGTCTGTAGTTGCAAGTAGTTGCTCATTCCTCAATGTTAATATTGTGTATGCAAAGATATTTTGTTGATAATGTATAGAATGTGTTAGTATTATGTATTGTAAACAAAGAATATTTTTATTTGAATAATATTTTCAAGATAAATGAAGCAAACATACTGTAGGTTTGATTATGAAGTAGGGAAGGGTATAATATGAGTACTGTGAAATAGATCAACAATAATTTATAAATTCGTTTGCGATGATGGGAAAAAATAGGGTAAAAGTACTAAAATTATGTAGGGAAGAATAGAGCACGGGTACTGTACATTTGTGTAAGGAAGAGTATGGTATGAATACTGTACATTTGTAGACAGAAAATAGAGACGGGTGCTGTATATTTGTGTAAGGAAGAGTATGCTATGAATACTGTACAGTTGTAGACAGAAAATAGAGACGGGTACTGTACATTTGTGTAAGGAAGAGTATGCTATGAATACTGTACAGTTGTAGACAGAAAATAGAGACGGGTACTGTACATTTGTGTAAGGAAGAGTATGCTATGAATACTGTACAATTGTACAGAGAACAATGGAGCACGGGTACTGTACGTTTGTGTGAGGAAGAGTATGGCATGGGTACTGTGAAAGGAATCAACGGTACTATAGCTTTTATTATGAAAATAAGGAAGAATATGGTAAATAATGCTCGAATATAAATAAACAAATGATTATTTGCATAACTAAGGTAACTACCATTACCGTATTATTTCTCAAACAATTTCACCCATTGAGCAGTATAGTAGAGCAATGTGCATAAAAGTAAATATTTAAATTTAACTTGAAACAACTAGCAAATTTGGATTTAGCAAAGGAGAAAGTGCAAATATTATGCATACCATCTAAGATAAATGGTACATCTATTTTCATTAATCAACAAATGTTACTGCTTAGCTCTTGTAAATTAGTCCATTTTTATTATGTTCAAATTAATTATACAATAAATATTACGAAAATATGTGCAGTAGCATTCAATAACTGACGTGTCCTGCGTGATCTGTACACGTAAGCGTTATCAACTGATAATGTTGTGATACTATCAGTACTCACACATTTCAAATTCAGAAGCGAGCGATGATAAAATCCATCACAGTGTTTAGCATTGGAGCATTGCTCGACTTGCTACTTTCTGCTGATTGTTTAAGAATACTTTTTTGTGGTTTTGGTTTATTCCGTGTTTTGGGTATTTTACTCGTTGACTTGGGTATTTTCAACTTTAAACTAGTTTAATGATGTGATTTAATACTATTAATATTAGCAGTAAGTCGAAATTCAGGAAAAATTTAAGAAGCTATGTATTGATATGTTGTTTGTATTTGAAATCGTTGTATATTTGTTACATACGATAATAACTTTTGTTAATATTACTTATGAGAAAAGTTTTTCTTTTGTAGGTACTTGGAATATATCAACGAAATGGATGAGGATAGCATGAAGAAGTTGCACGAAGTAACTTATTTGTTATCTGTTTATCTTTTAATATTTTCTTTATTCTTGTTGTGACAAAGCTAAACGGTTACAAATGTCATGAAAGATTTAAATGTTTGATATTCTTAGCTTTTAATTCAGTAAACTCAACTTTTAGTTCATAGAAAATACCTTTTACAATTACTACTTAGTAAATTGTTTCTCAAATTAATGTATTCGCAAAATCATTTATATTTATGCTTTCAATGATTACATTTCATTTCAGAATAAGACGGGTGGTGAAGCAGGAAATGAACAGGCTGAAAAAGCGAAGGAAGCTGCCGAGCGTGAGGAAAATATGAAAAACCGCATTCTTTCACAGGTTTGACAATTTTTCATCTGTTTTATATTATCTTATTCTCGTTATCATTACTGTTACATACATAGCTCGGAAAGTCATCGCGGAAGTTCATCGAACTTTTTCATCACATTGCTCTAAGATTCGCTTATTTGACTTGAAACATTCAACTTATGATTTGCAATTTAAGTAAACAATTTGTTACGTTCAATGTTTTGCAAGTTGTAGGTTCTTGATCAAAATGCAATGGCTCGGCTAAGTAATTTATCTGCGGCAAAACCTGAAAAAGCTAGGATGGTGGAAAATATGATCGTACAAATGGCAAGGTGGGATATTTTCCCTAAGGTTTTTTTTTACATGACGATCTAAAATGAATTCTTTGCACATTCGTGATACTGTTCCTTCTTTCTCATCTTTCAAATTTGTCCTACAATGCAGAGAGACTTCTGACAGATGACAATTTCCATCGAATCTATGAAGATTACTTTTTTTTAGTTTTTATCCACTCGAGCTCAGATGTCATTGTAATTTTATGATCTTTTCTAATAGTAATGGATTTTTGATTTGTAATATAGTATCGACAAATCATTCTTTCTACCAATAAATTATTTTCGTCATATACTTTTTTATTTAGAAGAGGACAAATAGTGGGTAAAATGAACGATGAAAAGTTAAGGCAATTGCTGAGTCATTTTTCAGAACGTACTCGACAAACAACAACTGTCAAGGTAAATTCTTTTCATGCATTCTTTAATTAGAAACTTTACAACCTTCAATAGAAAGTTTCCAAAGACTACTGAAAATTTTAAACTTCCTTACAGTTCGATAGAAGACGAGCAGCCATCGACTCAGATTCCGATTGAACTAGTCCATGTCATATTTTTTTTGTATGCTTTTATAGAAATTATCTGGAATTTTGTTAGTTATTATGGTGATGTCGGTATAATTTGGAGCTTAGCTTGACAAAATGCCTAATCTATTATATGAATATCTTACCTAAGATCATCTAGTTTCCAAGAATATTGATTCGCTGAGTTATGTTTTGATCATAAGTCTCACCATCCCTTATTCACTTGATAAGTGACAAAAGCTATAGTAATGCCAGATTTTTGGGCTTGTTGACTGTTTTGATGATTTCGGTACATACTTGTTACCACTCAGTTATTTGCAATATTTAATGTTCTTCGAGAACTTTTTATTTCCGTATTTTGTTTTTTCTCGTATTCCAAGATGCAATGCATTCGAAATATTGCTTTAATCCTGAAAGAAAGATTACCAAAACCGTTTAAAGCATTATGCCATCTGCAGAGATATTTAATATTCGTTGAGAACTGCTACCTGGTTTAATTAGTTTCATTATGCAATTAAGTTCCATTAGGAGTGAAACTATATTAGATTCATTGTAGAAACCCACTGACTTTATATTCAAAGAAACTGGTTTTATGGATAAGTAGAAAGTGGAGATTTTTTCAGGAAAATTGGGGTCTTGTCTTTTATAGTTCTAAAATTTCATTCTTAGTTTTATAGGAAAATAAAGTTAGTTATCACTGAAATTTCAAAAATCTTAAAGGGAGTGGTTGTAATTTACATGCTATTTTAAAAAAAAGAACAATTTTGGCCTTTATTTCAGTTACAAAATCAATATATGAAAAACCAAATATCACTGCAATCGTCTCCAATATTCCACCTTCTGCATATCGCAAATCCTAAAAGAAAAAACATCTATTTGGGATTCACTTGACGGCTCTACTTTAGTTTAAGAATTTCTCAGCATCTCGGACGAGCGGAATTATATAAGTAGGCTGTAGTCTGTTAGAATTCAGAATCGATCTGTTGAAAATTGAAATCTCAGTCGAATTTGCAAAAGAATGATAAATCTCGGATGAAGCAATAAAATCAAGGAAAGATTCTGTCATCAAACGAAGTTAGTCTGGGAAAAGTACATACCGCAATAAAGTGTGAGGAAAAGCCTCGTATCTTAAGTTATTTATTCTTCATTAAATATGCAGCATCGTCGGTTCCTAGCAAGATGCTGAATGATAATTACTGTTTGTTGGATGCAAACAGAGAGAACTATTGAATGGAAATAATGAAAGAGATGCATCTTACGGGCTAAGTTGATCCGCAAATGAGCGAAGTGCTTTGGCTGTTGTCATATACTCCTTAGTATCTGGTAAAGCAGCACTCATTTCGATTAACAAAGAATCCGATAATGGCTTCAGAACATTAGGATCATAAGTTCCTATTTTTTCAGTTCGTGTAATATTGTTAATGATAATCTGAAATTTGGTCTTGGTACATCTTTTTGACAATCAAAATGACATAAACATTTCTGCTAAAAAATGGGAATGACTTCCTTCAACCAGTCAGCAACATTTACCTTTATATATCCTTTTGTAAATAGATATCCTTTTGTAAGGTATTCATAGTCCATCCTGAAAATAAATCATAAAGAAAAAGTCTAACTTGACTTTTAAGGGTTCAATTTTTTCAAATGCGTACGTTAAAATATTAGCTGACATGTCTTCGTGAATCTTCATAGTTTTGGAAGGTACGTCTAACTCATATATACCCATCAAATATAGAATACAGAAAGATGTAGGCCAGATTCACCTTAGTCCTAATGTTTTTACAAATTCCATCATATTGCTGGAATAAATTAGCGAATCAATAGATTTTCGTATAATAGTAGGACAGTGAACATCTGGTTCCGCCGCTCCCATATATCGGAAATGCCACTGAAAGCTGTTTGCATCTGGTCCGCCAAATTTTCGCCTTAAGCGAACTGTTACATCAGGGTCTTGGCCCGTTTCTGGAAAAAGCAGTAAGGAACTATGTCAATACGATGATGTCATGACAAAAACTTTTAGTATACGAAACAAATAGATTTAAAGTCTCTAATTCAAATATTTCTCTCTACATATTGATTCTATGTTTATAGTCATAGTCACAGAAAAAAAAAAAAACAGTATATAGTCATAGGAAAAACAGCTAGATCAACTCGAATTTTGATTTATAATGCTCAAAATTCTAGAACTACGAGTCAAAATAACTTAAATCCACGTACTGAGGCTAAAAACCATTTCATGTTCGTTAAATGAGTGCTGTCCGGGATCACAGAGACCACGTAATCGTTGCAGAAGTTTCTCCTCATGCTCTTTTAATACACTTCCATATAATATACATTCCTTCAACAAATCACTTTTCACATCTATCCATTTACCGATAACAGTGATTATGTTCAATAAATCAAATTAAATGAAGAAAAAAAAAATTGATGTGAATTACAACCTTGCATTGATAAGTTGAACTTGACGGAGATGTGCTAGTAATAAGCGGAACACTGGCAATAATTTCACGACTACGTTCCGGAAATCTTTCCATTTACTGATCGATTACAAAATGATCTGATGACTGAAATAGATTGTATATGATCAAAATGACTGGCCATATAACTAAGTGTCATAAATGAACAATTCTATCGATAATCTAACTACACGAAATGGGTAAAACTCAAATATGATTATGACTAAACGATTGATTGCCTTTACGGCCAGAATCATCACCTTAGATCAGACTAATGATAATTAATTAGACAAACAAGTACAAATCTAAATTACCGGTAAACAATCTTTGCACCTTTACCTCATCTTCTGAAAATCTTTTCCATGCCTTCTATCAGGCCGATTGATACTTCTCGGCCGGCCGCCAGTCCGTCAAACTTTGTTGAAATAATTGAAGTATTGCAAAATATCTTCAGATAATGAGAATATTTTGCACTGTAGGATTTTGTTTTATTTAAATTATTTATTTAATTCATATATAGATTCCTTCAGCTTAAAGTTTATTTGTCTTACGTATTTAATTTTACAATTAAATTCTTGCATTTTAGGAGAATAGCTCTTTTATTCATCTAATCTTCTTTTTTGTTTTATAAAAGAATTACACTTTTTGTAAATCGCTCAATTATATAAGAAGTTAGGATCATTCATATCTCAATCAGTTATTATTTGAATCAGTTTCAATCAAACTACTATTAATTTTATCCGTGATGTTATCTGTTTATCGTTTTTTAACATCTATAGAATAAATATTCCCTAAATTGTTATATTTTTGTTCCATCATTGTTATTATTATTACTGTGTCATCATTCGTTGAAAGTGAATTGAGTAGGAAATGAAGTTTGAATTGAAGTTTGCTATCAAAAATTAAGGAAAAAAAAGGAAAAGTGAAATCATACAATGGTTTTATACCCTTTATAGTAAGCATTGCCTTATAACAAAAGTGTATGATTACAGTGAGTGAAGAGTTTAATAAAGAAAGTTTGACGACATTTTACTCTTTTTATAGTGAAAATTGATCTATAAAATTATATGAAATGCTTATAAAAGTAATTATTTTTGGTGCCACGAGCCGGGAAATGTCTGCAACTATAGTACTAAGCGCACGACCGGCAAAAGAAAAATTGGAAGCTCTTCTCAAAGAAGTCCAAGAAATGGATCTGACGCCTTCGGAGCAAATGTTGACCAGAGAAGAAACCCGTCAACAGCACGAGGCTCGAAAAAGAATTATTGAAGCAAAAATAATGCGTCTCAAACTGCATATTGGCACACTTGAGACAATTAATGCTAACTGGGTCCAATGCATACAACAGGTTCTAGCAACGAAGAGAAAGGAAGAGGAAGACAAATACGTCAAAATGGTCGAAGATAAAAGAGGTATTTTAAACTTAATAAATGAAGGCGAAGTCATCATAACCTTAAGTATGTATATGAATAACTCAGAGTTAGTAATCCAGCGTCTTAAAGAAGGCGAAATAAAGGAGTAATCAACTCAAATAACCCCTTACCCAACTGTTAACTTACCTCAACTACCACTGCCTACTTTCAGTGGTAACCCTAAGATGTGGAGAGGATTCTGGAGCAGCTTTGAAGCTGCAGTCCATTTACAAAAAATACCAGACATCCAAAAATTAAATTAATTGCATGTCTAAAGGGAGATGCCTTATTGGCTGTTAGAGGTTATGATATAACCCCAGAAAATTATGATGTGATGCGAAAAGTCCTTATTGAAAAATTTGGACAATCACATATCATTAAAAAAATCGCTCTACAATGAGTTATATTCCGTCAAGAAGAATGATCGAGAATGGAAGATAATAGTTGAAGCTACTGAAAGAATACTTCGACAACTTGAAGCAATAGGTGAAAATCTCGAACAATCCAATATTGAAATTATCATTGAAAATAAACTGCCTGCCTGGATTCTGGACAGAGTGTATCAACAAAAGGAACAAGAAATATGGTCAGTAGCTAAGCTAAGACATTTCTTAGTAAAACTGATCCAAAGAAACGAAGAAGTTACAAGAAGCCAATCCCTTGACATCATGAAAGAGAAAAGGGAAACTAAAAGTAAAATTGGTCCACTAATCAGCAATATTTTACAAAAGAAACTTCGGCTCTAACTATAATAACACCGCAAACACATAGAAAGGTTAATACGAAGATTAACAAAACTCAAAGACCATGTGCTTTTTGCAATAGGAACCATTGGGATAATGAATGTCAAACCTATCCTAATCTAGAACGAAGAATGCAACACTGAAAGTAAACAACGCCTGTCTAAGCTGTCTTTAACCAGGACATACGACAATCAATTGCAAGACAAGAAAACGTGTATGTTTTTATTGCAAAGGTCACCATAATACTGCATTATGCTGTACTAAGTATAACGATCAAGAACAATCAATAGAGCGAATCGAAGAAGATCGAAAGACGGCAAAAGTAGTCAATTCAATAATAAAACATTCGAAAGGGAATGACAGAGAAGTTTTGCTTTTTAGCAAAGAAGTTGAAGCAATTAATTTAGATATGACAGAGGTACTCAAGCAACGTGTATATCGAAGAAACTAGCAAAAAGATTACATTTAGAGGCGCAGAGATTAGAGCCCCTATTGAAGAAGAAATTGTAATAATAAACGAATCAAACGCTCCTCGTGGTACCTGGAAATTAGCAAAAATAGGGAACTCAATAAGGGACAAGATAAGATAAGAAGTGCTCTAACAGAGTTACCATGAGGAAGATTAATGAATCGATCTATTAATATGTTATATCCATTGGAAATTCAACAGAAAGAAGATGCGAAGGACAAATCAGCAATATCGAAAGATGCAATAAATGGAACTGATAAACGAGAGGAACCCATAGCTAAACGAACTAGAAGTGCTACGAAACAAAAACAAACTTCAACAAAAAACGAAGAATGACTCAAATCCTTCCATCCGAAATCTCCAAGTTGAATTTCTTCTTCGTCGTGGGAGTGTCGCGGATTTTAACATCGCGAAGCACTAAATAAATGTTAACAATGCTTAATATAGCAATCCATTGATATCTTTTACAATTCATCGTAATGGTTTAATTGACTTTTGATCTTATATCAATTCATATACTATGAGCATCTATCATGTAATGTCTATTGCAACTCATAGTAGCCACTTATCATAATGTCTGGACAAACCATTGTACTTTCTTTCGTGATATCCATTTAATTCATCGTGATATGCATTTTTAAACCTATTGTTAAAGTTACTTACTATCATCATTTGTATAAAAATGTCTAATTATAAACTAATCGCACATTTTAACATATATAATATAAGATAATTGCTATATAAGGATCACCCTTGTTAAAAGATTGGGGATATGTATAATTTATCGCCAAGGACCGACGATTCCAATTTCAATTGTTCTCTATCAACGTTTTGTCCTATTACATCTATTAATAAAGAAATTGGTTTATATTTCTGTTACCTCACGCATTTACATTTACATCCAACCAATCTCCCTACGATCAAACATCTCTCCCAATATTATTAATTAAACAAATCAAAACCTTCCACGACTTTGGAACATTTCTGTAATATTTCGATATTGCAAATAAGCTAATTGAACAAAGAGCTTACAACATTTTTTTTTGCCTGATTTGAATTTTTATCTGATTTATATTCAAAGTAATCTACAGCATAAAAAGTTTTTTGTTAACAAAGTATAACATTTTAGATTACACAAAATAAGCTTAGTACAATTGGAGGATGAATGTTGGATAAATGATTTCTCACCAATTAAAGTATAAAACTAAGCAGTTTTATATTTGCTTTTATATTTGCAATTTTATATTTGTCTGAGAAATATTCAAAAAAGAGAATTTTTAGTCTAGAAAAACCTTGTGAATTTAATTCAAAATTATTTTGATAGAATTATGTTTCAGCTTTTTTTTTTTTTTTTTTGATAAGATCTAATTCATCAATTAGAAGTTAATTAATAAGAGTCTGTTCTAGATACATCGAAGCATGTAACATTGCAGCGTTAAGATAACACACTGTCTATCTGGATGAATTACTGGTTTCAGTAATTAAGAGGATTCAGGAAAGGAAGCAGTAAAGGATATCAAACTTTAAACATTATGCAAACATTTGTGGTACATGTTCATTCCAATTATCTAACATTTTGACTTTTTACTTCTCATGAAAATAATTAATGAGGCAAAGGTTTTTTAACGTTTGAAAAATGATACCATTTTGTTAAGTGAGGAATCAATCTATTATCAGGTAACACTGTTTTTCATTTCGATTTCTAAAAAACTAGGCAAGTTACCTATATTCATCTATTATTTGAAAGCCGAAATAATTTCAATAATTTCATTTCAGCACATTATTCTCTTATTTTTCTCGGCACAAATTGATTCATTAATAAGTAACAATACAAACAATGCAACATTAATTAATTTTACTTATTTTAAACTGGCTGTAACAAGAAAAAAAATTAGCTGTAACAACGAAATGAGCATCCAATTAGAGCAATTATTTATTTATTTTTTCTACTTCATTTCCGGTCTCATTTTCAGATTCTGTGTTCATTTTTTTTTCCCTAAAAACAATGCTTTTTAACGATTATTTCTTTTCATCTTAAAAGCAACGCACAGCTTATTCATATCTTAACTTTAGCTAGTAAAATTGAAAATTGAAAATTGTACAAATCATTATCACTTACTGTTTGGCGTAGATTCGATAAAAACACCTTCCAGCACTGATTTTGACATACATTTTAAAGGTCTGTCATAGTGAAGACAAGCTGCCATTTGCAAATATTTTCGTGATTCAACCTCTTCTGCATTCTGTAATTAAATACACAATTTTGACTAATTTATAGTTATAGGTATAACTTACATAAGAATTGTTGGTAACCATTAAACTGCAGTATTTTTTGTTAGTAATTTAAAAACTACTTAGCTAGTGAATAAAATAAAGAGAAAAACCTTTAGTAAAATGATTAGATCAATAGCGAACAGGAAAACGAGGAATAAAAATATACAACCGGATGAAAGGAAGCCGTATGCTTCAATTTTTACATCAATGCATATATTATAAACTTTCTCTTTCTAAAATTTCACTCTCTCTACACTGAAATAAATAAAATAGACTGAAAGTATAAAATCATAATTTAAACTTTATCTAGTATAAGCGATTGAAGAAATATTTTCTTAATTGAATTGATTCATAAATTGAATGACATTTGTACCAAAAATCTGTTAATTCTAATATTATGTTCCAAATATCTGACGCACATCGAATCCATAATAGCTCGAATTTCAGCTCCTGATGACATATAAAACTGCAAATTTCACTTAAAATAAAGCTTAAAATAAACATCTGTAATTAATTAATTAAAATTTTATGATGTCATGGATATCAATGAATTATATTTAATTAGTTCGTTCACAGAAGGTAAAATGTATGTAATTCATCTGATGTAAATATTTGGAAATAATTCACCTCAATGACGGAAAAAACGCAAAAAATAGAAATTTCAACTAAATCAAACATAGCTTCCTCCATCAGATCTTCCTCTTCAGACATACACCGTAAAAACATTAATAATAATAAAATTGGAAAGGCCAAAACAACACAACCAAATATGACAAATCTAAAATTATAAATTTAAATCATAAATCTAGAAAAAAAAATTTATAAATTGAATGTTCCAATTCATATGACATACTAAAATGGATAAAATATGATTTTACTACTTTTCAACAATAATATAATAGTTGTTAAATTAATTAACTTCAATAAAATTTCTTTAAGCTGTCATTTTTTTTTTTGCTAAATACATTTCTGATCAGTTTTATCAATGTGAAATTCTATAAAGATACTTCTCGTTATCACTCGTTGTTATAATTATATCAAAATGAGACTGAAATTTCATGCGAAAATCCAAATCAAAGCAAACAAAAATATAAATAAATAAATAATAAAAAGGAAAAAGGTAGAAATGCACATTAAAGAGGAGTGGGAAAAGTACTTAAATTTGTCCATTGAAAGGCTTTAATATTTTAGTAGTATTTTCATCCTCGAAAATTTCAAAATGTTGTTCAGTTTGATTCATTGATAAATTTAATGCTTGAAAATAACGAGTAGTTTCTATAATCCTTCTGACAAATGTTTTCTGATCATTCCACCAATGTGGCATTATTCGACAAGTTTTCTTCAGTGGTATCTTTTCCGCTACTGATTCAATCATTTCTATTTGAAAATATTAGCATAAATTAGGAAGAGTAAATGTCAATATAATGTTATATTTTTTTTAAAAAAAAAGTAATGAAATAAAGAAATAATTAAAAAAGAAACAGCAAGGAAAAGTATTAACCTCCTTTAATTATAGGTATATGATAAGTAAATCGTAAACAAGGAAATGCATATACAATAAACCAAGCGCAAAATAGAAGAATAAGAGCAATCAAACGTAAAAACGTGTATTCCATACAACTTGGAAAGAAATATTTCTGTGCAGTAGTTTTTTCTGCATTGTAGTTTATTATACAATATTAAAACATATTCATATTTCTATCAAAATGCTATTCTTAATAATTTAAACTTCATTTTACAAAACTTAAATGATATATAATGCTTAAGGATTTAACTTATATTTCAATATGTTACAGATATAAATTAATATATTTTTAGTCGTAATGCAAAGGTAATAAAATAAAATAGAAGTATTGCTAATGAAATTAAAATTTCAACATTCAGTTCCAATAGATAATAAATAGAAACTTTATTTAAAGTTTTTTTTTTTTTTTTTTTTTTCTAATAGTCTCAGTATTATTAATCAATCATTGTAAATTTGATTTATATTACTTACCAGAATTCTTACGACGTGGCAATCGATTAGTTTCTGAACGATTAATTTTTTCCGCTTTCAATGATTCCACTGATTTTACTTTTCGTCTTGAAAGATTTTGCGCAATTGGCTTTAGATCATCATGCTTTGCAAATAATGGCGCTATTTCTATTTGCGAAAAATCGGGAAGAACTTCAAATGTAAATTATTATATCTATCATTGATAGTGATAAGAAATTTGAAGTCATTCTAATCATTTATTAGTCTTTCCTAAATTTATTTGCTCTATTTGATCTCTTTTTCATCCAATGAAAAAAATAAAAATAAAGTGATAATCTGTACATTATAATAATAAGTTAAAAAAAAAAAAAACAGAAAACAGATATTGCTAAGTAAATATTCAAATAAATAAAATTTATTTTCTTTAATGGTCACAATTAAACTAATAAACTAACAATAATTGTATTATTACCTTGATTACCAATTGTACGAACTGATAAATTGCTTGGAATTTGATGATTTATTACATTTAATTTATCATCTCTAAATTTCTTCTTAGAAAATTTCTTCTCCTTTAATTGACTGTTTAATATTTGTTGTTTGGATGTTTTCAAAATATCTTTGGTAGATATTTTCGAGATTATTTCATCAGCTTTAGATGATATTTCTGTCAAATTCATCGTTTTTGATTCCATTTCATCCGTTGATTGTGTTTGTTCAGAATCTGATTTTTCTTGTGTTAAAGAAAGATTCTTTGAAATAGACTGTTGGCTTCTATCTGATGAAATTTCAGCATTTGTATTTGTAATTCGTACAGATATATCGTTGCTATTGCCATTTCTACAAATATTTAAATATGATAAAATTAGGAAAAAATGAAATTCGATGAATTAAACATTTCAAAAACCTTTGTTTAATAGCTTTTCGACTATTTTTCATACTGCTAATGAGAAATTGACATACACAAACAACCAATATTTTCACAATAAATCCATCAAATGTAGTCATAAAACTTTTTACCTAATATAATTCCATTAATTTGCATAATTTTACAACCAAATGTATGCCTGTAATAAGTATGTACCTTTCGTATAATTATTTTTCTTTTTTCACATTTAAATTTAATTGGATGGGAACAATTCATAATCTGCAAAAAAAAAGAGAGAAACTGTTCCTAAATTGAAAATAATTTCATATCACTTATACAAACTTTGATGAAAAGAAAAAAACAATCGTAATTTTTGAATTTAAATTGCAAAAATTTCAAAATTTTCATTTTTTATTTTTATATTGAATGAAGACTTTTTGCATTATCATATTTGAAATTTTTATCTTTCAAAGAGAAATTCTTTCGTTACAGATTTATAAAAAAAGAAAAAAATTTTTCCAACAATTAGTATTTGAAGAAGATAAAATATATATGATGAAGGATCGATTGACTTAAGCAAACAGCTGGCAGAATAACAATTTCAGCAATACAAAAAGTACAAAATGGTATAGATGAAGAATAAATCAGTAGTTTACTTCTTTCTCACCATTTCAAACGTTGTTTCAATTTCTTATCATATGAAAATACTAAGTAAATAAATGTTAGCCTATTGTTTTGTTAATTTAAAACTTCAAATTATCTTAGATAATGATAGTATTTGTGTTTTGTATTAATACATGCGGAAATTTTAGCAATGAAATATAAGACAAAAAATAAAAAAAATAAAATAAAATCGATACTTGCCAATATTTGCTAATAAGATTGAGATTTGCCTTTTGTAAACATCAAATATTTGATGAATAATTCTAGTGAAGTGAAAAATATTTAAATCATTTGTAAGTAGTAATTAATTTTACTAGTGTTATAACAATTTATTTTCATTTCATTCAATCATAGTAATTTAAATTCAGCTTAAGCAATTAACCATTCAATCATATTAAAATATAATAAAATATTTGACATTTATAGAAGAAATCTTTTACTGGGAATGAGAAAGTAGCAAGAAAATTGATTGTATATTGAAAAAAATGTTTTAATCCAATAATCCTTTCTTAACTTCTCCTACTGAATGATCAATCTAATAAAAAAATCTTTTTTTCTATTGCAAATCATTTAAAAGAGAAAGAATGTCTTCGATCACATTATTAACTTTAGCTGATGAGTAATCACTTTAATTTTAACTGATGAATAATCACTTTAACTTTAATTGATGAGTAATCAGCTTGCTTCTATCATCTTCATGATAGTTTTCCCAATAAAATGAATTGTTTGCAATATTTTTATGCAATCTTTAGCTCTTATTCTAATTATATTTTGATTAATGGTACTAAAATTAGTTAAGTAGAAGGATGAAGGTATTACTGCAGAGAGAGAGAGAGAGTGTGTCGGAGAGAGAGATTAAAGTATCGTTGATTTATTAACATATCGCTATGCATCTTTATTATTTATATAAATCATTGATCAATTATGATATGAAATAATGAGCACTTAAATATGTGACAATAATTTAATGACTTAAAATAAGTTGGAATATAATTCCTTCTTTTCCATTATTTTCCTTTTTGTCTTTATAAGTTTTTTTTTTTTTCATTCAATTAATTCACTCGAATTTTTTTCTTCAATATTAGGTTGATTTCCATTTTTTTTTCTTTTAAGATTTCATTCATGTAATAATTTTGTTGTAATAATTCAAAAGGATACAAAATATTTAGGAAAGGATAATAAATAGTGAGAAGAAGAGAAGTCGAATTAGACAGAAATAATTGATAGTAATCTAAATAATCCCTCTAAAGCTAATTGGAATGAGAGTGAAATGAGTTAAATGTTGCTACATTTATATTTATATACATATATATCATATTTTTTTTATTTATATATATTATATATTTTTTTTATATATTTATATTTATATACATACATATCATATTTTATTTTTTTTTTGTTTATATATATTATATATATATTTTTTATACATTTATACTTATATACATATATATTATATTTTTGTCCTATTTATCTATGCATATATTATATTACATATTTTTTTTATTTTTTTGTACATTTATATTTATTTTTATATACATACATTTATATTTAGATACCTTTACACACATTTATATCATAACTATGCTTCCTACAACCATTTCTTTTGTTCAATGTTATTTCATTTATTATTAAGTGCTTTTCAATTATATGGCTTATAACTTGGACTAAAAGGCAGTCTTAAGTAATACTTGTAATTCCGCCGCAAATTCCGAATAAACCACCCAATGACCGAATAGATTAGTAAGAAGAAGCAGAGAGGAACACGACAGGTGTTTAGTGGTTGGCCGATTAGTCTCCGTGACACTCGTCTTGCTTGGTGACAAGTGTTCGGGATTGTCCTAGACTGGGGTATTAGATAATAGGTTTATTAATTCTTACATGATTAAATAACAATTGAGATTATTTGTTTCATTGACACAAAGTGGAATAGTATTGTTCGATCTTTAGATAAGTACCATTTCAATATGTATCAAACTTCTGATCAAGTTGCTATCAATAATTGTTTTGATTGAATGAAACGATTTAAGGAGTGACTGATTTATACGATGATTTTTAATGAAGGTAAATATTTATAGTCAAATTGAGAGATTTTTGTTGACATGTTATTTTATGGCTTTTTTTTTTCTGCTCCTCTTGACTCTATAATAAGGGGAATAAGACTTGGAATTTTAATCTTTTCAAACTTATCGATTGATTTACGTGATTTAACTTTGTGGAAAATATACTCGTTTATTTGTTGAGCATTTCAGGTGAATACAGGTAAGTGAAAACAACTGGAATATCATTTGAAGATTAGCTGTCTGACAAGTATGGGAAATAGAGATCTGACAATCGCAGAATCACCAGCTGAACAGGAATTACCTGTAGATGTAACAGTCGAAAGTATCCCACCACAATCTCTGTCCACGTCATCTTCATCCATTCCATCTGCTAACGTAAAATATGATGAACTGGAACCAAGCATGTTGGATAATTTAGTAAGGTTCACTTCGATTTGAGGGAATTTGAAAAGCTAAATTTAAAGCGATATCAAATCTAAAATTAGTTGGCAAATACATATTTTTTTTATAAAATTTATTTTGTTAACTCTTTACATGAAATTTGTCAGCTTGTTATCTACGTTTAAACTTAATTTATTGTTCTGTTTGATTTTTGTTTGATATAACACTTCAATGTTATGCAAATATTTTTTACATTGTTTTAATAAAGTTATAAAATAAAGAGTGAAGAATTAAATAAAAGTGAACATTTGCAGCCATCACATCAGAAGCATATAATGGGTAGATTGGACAGCATCCGTAAAAACAAGCAGCGTATTCTATCTACGTTACGTGAACTTAAAGAGAATACAAAAGAAGGAGAGGTGAACTTGAATTAATATTTAAAAATTTATTGATTAGTAGAGATTATTAGTTGCTTATGATGAATTTAGCATGCTATTTCCAATTTTTCAACCGATGAACATTTCCTTTTTTCCAGTTTGTAATCACATTAAATTATTTAGCATAATCTAACATGAAAGAAGCAGAAATTTGTAAATTTGTATACATACCAACTTATTTTCTAAAATTACAGTTTCCAAATAAAGAAATGATGAGTAAAATGATTGCAAGCTATGATGCACTCAGTGCACAAGAAGAACAATACGTCCAATTAATGCAGAAAATTGTTGTAAGTTTGGTTGTGAGTAATGGTGTGTGAAAATTTTGCTGTTGATGTCACGACATATTCAACCAAATATTTTTTTTTTCTCCAACTAAATACATATACTTTCCTTTTCAGTTAAAATATATCGTTGATTAAAGATTTTTTTGGATATCAAAATTAAATAAAGATTTGATACTTTGTATAACCATTTTCAATGCAATATTTCTTTCATGCAAAATACTTTGTAGAGTTTACATAAAAATGCAGCTGACGATATACAACATGAAAATGAAAGAAACAGCGAAAAATTGATACGGAATGATAGTAACACTAACGAACTGAGGGAGAATACTGGTGAATCAAACCATAAATTATCTGATGAAGCAATCAATAATGATCTAGAAGAAGTTAGTATTTTCTTGAGTTTGTAACATTGAATTATTCGCAGACAAATTACTTATACTGGAAACCATGAAATTGAAGCTAGATGCGCATAATTTATCACAGAATTCGTGATATTATCTTTTTTTTTTTTAGATGAATAGTGAATTATCAAAACTAGGAGTTGTAACAGGAAAAGCAGTTGCCGTCTCGATCATGAATGATAAACTACTAGAAACATTACAATTGCATCGTGAAAAGGTATTCTTTTGTCCATACTTTAAAATTCTTTTGGAGAAATAGACTTATGAATTTTTATCAAAATCATTGGATTCATTAATTTTTTTTTTTTTAAATCAGAGCTTATCTTCTGGTCGCAGGGTAGCTTTTTTCTATGCCTAGCAAACCTTAACGGTTGAACCTTAACGGAAATTTTAATTGTTTCATAAAAATAATTTTGAATGGTAGAAAACTACTGTTCTTTTTTAGAAATTATTTAGAGTTAGATAGAATGTTAATAAATTCGATATGTTGCAGAAGGCTACGCTAGAAGAACTACATCGAAGAAAACGAGAAACTCAAAAAGGTATAGCAGATGAGACATTGCAACAAGTTGAAACAGCTCGCTTGAAAGGTAGAGCTGTATATTCAATTTTAGTTTACATTCTGGAACTCGTCCAGAAATTTTGAAATTAATTTTTTCTCTTCTGTGCAAAATAAAGTTTTAAAATAGTGAGTGATTCTTACTCCAACACTTTCTTGAGATCGTCACAGAAGAGGATTATACAAAGCATAAGTGACTTATCCACTCAATTTTTCAGAATGTTGATTCTAGCAAGTAATTCCTTATAACGCTTTTTTATTTAAACTTAACTAAGAAATTTTTGTCTATTTCTTTTCTGCATACTGACGGTTCCTTTGTTTTACTTCGAAACGTTTAATCGCTTTTTTTATATCACTGTTTTTTTTTTTGAAAAAAAAAACTATTTGAATTGCAAAGTATTGGGAATTGTATTCCATCCTTCCATATTTTTTGAGAGTTTCCACTATATTTTCCTTTCTTGTCAAATTCTTAAAAACAGTTTTTTTTATTAAGATTTTGGCCTTGCGACACAGATAAAAAATATGCATGTGGGAGTGAAGTTTTTTGTTTACTTTCTAATCTGCTCTAACATCATCTTTTTTTTCTTTCCTACTGCATTTCATAGGGTAGAAATACAGAAAAAGTGAAGAATGAAAAGGGTAGAGGAATACAGTTCATTTTTCAGCCTGCATTATATAATTCTATATATTAAAATATATGAATATTTACGTATAAATGCAAGTACATGCATGTATGTTGATGTATATGTATGTGTATGTGTGTGTATGTATGTATGTGTCGGATATCTGTAAAGCATATGCATTCTGCTTTTAATTTGTGTTGTTTTCTTGTCTTTGAAATTTAAATTAGCTGTCATTTCATAGAGTCTATTTCGTTATCATCATTTTCGTCATTTTCTAGTTGTGACATCTTTCAAATTTATAGGTGAATGAATCTTTCTATTAGAAATATTATGATGGTTCTTTAAATTAGCGTTACATCCTATAATGAAGAGTTTTTTTTTTTGAAAATGTTTACAAATTTTAATGAAAATATTCATGTGATAGTTGCGCTTGCATTTATTTATAATTTGTTGAGGTGCACAATTTGAAGATAATTGATGATGGCAGGAATGCAGCAATGATAGGCAACATTTTCACGTTTGTCTGAAGAAAGAACTAGCCTAGATTTCATCTTCCTATCTACTACTATCCGTTTATAAATCGACTCATTTGCATGCCTCTATAGACTTATTCTACTCCCTCTCTTATCCATTTCCTTTGGCAAATTTCCTTCTGTATCCATGCATCCTTACTCCTTGGAGACACTAATTGAACATTTTTATTTGCTAGCTTGAGCATATCGATTTTGTCAACTGTAATATGTACATTTACTTGCCAACCATTTTCATCTACGAAAAAAGCAAAAAATAATGTTTTAGTGGGCATAAAATATCTGTTACGAACTAACTAATTTCATCTATGCCCAACTTTCCTTCTTATTTATTATTATTATTCTTTTGAACTCATTATAGAGCATACTGGAATAATCTTATTAATATTCCTAGTTTTGATTTTTGAACCTAACCAGTGTTGTTTTTTTGGAATTTTTTTGATGACATGTATTTTGCAGATTGATATCATGAAATTTCTTCTCTTCTATCACTAGTGATGAATTAAATAAGATGTTATAATTGAGAAGATAATATTAGGCCTCATAGATGTTAAAAAGCGACAGCTCTAGGTTGAGGCTTGAATTAGAGTTTTATGCAGTTGACACTATTTCTTTCAAGATCCCTCAAACAATTTCTTTATTCCAGTTTACGATTAATGTTGATTGTTAAAATTTATTGGCATAGATTTTTAGGAAATAATTAGCTACTGGATGTGTAAAGCGGTATTCTAGAATGTATCACTTGTAGTGTAATATATATATATATATATATTTTGCGGCTTTCTTTCGTAATTAAAAATTTTGCGAAGTTGTGGTAATTACTCTTCGGTGACATATTTTGTTGTCTGAGCTTATGCAATGACAAATTAAAAAGAAAAAGAGGATATGACGGAGAAAAAAAGTATTCCAGTTAAAAACATTTGCTGTTGATTGGTTGACTGACTGAGCAACTAAATGATCAACTAGCTTCATGAATGATTGACTAACTAGATGACAAGCTAGATAATGATGATCCATCAACGGAAAATGCCATTTGTTACAATATTACAGTTAATGGAAGTTAACTTAGCAACTGATGATGTCGATTTGAATCCTTATGCTTGGAACTTTCAGTTAAATCAGTTAAAACTTTTATTTAGACTATTTCAACAGCCGACATCCAATTATGTAGTATTAAATATGCAGATTGTGTTCAGTCATCTTACAATCTTCAAAATTATTGCTTCATGGTTTAAAGTGGTTTTGATTTGTTAGTTGGAACAGTTGTTCTTATTTCTTAGCAATGTAATTCACTCTTTCATCGGAAATATTTGCCATCCATTTTCTTACCCTACCGTCATCCTGACGCAAAATAACTACCTGTCATAGATAATAATTTTTTCCTGACATTTTTTTCTCTATCGTTATCATTTAGATGCATATATTGTAAATTCTTGTTTTTTTTTTTTTTTTAAGTTGCATCGGAACTAGAACAAGTGGAAAGAAAACGTAAAACGTTGGAGCGATTGCGACGTGAAGCACAACGCCGTGGCATCAAATTGGGGCCTGGTTCAGCATCAGAGCCGGATATTGTTGTTGAACCACAACCGGAACCAAAATCAGTTACTGAGGCAAAGTTAAGGGCTAAATTACAAGCAAAGAAAAAGGTGACTATTTCTAGATCATTCTTATAAATCACATTTTTGAAATTTCTGAAACTTCATATAATTATATAATTTTATAAATGAAAAACTCTGAATTTGCAGCACGTAACATAACACATTCCTTGTGATTTTTTCATTCAAGTAATTCTGCTTAAATGAGTATTTGTTCAATACTCAGCAAAATAAGACAGTTGCAGTATCACAGTTGAATAAAATAATTGCATTATCATCTGTTAAGTAGAATAGAATGGTTGGAGAATTTTAAAGATTGGATTTATACATCATGACTTATGTAGCTATTAATAATTAATTTAGAAAACATTTCAAGAATTGTTTTTTAGCAAAGTACTGAATTGGAAGATGATAATGGACCGCCAGTACCGGATGATTTGGCACCGGCTGAGCGAATTCCACCGGTTTTGGAAAATGAACAAACTGAAATTGAACAGCAGCAAGAAATAAAAAGAAAAACCTGTGAAGTAGTAACTGGTAGTGGTGGAGTTGCAGGAAAAAAAAAGAGAAAAGGCAAGAAAGGACGTGAACAACAGCAAGAACAACTGGTGAAGAAGCAGTCTGATACAATCAATTCATCTATACGGTTTGCTTTATTCATCCTTTGTTTGGTATTAATTTTTATGAAAAATATCAATATCTTTTATTTATTTATTTTTTTGATTACGAGAATAGTCAAGCAACGAAAAATTGCAATATTAATTTTATGTTTTGAAAAGCGGAAGAATTATTTGAAAATTTATAAAAATTTTTGGCCATAAAGATTTTGAAATTTAGCACTGCTACATCGTTTGATAGCAAACTTTAGATCTAATTGGATTTTCTTGGTAAATGTTTTAACGCTTTTTTCTTTCATACATAGTATATACTTAAAACTCACTTTTAATAAGATTTATGTAAACAGAAATTTCTTAAAGATAAAGACAATATTATTGACTTCTGTCTGTCTTGATGATGTTATTATCTATATGTCAAAAATATAGTTAGTTAAAATTTTTAAAAAAGTTTTTTTTTTTTTGATAGTGTAATAATACAATTTTTATTATTTACAGCGAAAAGCTAGCTACGATTGCAGCACGTAAAGAACGTATGCGAGAAATACGAGCAAAATTAGTACAGCCTGTTGTAGGGTCTTCTGATATGGATGAAACATTTCGTAATGCTTTGCAGCAATTAAAGTATAACTTCTTTTTCTTCATATATTAGTGCTAAAATTTAATATGCTGCCAGTTCTTCCATATTTCTTAAAAATTTTTTAAGCAAAAAATTAGATGTAATTTCAGCATATGTTTGTTAGTAAAAAGTTATTTTAATTTTATAAAAATGAATGTATGGAAATTTTTAAGTCTTTATCGATGAAAAGATGAACTGCAAATAAATTGTAAATGGTTCGGTCAATAATAATTGTGGTGAATTAAGATGAAAAGAACATGAAGATACTGAATTTTGTATGTAATATAATGTTTAAAAACACTAGGAATGTACTGACAGTGATATGAAAGCACAGAATCTTTAAAATTTTTTTTTTTAAATTCAAAAAACTTTAAAAACTTTATATGAGTTTATTGTTCCTGAAATGAAATTAAGGTATTTCCAACAATAAAATTATATATATATATATATATTTATTTTTTATGATTCCAACGTTTATGTTTTTCAGAAGTATAACTGAAATGCGAAAACAGTTGGAGTTATTACATGAAAAAGGAGCTAAATTGCCGGAAGAAACGGCTGAATTATTAGAACGTCAACTGCAGGCCGAAGATGTTATTAGTCAAAATGAAGCAGAAATGCCTGATGTAGTGAGCATGAGACAGAATTCTGAAACGCCATTCAAGGAAAGTGTTGAGGTGCTTTTCGAAGATAATTTTAATACTTTACTTAGCATCTTACTCATATATGATCTTTCGTCAATGTCTTAAAATCTTTCGACAGTGTCCTTTTGTCCTTTCTGTTATCCATTGTGCCAGAGATGCTCTAAACATTATATTTTATATCTTATACTTAATATTTCTAGAGTATAATATAACGACTTAAATGAATAAATAAAATTCTAGCGAAACTTATAAGACAAACGAAAGTTATAGATTAATTTGCTTAATGTTTGAAGCAAAGTCTTTAAATTAGATTAAGCTTCATTCGTCCTTTTCTTTGGATCTTGTAAACTTGAAAATCTCAATGTGGTTTACTGTAATTCCAATTAAAAAGTGACATCTTAATCAAGATAATTTTAAATTAATCAAGGAAATTGTACTTGATTCTTTACCATTCTTGAGCCTATTTTTTTTTAGAAACTTATCAGTAAATTAGGTTTTTTGTTAGCTTTGGTAGATTCTGGTGCATTTCTCTACAGGAATTTGTGTGTGTCCATATTCCGCTCATATTTTTGGTTACTTGGAGTATACAACGCACAAAACTTTTTTTTTTGTTTCTTTAGTATTTTTCCATGTTTTTGACCTAATCTTATGTATATATTTATTTATTTATTTATTTATATATTACGATAGTTTGAAATTTAAAAAACAAATGGTGCAAATACACCGTTGAATGCCTATTTATCATGAAAGAAGAAAATTTCCCTTTTTCTTTTATTTTCGTTACATTTTCATTATGATCTGAACAGCTGTTGTTGCTTTATGATTGATCGTTTTAAGCCGACTTAAGGAGGAAGCAGTGGTCGTATAGCCGCAACTGTTCCTCTCCCAAACAACAGTAGCATTTTTCAGTTCTTACCGATCTAATATATTGTCTTTCTGAATGACAATTCATATTTTTCTGTTTGAAAGAAATTGCTACAAGTCCGAGTAGTTTAAAGAAGTTATTTAATGCTATTTATCTTTCAATCATAAAATTATAAAAACTTATCGTTGTTCATTCCTGAAAAAAAAATTTTTAAAGCTTTATGAAGCAGATTGGAGAGAAATAAGCCTGTTACTCATCATCATTTGTTTTTTAGATTCTTACTTTATGCATTTCGTTAAATGTTCAATTGCATCATGTTGACACAAAGTTTATGACAGCTTCCTTGTCTTTGAATGAAATCAAGAGTTTGTCATAAAATTTTAAAATGAATAAATTCTTATTTGCAGGCCATGGAGGTAGTTCGTAACAATTTTCTGGAAGTGATGGGACAAAAATCAGAATCAGTTACTGGTGTAGGTACTGGTGCCGACTTAATAAGCGATGACCTTTCGGATGATTATCATCTTACAACAGAAGATAGTCAACGACTGAGAAATATTGAACAGGCGCTACAAGAACAACGCCAATTGCTCGAAACAATTGCTTCTCAAAGTCATCAGGTACTGCAATTAGTTTCTCTTATTAACTTTCTTCTTCTTCTTCTTCATCTAAATAGTTCAGAAAGTCAGAGAGATATGTCTAGCAGACATTGAACTCTGCCCGTAAACAACTATAAATTTCCTGATTATGAGTCTATAAAGATTCAGGAATTTTAAAGTATCAATTATATTTGTTGCAGAAATATAAGAATAGGAAATTTCTTTGATTATTTTCCAAAGCATTAAAAATTGCCGAGATGTGTGAATGTGTGTTTATAACTGTATATGTGGTTAAGAAACTAAGATAATATGGTCTTTCGAGTAAATTTTTGAAACGTTTAGTTGAGAATGAATCTTGAAATCTTGAATTGAATTTGAATTTGTCAATCTTCTTTTTTTGTGTGTGTTTGTTTATTAAACTAAGTAACTGAGTTCTCATTCACTTTGAAAATCCCACATGATAATATCAAAATTTTGTTTTTATTTCTTTTCATAGAGTTTTTTTTTTTTTTTTTTTTTTACTAATTTAACTTTTTTTATTTATTCGTAATCCAGATTAGCAAGATTTTCATCCGTTTTCTCTAGCTCTATTCCAGCTTTGAATGCTTTGTTTTTAATGATATCTTGGAAAGCATTCATTCGTTTCTTCAACTTTCCTTAATCAGTGATCCGTTAATTTCCTGTAATGTTAGGTATTGAATGTTATGCATTCATACTTCACTTTATTTCATCTAGTAATTGAATTTTTTCAATATGAAATATTGTGCTTTAAACTGAAATAAGTAAATAAATAAGTAAGTAGGAATGGTAAATATATATTTTTTAGATATGGGATGAATAGTTTTTATAATGGATTCTTTGTAGGATTTATGCTTAAAAACCTTTGGTAGCTCTATTTTTGTTTTTGATAATTCCGATTCATCTACAAGGTTCTTTTATATGAATAAAGAACAAAACAGAAGAATGGATTTCTATAACAGATGAACAAAACAAAATGTTTGAAAATGATTTTTTTTTTAAAAAAAAGGAGATTATAAAAGCATCCAAATTTTCTGGATTTTCCTAGGAGTTTGTAATGGAGATGTTAGTTATCTGAAAGTCTGCGACAATTGGTTTATCGTTCCTATATTTTTTATTTCACTTTGAATGTCGTTAACCCATTATTGGTCTGCATCAAATACACCAAATAGGGAAAGAGAGAGAGAATGCTATAGAGAGAATTAGCATAGCATCTCTTTAAAAAAGACATCTTTTTGTATTTGTCAAGAAATTTACTTACTTCTGCACAACTGATGTCTTTCATTTGGTGACTACTTTCTCTTTGTATCTCTTTCCTAGTCGAATTTTTGAATTTTTTTCTTTTTTTTTATCGTCTCATTATTGATTGCTTGCTGGCCTGAGCCTGAGCTGGTTTGTTTATGAATATCTCAGAGATAAGAGGAGAGTATGAGAGAGAGAGGAAGGATAGATCGGTAGCTCTCATGCATTTTTAAAGTAAGTACGAATGGCAAATATATATTTTTTTGTCATATTTAAAAATCTTTTTTCTTGATTCGATAAAAGCTATGCGCAAAATTTTTTTTTCAGCTATCGATTTTCTTTTTTTTTTTTTTTTTGCTTGTTTTTTTGTTTAGTTGCGGAAGTGAAAAAATGAAAGAGTAACTAGTAAAAAAGATTAGGAAAATTAATTATCAGTTATTTTACACCTCTCTTTTTCAAGAAATTTTTTTGTAATTTCTGATGTCCTAATTTATGGAACTTTTTAAAGACCTTTAAAATGGACTTTAATTTAATTTGATATAGAAATCTTAATCTAAGTTTCTGTCTATCCTATCAAAATCTGGATCTTGTACAGTGAAATCCTGCATCAAATTGGAAATCTTTGTATTATATAAATTACTTTAATTGTTCAGCTTAAGCTTATTTCAATTATTCGTAGACATTTGCAGTTATTATGAATATGGCAAAATAATTGCTGATAATAAATGTTATCTACATTTCTCGAAACTTTTTAAATCACAATTCTTGAAATTCATCATTATGTCGAGTGTCAAATATCAGAAATGAGAGAATAAGGACTGTTTCTTGCTAATAGCTATTTTCACTGTTTGCTTTATTTAGTATTACTTTAAAAAAATTAAAAAAGAAAATACACACTTTTATATGCTACAAGATTTCCAAACTAATTAAAATATACATAAATTTATTCGAATGAGAGGTAAAGATGAACAAAATGCTAATTTATCTAGATTAATAGGATTCTTTTATTGCATCGGATTTATTAGTGAGGAAAAAAGATTTATTCTTATTATTTAAGAATAATTTTGGGCGTATTCCTTACCTTATTTTTTTACGCAAAAATCAAAATGATAAATGCTATCATTAGTGCTAATGAGTGAGATAGTTCACGTGGACATTTTATTTAAAATGTTTATTTAAATATATCGCTAGAAGATTAACTTTAAAAAAAAAAAAAGTGTTTTAATTAAGTTATCGAGCTGATCTTTATAATTCTTCACCACGTTACTCTTATTTTGATTTGTAAAAATGATGAACAAGATGATTTGGTTAAGAGCAAAAGAGATAATATTGCATTAATAGTTGCAACAAATTAAAATAGTTGAATGAATAAGCTGAAAGAAAATTAAATCGATAAAAATGAAGAGCTAATATTGCAAATACCTCAAAAATAATTGAGATGGAAAATTTTTGAAGTTCAATGATTCTCGATTAATTTTGCAACTAAAACAATTCCTACCCGAAAATCTTCCCATTAATTTGTCTAAACATATCGTCATCAATTCTATATTAAAATGTAGTATAGATGATTGAATGCTAAAATTATCCTTCTCATCAAATGATATCGTTAATATGTTTCGTTGATGTCTTCTGTATTTCACGCGGCTGTTCGTTCATTTGCCCGTCAATTTTAACCTTTGTTCATCTTAGCTTTAACAAATGAATAGGATTGCACCGATGGGCTGCGCAACTGTATCACACACACACACACACTTACCACAGACAACCCAACTGTATATGCCATCATCCATCCATCCATTCATCCGTTCATCCGTCCGTCCCTGTCTCTCATCTGTTGATGATGCATCATTTGTTGAGGTTTGTCAAGCTTAACTTTAAATATCACAGCAGGACCTCATAGGAGCTGTCCTGTTAAATTTGTAATCTTTGGTTAAGCAGTTGGTCAAGAAGTCGATGACTATAACGATCATCAATGAATGATGAATATGGATAACTGTAATAGATGATGAGGGTGGAATTTGAATGATATTAACATTTTCTATACTATTATTTTGCTTAAATTTTAGTTTATAAATGGATGATACATTGGTTAAAATGAATTCAACTTTATTCATCGATCAATGTGAAGTTAATTTTCATATGTATGAAGAAAATAAATTGATGAATAGCAGAAGGAACTTAGAAGAAGATTGCTTTCAATCATTAAGTAGCAGTAGGAGTTTCTGCTACTACTTTCTATTGAGGCTACTAAAAAACTGCAGTCTTTTTTTCCTTCCTTCCCTTTTTTTTGTTTCTCTTTCATGGTTTTCAATAAAATTTTGTTTCACCTTCAAGCTTCTTTCAGTTACTACTATTTCTGTTATTGCTGTAACTACTTTATTACTTGTTAATGAAAAAAAGAAAAATCCATTACAGTGGTCATTTCTTCCTCTGCTTTATAGATAATTACTATTAAATTGATCTGTGTAGTTTTTTTTTTCCTTTTTTTCTTTTTTTTATAAGCATCTATTAATACATTTAGTCACTTTATCCAAGCTTTACTTTCTAAATTTGTTTAATAATTTACAATTTCAACCACTATGCTAAAATACTTTTGGGTTACCTCTTCTATTGCTATGTTTATTCACCTTTCTTGAATGCTATGTATGAGGCATACATTCTATAGCATTTTTGGCTTCACTGTTAGTTATTCAAATATAAAATGTTATTTCGAAATTGTCGAAGTGTGAAGAGAGCAAACCAATATGGTCTAATGGTTTTATGGACTTCAGTCAACCGTAATGCTAGATTATCATGCAATTGAACAAAGTGCTCCTTGTTTTAACCCAAAAATACCTGAGAGATGCTCATTTTTATTTTAAATTGTGAATTTAAACTTTTATAAAACAGAGTAGTCTGCTGAGAAAAAAATATTAACTAAATTGCAGAATGTGACAATATTCTCGGAGTGCTTTCTGATTTTTTTGTTTTTTGTTTGATATAAACGTTCTGCAGATAGAGCTAAAATAGAAAATTAATTATTCCGGATGTTAAAAAAAGTGGTTGCAATTTTTATATGTCACTTATACATGTTCTTATTGCCTTCTACCTTAAGGCTTACCTATGTAATTATTAGATCATCATTTCCTGATAGCGTTACTTCATATCATATTCTTCAAGAAGAGTTTTAATTAAATTTTGACATTTTCTTGATATATTCATAGATCAGTTGTTCTTCCATTCGTTAAATACTGATAAATGCTGATTGATGATATTATTATGAAAGGTTTTCTATAAAGCACATAATATTTAGATATGCATTATCGATTGATTTCTAAAATTCAGCTTTTTGTAAACGTATAAAGTTGTACCAAAGAGCCATTGCCACATTACGTTTGATAATTTCGGAGCTTTATAATCTTGATGCTATAGGATGTAGTTGAAACTGTGAAGAGTAACATATGAAGCATCCATCCATCCATCTGTGATTGTTCACTTTTATGCTTTATGCTAGTGCTTTGTAAACTGGTATGCTATCATATCTCATTCCATCAATTCCTCACCTCATCTTACCTTTTCTTATTTTTTGAATATTTGTCGATCGTGCAATATATCGCTTTTCATTCGGTTGTCTTCTTCTCGTAGATATATTGTTGAGTACCGTATTCGTAAGAGGAACGAAAATAGTATAGCATTAACAGATAGGAGTGTTTTTGGTTTTAATTTTTGTTCATTTTTTTAAATAGTTAAATTGAATATTGTCTAAAGTTTTAAATATGCTAGTAGTAACATATATAGTAGCGATAGTAATAGCTATGGAATCTTCTATGGATGGTAGCGATGTGTACCAAATGACAACTGTTGTAAACTTTACAACGGATGCTTATATATTCTAGGCTTTTCAGTTTCGATATTACAGTGATATCTTCCAACATCTCAATTTTGCTGCTGTAACAAGCAGCAGTTGTAATAGCTGCTGTATCGGTCCTAGCTTCTTCATATATTAGTCTCGAAGTTTGCCTTAATCAATTCATTTTATGAATGGATTTGTAGTCAACGGCTTCATTGAAAAAAGGCAAAGTTGTTTTCGTTATGTCTGTGTTAGTATATACTGTTAAGTGAATTTGTGTGTGTGTATGTGTGATGTGTGTATGTATGTGTATGTGTATGTGAATATATGTATTTATGTGTGTATACATATTATTGGTAGTTGTACTTCTTTGCCTTCAATTAGTATGAAATGATCTAATTTAGGTTCAGCAATATGCTTAATCCTTTTCATCGTTTGTCCACCCACCTTCAGCATTTATAATCAATCCAATTCGGTTATTCATTTCGCCTTTTCATCAAATTATTCAGCAATGTTTCCATGGATTTATTTCCCTTTATCGTTAGAACATAGCTTACGTCACTCCCGTCGTCCTTTCCCTGCTATCAATATAAGATCATATTGTGTAATATATTTAGAAGCAGGAAGTTATGTATTAGCATTCTACATTCAACCATGGATATTATTTTTATGATTCAAGTAAATTAACACTTCCCATTGACATAATGCTTTTATGTAGTTTATTAGCAATTATTTGTATACATAACCTACTACTGTATTGCTTCTTTTAAATGAACTTAATTATAACTGCTTTCTTCTTTCACTAGTGACTTCTTATCTTTGTATTATGCTTTATTAAGTTTTAAGTGACATTATGTTTTAATTTATTCACTTAATTTTTTTAACCAAAGAATCATATAAATTTGATTAGTTTTCCTATCTTCAAAATATATTATTTGATCAAACATTTGTGTGGTACAAACGAGATTTAAAATTTTAATTCCTTCATGAATAAATCGTATTCAAATATAATTTAATTTCGAAGACAAATTTGAAAATATTGGAATATCAATTAGAAACAGTTAACTTTTTCAGTTTATCATACACTTACACCGTCTGTAATAAATATGTTGAAGTTTCATATTTCAATAAAAGTTTAAAAGAATTAAAGTAATCCTAGTGATGTTTCTAATAGATTAGAATGAATAAACTGGAAGTCACTTATTCTTTTACTAGTAACATTGCTGGGTTATGATGATAGCTATGTCTAATCTTTCTTTTCAAATTCTCCTAATTTTCTAGAACCAAACTTTCTTTTACAGCATCAGTCATCATCATTTTCAAATACGGCAGAATCATGTCAGATAAAAATTGCTACTCTCCGGAACTGTTTTCTCACCGCCGCACCACAATTAAACATACGCCTTGGGAACATTTTGTTGGACCTAGCAAAAGGGCAATTGGTGAACGATTTGGATTCTGTCCTTGGAGATCTACTTAGTCAGACCATCAACGACAGACAACATCTCGATGAGACTGATGAGGTTTGTTTATCTGATGTAATTTTGTCTATGTTCATCTTTCAGCCGGTGTTCCTGAGTGCATCTATATGGTTATACTAATATTTTGGTTGCTATGGTTGCTATAACATTGCTTCTCTTGCCCTCTGTCTCATGATTATCGGGTGTCCCAAAGATTATTCAATGTTCTGTTAAGATAAAGTAATTACTGAAATTCCTTCATTCATTCAGTCTGGTATCGCATGTCATTTGATTTCTGGTATGATTTAAATAAGTGTACAAAGTAAATGTCTTAATTTTGAACTTGAGCGGACTATAAAAATGGACAAGAACGTAAGACATTAAAAGTTATTAAAGTAGTCTTGAAGTATGACTGAAGAGAGATGAAAAATGAGCAGGCAGTGTAAATTTCAGCTTGTGATACCTGCGTTTCAGTGTTTTGAAAGACTATTATTGAGCATAGCAATTTTGTTTTCTTAACTGTTGCTTTGCTTTTTTTAATGAAGATTGCTAATTGTTTTGATATTGAAGGAAATGCTAATGTTTCTTATCGTAATAATAGTCATTATTGTTGCATATTAAAGCTTTTATTTCAACAAAAAAAAAAAAAAAAATGATGCTAGGTGAGCTGGCCAGTTAAGTGAATGCTTTGCCACAGTCTTAGAAATTGATTAAGCTGGGCTAAGGTTCACTTAGGCTGGACGCTATAACCGCAGAGCAAACATCCCTTACTCATGCCTGCAAGTGCATGTACCACTTTCTTTCCTTCATTCCTCTCTTTTTTTTTTTAAATTTCACTAAAAAGCATGTCTCTAAAATCCATTGGATTATTTTCTGCTTTGAAACTTGCAATTTGCATGTGACTACTATTTCTGTTCCATTTGATTATGTGCAGTCGTAATGATTTGTTTTTAGTCGAAAAAAAAAAATTGTTTGAGAGGGAAATGAACGTTTTTGCATGCTTGAATAAATAACTTCAAATAAATAACTTACTGTTTTAATCGCTTCATTACCTAGTGAGTCATCCAATCCATTTTTAAAGTTAAAAGTTAATGAGGAGTGAGTGAGCTATACAATCTACGTTTCTTTATTTATGAAAATTTTTCATTGAAATTACTGAATACAAATGTTGGAGTTGTAGTTATTCGTGGAACAATTAGCAAATAAACAACTAAATTTTACATAACCTTTAATTAATCCTGATGAAAATTTTGAAAGACGGAAGTCTAGTTTTTAGTCTAGTTTTTCTTCTTCCTACGAAATGTTAGTATCACGATTTACATAGAAAAGTGGACAGAAATATACATCTTGCAAATATCATGAAATAATATATAATTACTGTAAAATTTAATAATCATTTAAAAGTGATTCGAATTTAAAATTTTAAAATGTGGTGGAACACTTAATACAAATAGCTGAATTTAGAATAGTTTCTAACTGGCATTGAAAAAATTAATTATGCATTTTTGCACGGTTTCAAACTTTAAAATAAAATTACAGCGTCAAAATGATGCAAATGATGGCGGTCGTGAGCCAGCATCAGTTGAATCCGAATCACAAGAAACAACAGAGTTGGTCAAATTTATTTATACCGAATCAACCGGTCGTTTCGAGCGTAGATTTAGTCGTGAATGGACACCAGATGAAGTTTCGGTAAGTGCTCAATTTTTTTTTCAATTTCTAATTTCTAATTTTTTTTTTTTTTTTTTGTTGATATTATCCTTGAATCCTGTTGTATCAATTTACATTCTATTTCATGCTTGCTTACCTATGACAAATTTTTAAATATCAGATGATTATAATCCGTTATTTCAAATAGATGAAAAAATGATCTACATTGTCATCCACTGAGTCATTCATTATTGTGTAATTGTGATCAGTTTATTTGTAGTGAATATTGAATATAATTAAACTTTTGTGAAATATTGTACCATATAGTCTCAAAGAAAAAATGACAAAATGAAAAAAAAAATGATAATTTCAAAATTATTAATTGAATTTGCTTCAGTTATAAATATTATCATAGAAATTCGAACAAGCAAAACGACAATTATCTACTGGTAAAGCAAAATTAAGAAAGCAACAAACTTTGGAAAAAATACGTAATAGGACTGAAGTAGTGGTTGATGAACAACAGCAACAGCAATCTAAGAAATCAGATATTGAACATGGTGAGAATAATTGATGGTATAATTGAATTCATAATTTCAATTAAATGTATTGTTATATAGGATGTAATGAGACTTTTTTTTTTTTGAACTATATGAGTGGGGTCCATTCAGTTCATGATTTGAGGGCTAAATTTTAACGAATCAATAAAAGAGGAAAGAGATAGACAAGATATGGTAGGATGAAAATGAAAAAGAATGATAGAAGAAGAGGGAGAAGAAAAGAAGGAAAAGCATATCCATTGTTCTCAATGCTCTTCCTTCTAAACGACTATTCATTCATGAGATGTTCCGAAGTGAATTTCTGTATGTCATACATAAATTAGAGTGTGTATGAATTATTATCCCTCAGCAACTTTCCTTTCATTACTCTTTTTTTATTACTGTAGTTAATTTGAGAAATGGGTAGTTGTTATAGCATGACAAGTTAAGTAATTATTACTTCTACCATTTATAACATTAAATTTTAATCTTAAAAGATGACATGCATGATTGAAAAAAAAAAAAAACGTTTGACAACTATCATTTAAATCACTTCATTGTTTAAAAATTTTGGAAACATTTTAATTATGATTTATTTTTCGAGTTTTATTTATATTTCTATTTAGCATTTACTAATCTCTCTCTCTCTCCAAAAAAAAAAAAAAAAAAATGTTTTTAGATAGTTTTGAAAAGAGGCTTATCGCTCAAATATAGTATATTATCATAAAAATTTTATTTGTAACTTTACTTTCTTTAACCGTAAACTTAGAGGAAATAAGAGACTTGAATTGTTGTAGGACTAGAAAATGATATTTGTATGATTATCGACGGAATTTTGCCACTCATTCGACAGCATAGCGAGTTAATTGCTAATGATGAGTTTATGCGACAGCTGCGCGATGAACTGCTGCAACAGGCGTCTATGGTATGCTTTCCTGGCGATGCCGCTCCAACGGATCTCTTTCGCAGTCAATTGAGCACAATTATTGACGATACATTATCTCAGTATGTGGGCAGTAAAGTGGCGGAAGTGAGGGAAGAACTCATTTTTGATACTTCTGAAATTTTATATAATGAATTAACTTTCTTCCAATTAATGTATAACATTGATAATTTAGCCGTTTAAGTGCCTTGAAATTATGTATTTATCATTGCTATCTCTGTTATATTTTATTTTATATACAATTTGTGAAATTTTTATTGAAATATCCGTTACAAGGCTTTTTGCTGATTGTTTCAAATAATATCAATTGCTCAGTTTCAAGACATTAAAATGTTTTTTGCTTTCAATTGGTTAATTTGCTACTGTGATATTAGATTGATGAAGATTTCAGATTTTTGCATTCTGAATTCATCATCACTTCTAATCGTTTTGGAATGTTATTTTCATGGAAGGCTATTTTTATCATAATTGACATACCTACCTTTTTTTTTGGAAATTTCACCAATTAGTATTTATGCTTGAAATTGGTGTAATTTCCGTCCGCATATAAATTTATATGCTAGCTTTGTGACTGCTTTTTAATAATTACTACCAAATCAATTTGTTAAATTAATCTTTATCAATCAGTGATGTTTATTTGAATGCTTTATTTAATTGCATTTTATTTAGAACACTGTTGCAGCAATCATTTAATCCTGCTTTTACTGTCATATTGCTATTTATTTAATGTGATTCTCACTTATTTCCGTTTCACTTTATTACTAAACTATCATTGCCACTTTGATTTATTTATTCATTGCCTTTTTCTATCTATGCTTTATTGTTGCTACATTTGAAAATGCTGCATCAATTTTTTTCTTTTCTTCCATATTTTTCATCAAAATTTGTTAAATTTCATTGCTGATTGCATACTTTTTCAAATGACTATCTAGAATTCCTGTTGATATCACAAGAACGGTGTGATAATTTGGTGGAATTTATTATGATAGTTTTGGTGGAGCTTATCTTTCTGAATGTCTGTCCAGAATTGCTATTGTTATATTGTAAGCACCATCATTTGATCAACGTCAGATTCCGAGCTGATCCAATCCGGTATATTAAAAAAATAAAAGAAAAAGGAAAAGGAAAATGGCTCGATACGATATGTGATCATGAGAAAGAAGTAAATTTTTATTTGGTCAGTTTTGTTTTGAAATAACATTTGAATACTCATATTTGTATTTACATTTCGTATAAACAAAGTTTGCATTTTCCATAATATCGCGAAGACAATGCAATATTTTGCAAGCAAATAAAGAAGGTATTATAAGGGTTGTGGATTTCTAGTGTTGAGGTAATGCAGACCGTGAAATACTGTAATTGAACGAGTGGGTTTGCCAAAATTCCGGAAAAGATTGAAATTCTGAATTTAGAAAGTGCTGAGAGTTGCTTCCATCCTACAAGTACTAAATAGAATTACCCATTGAATTTCCAAAGGTTCAGTTATTCTTTTGACTGGGTAGACTGTCTAACATACATTATACCTGGAGCAAAATTCTCAGGTAAATTTGGTTGGTATTTCCTTTGTACGATTGTAGATTATCGATTTTCACTATATTTGATTGAGTCCAACCTGGTTCGCATGCTATTTTCGTTATTTACAGTGATTCTTATAAATGAGATGACAATTTCTCTTATCGTTCCGGAAATTTTTATATTCTTTTTTTCAGAAATTTAAATAATAATTTGGCTTTCCATTTGTTCTCCTCACTAAGTGAATTTATTTTCATTTTGCATTTGAAAGACTGAAATTGTTGAGAAATATTTAGCCAATGTGGAAGCAAAAGGATACCGATCGAATGCTTGTTGAAATTGCTATTGCTGCAACAATTTTATTTGCATTTTTGGCTACAACAATGAAGCAATGTTCAATACGAATTAATTTTTTATTTATTATCATCGTTTCATCTTCATTCTACCTTCATTCACTTCGATTAGGTGTAAATCTTTCTAATCTACCTGCATTATTTTACAAACGAATTTTTGATGGAACAGATCAAAGGTTTGTTAATTTACATATTTATAATATTTTTAATAGTTAATATTAGCAATATTTTTCGCATTTTTTTATTCAACAATTGTCATTAAAAAACAAAAAAGAAATAATGGAATATTTATGAATATTTATAATTAAATTTTGTTAACTGTATCAGTATTATTTTGCATTCATTTTATCTTGAATTTCATAAGTGTAAATTATTAATTTAACAGTCGTTGAAAGAAATTATAAATTTCAAATTTCAGTTTTAAGTTAAGTTTGATTTTTTTAAAAAATTTCAGTTTTTTTCTTTTTTTAGATATTATCTATTATTATTTTACCTGATATGTGTCTTTGCAACATTAATATTTTGCATTATTGTGAATCATTTATCACATAGCTCAACTGTACATCGAAAATTTTTCCATCTCACAGTATCATTAATTTGTATAACTGGTATTCAGTATGATTTTGAATTTATTTGGTTATCTGCTTGGTTAACACTTTGTATTTTTGTAATTATTGAGGTAAGTTTATTTTTATTCTATCATTGTCAAATATTCTAACTTTTATTTTTGCAGAAAAATTTTTTTTCTTGTTTTTTCTTTTCTTTACTAGTTGATAATTAATTAGTCATATAGTTAATAATCAAATGCTACAAATAATCGTTTTTTGAAGAGAGTTAAAATTCTTTCATTAATTTCTATGAAATATTATAATTGCTTAGCTTTTTTTTTTCTTTTTTCTTTTTTTTTTAATTTCAATGATAATTTGTGTATTTGTTAGTTAACATAAAAATTTTTCATATTGGTTAGAATCTCTCTTATCTGTTAATTAACTGTTTCTATTTCCATTTTTAGGTTTTTCGTTCCAAATGTGTATCACCATGGTCAAAGTATTTAAATGATTGGTTGTTAATTTTTATCGATAAACAAGATTCACCAAAACTTATTTTAACTCCTATTTATCTAATGGCTGGGATATTTTTACCACTTTTCCTTTCACCAATTGCTAATAACGGTATATGATTGTTTATTTTAAACTCACTATTTCGTGATTCTTTTTTTTTTTTTTGCCGAAATTATGAGAGTCTTTTACGCAACTTATCTTAACTTTGATTTATCTACTGACTAAGATATTTTACAAGAAATCAAAATGCATGCACTTATATTTAGAAGATTTTTAATTCTCTATAATATTATTTAACAATTTAATTCTTTAAGAAAATTCATTTGTTTTTTTTTTTTTTTTTTGCGTTATGTATATTAGGCTGAAGAATTGCATAGATAATTTAAAATTCTCAAAATTGATACGAAAAAATGATAATTTTTTTTAATGCTCTGATTACATCGTATATATGAAATGAACTTTTTTTTTATCATGGAAAGAAAAGAAAAATGAGTTAACTATTAATTAGTAAATAAATAGAGAATAATAAATAGAATTACAGAATATCGTCATCTATATCATTTTGCTGGTGTTGCTACCATTGGTGTGGGTGATAGTTTAGCAGCAATTATTGGCTCAAAATATGGACGTTTATATTGGCCAAAATCACAAAAAACAATGGAAGGAAGTGTTGCATTTGCTATTGGCCAATTTATTTTTTGCATTTTAATATGTTTGTATTATTTAAAATGTGATATTAACATGTATCAATTACTTTGGATTATGCTTTCCTCATTTACATGTGCCTTTTTTGAGGCTATACTACCTGCTATGGATAATATTATTCTACCTGTGATAGCTTATTTAATTCTTTCTTAACTTTTTTTCTTTTTTAATATATATTTAGAAATGGAACAAATTGTGGAGATAAATGTGGAGCTTCTTTTTTTCTCCTTACAGTTTAAACTCTTAATGAGAAGATAGTTTAGCCATCTGGATTAAAACGGATATGATTAAGCTAAAAGAGTAAATGTGATTAAGAAATTATTAGCTTCATTGAGTACATAATGAAATAACTGAAATATAATTTCAAGATAAAAGAAAACTAACCGAAATAGTTGTAATTAAAATTCTTCTCTTTATTGTTACTTTTAATCACTTCTGCAATATATAATAATTACTGATTGAGAAAAAAAGATAGGATAATAGATCAAAAATTTTCTTTTCAAAAAAAGCTATTTGAATTTAATAGAGGAATAAAAAAAGAAAAAAAAGGAAATAAATTTATATCTGAAAGATTTTAAGTCTTCTTCCTCAACAACAATATATCATTTAATAAAATAAAATTGATGAATCAGATTGAGAGGCATACAAACATAGATTACTCCAAATTGACATTTTTGTTATAATGGACGACGGGAAATGTTGACACTCATTTAGCTGAATAATGAAGAAGAAATGATAGGAATAGCTGGCATATATTGATGTATTAGCATTAGTAATAAATAGTATAAGCATATGCTACAGATTTCATTAAGAATTTTGTGAATTTTGATTGAAAAGAAAGAGAGAAAATTGGATGTGCTTTTAGCAGCTAACAACTAACTTTACTGCAAATAAGCGCATAATTGTTCGTCGAGAGCTATGCTAAGATGATTGAGTAGGAGAAATTGAGTGATTCGTTCGTTGAGTTCATTTTGATCTCTTCTTTCTTACAAATTTGTTACTTTATACTTTCTTCTCATTTAAATTTAGTTATTAAATTGAAAAAAAAAATTTTTTTTTTTTTGATATATATATATACATTATAATTTTAATGAAATTTAATAGTTTAACAATTTTGTTAGCAATAAATAGCTCAATTATTAATCAAAAATTAATTAAAAGATCAATTTTTTGTAATCAAAAAATTGGTTTTATTTTTATCAAAGTTAAAATTTATTATTGACCATAAGATATTATTTTAGGATGTCTAATTATGAGCGAAAATATGATTTAAATTTAAAAAAAAAAAAAGTGAAAGTAATTAGTGTAGTAACAGAGTATTCCAAACATTTAATCTTTTGTCTTAGAACAAATTAAAAAGGCTTTAATCTTAATTATATTACACTTTATTCTCTTACTTTCTTCAATGTCTTTCTTTTTATGATTTTAGTAATTAAACTCTCATTGATTAATGTAAATTTGATTTCAACTCTATCATGAATCATATTTTCTTTACTAAAAATATTCTAAAACTGAAATAGCACACTAACTTGAAGATAATCTAGTAGTAACTGAATATGATTTAATATTAATTTTGCAATAAAACGTAAGTAAACTGCCAATCAATTTTACTTAAATCCTTTAATTGATCTCATTTAGATTATCTAATCAATATTTTATGATTATCTCTATAATTATCCTATACTATTACTTATTAGGCTGCTTATTTCATCTACTATTAGGCTCGTTACTTACTTAAATTTACTTAACATTCATATGTATTTTATTACTTACACTTATTTTTCTTCACTTTTTTTTTATAAACTAAATAAATTGGTCTATTCTCTATATCACTAAAAGAATGTAGTCTCGATCATTGTATCACAGCACTTGTCTCATCTCATCTCGATACTTTTTATAATTTTCATTACAATTTCTACTCTCTAACATTCTTCCACTAATTTTACATTTCTAAAATTCTATGGTATGTGAATTTAAGTAATAGAATATGAGGAAAAGAAGAGAAATAGAAAAGAGAAGTAGCAAAAAAAAAAAAAAAAATGAATTAAATTTTACAAGAGATCAGAATAGTTATTGCATCTTTTATTTTCATCTCAGTATATCACATTGTTTACCCTTTTGTTTACCTTTTTTTTTTTTTTTTTCGTTTAGGTACTGCTAGTATTTCTGTTAACTAATAGCTAACTCATCTAGCAAACTAGATCCTATATGATTTTTTTTTTTTGTAATCTATTTTTAAATTGTCATCATTGAGGAAATAGTTGATAGAGATTGTAAATACTTTTATATTTATGTTTAGATAAATTTGTATTTATTTATTACTATTACAATTAACGATTCAAATATTTTTAGTGTTTAAATTAGTAATGTTCCATTAGCATTTTAAAGAAGTTTACAATGTTTTTTGTTTTAAAAGTTTACGGTGTGAATTTTTTTTTTTTTTTTTTTTTGCAACTATTAATTGTGATTGAGCAGTAGCATTGCTAGAAGAAAAAATTTCAATTTTTTTTTTTTTAATAATCGAAAAGAATGAATTATATGTGATAAAGTATTATGTAATTATAAAGTATGAAAATTCGATCAGAAATTATTTATCAGAAACTTTTTCAAAAATTTTCATTTTAATCCACATACTTCAGGGAAATTATTTCATAGCAATCATTTAGATTACTTTTACAAATAATTTATTATTTAACATTATTGCATTACTCTTTGAATGTTGTTTATATTAATTTATATTGATTAATTTAGAAATGAAAATTTCAGGCAGATTTAGAATACTTGTGTGCTTATCAAGATAATAGCTATGTCATAAAATTAAGTAATAATAAACTTAATTCGATAATTATTTTACTCACTGAAATTTTTAAATTTTAATTAACCAATACATTTTTCACAATTATTTTTAATTGTTTTATATTTTTTTTCAAAAAAAAAAAAAAAGTTTTCTAAACGGCTGTTCATTGAGGAAAAAAAAAAACGAAAGGGCAAAAAATTAAAAATTGTTGAAACTGATAGATTGATGAGAAGTATTGTTAAAGTATTTATTTCTGTTATCTATTATCAGTATATTAGATCAATGTATTAGTTATAAGAGTATTTTAAAAAAGAAAAAAAAAAGTAAATTTAATAAAAACAGCTTTTCTTTTCGCGTATGTGTGTGTGACTGAAATTGTTATCAAAATTTTGACAAGTTGAAAATATTTCAATCATTTCTTTTATTTTCTTATCATTCATTTCAAATTTTTCTTAAATAGTTGGAAATGAAAAGTTTTTTTAGTGAGAAAAAAAAAAAACTGAGAATTTTATTTTTTAAGAGAACTATAAGAAATTTATCAAATATTAAGAATTATTAATTAAATTTATTTATTTAAATGTTTTTCTTATTTGTTTTTTTCTTCAATAGATATTTTTAATTTTTTGTTTATGTGGTAAAATTAGTGTTGAAAAAATGTTAGCATTTTATATTGATTATTTATAATATATTTATATAATTTAATACAATATATTTTCTTTTTTATTTTATTAAAATAGGCTAAAATAGAGTGAAACAATAAACAAACAAACAAACAAACAAACAAAATGCCATTTAAACCGGTGGAACATCCAAAATGTCCAAAATGCGGTAAATCAGTGTATGCTGCAGAGGAAATGAATGCTGGTGGTTACAAATGGCATAAATTTTGTTTCAAATGTGGTTAGTCTGTCTTTTTTTTTTTTTTTCTTAATTAATTTTTGTTTGATTAACTTTTAATCTTTGTTTTTTTTTTTTTTGTTTTTATTTTTTGGTTAAATAATAAACATGAAATAACAATAATTATGTAACCACACAAATGATATAGCATGGCAATTGAAATTAACAACTCATTCCAATTAAATTTTACAGCTGAGAAGCACTTACTATATTTAATTGTGAAATAAAGTTTTTTTCCAAAAAAAATACATAAATTACGGAAAATATTAAAAATTTTGAGCATTGACGAATTTTCATATATCTTAGCTTAATTCTATTTAAAAAAAAAAAAAAAAATAATTAAGAAAAAAGTAGGATTATTTTATTTTTCTAATAAAATCTTTATTTATTCTCTTCTATTCTCCATTCATCTCAAATTGTTAGCAATCTTTAAGCTAATGAATCAATTTTTTACATCGCATTATTTCTAATGTAATATTATTCGTAAGAATTTGAAAAAGTAAGTAATTTGCTTACTCTGTGAAATTTGACAGAGTAAAAAATTGGACAAAGTAAATAACTTACTTACTTTGTGTTCGTTTATTTGTTTTTGAACTTTATTTTAGAAAAAAAAAAAAAGTTTTCGTGAATTTGTTGTTTGTGAATTTGAGGATAAATTGACAAATTGGTAATATCTTTTTAAATATGCTCGAAATATTATTTTTGACTTAACAATAAGTCATGCATCGATGAAAAGAATTATATTTGTTTAATTTTAACAAATGCTAATACTATTGAAAGAATTATAAAGTATTACTGAAATGTGAAATTAAACATAAAACTATATTATAGCTATTTTAACAATAAATTTTAACTTTTACTTTTTGAGAATAAATCTAAACCTAATCCTTTTCAAATAATCACAATTAATCAGTTTAATCGTTATCAGAGTTAACAACTGTTTACAGCTATGTGTAACAAATTACTTGACTCAACCAATTGTTGTGAGCATCAGGCTGAATTATACTGTAAACAATGTCACAGTCGAAAATATGGTCCTAAGGGGATCGGTTTTGGAATAGGTGCCGGTGCATTAACTATGGATACCGGAGAGCATTTCGGAAATACGGAAGTGGAAATGACGTTAGTCGTTGGTCCATTCATTTTTTTGTGAAAAATTTAGTGATAATTATTACTGTCTAATCATTTTAAATTTAATTTTTTTTTTTTTGTTTTAACTTTTTGCATTAATTTTTCTGTGATATAATTTTTATTATTATTTATTTTTATTGCATTATTAAATGATCATACTAACCAAATTTTCTTTTTTTTCTAAAAAGAATAATATTAAATGTCATAAATTTATGCAATAATTTACTTATTTATTAGATACCATATTTATTATTTCAAATGATAACAAAAATTTATCAATTTAATTATTAAAATTAAAAAATTACATTTCAATGTCTTTCCACATTTTTTAACACATACTAAAAATTGTTTTTTCTTCTAACTAACTAAACGGTATGTTATATAACTAATAAATTAATTATAATATTTATGAATGAAATTACTTATCCAATTAAATAAGAATATTATGTCTGTGAGATAAAAACTTTAAAAGTTTCTTTTTCATTTTTTTAAAACTAAGAATATAGCACTAAATTTTATAGCTAAAGAAAGAAAAAATCTTTGCTAATCAATATTTTAAAGTAATTTTTTTTAAATATTATCAAATTTACACCTTTTTAAATTACCATTTATAAATTTCTATCAATTTGCATGTTTTCCCGACATTACTATCATTTCTAAACTTTCTTTCTCCCTCTCTCTCTCTCTCTTCTTTCACCTTTCATTTACAGAACTGTGTAACAAATTGTTGGATTCAACAAATGTAGCACCACATGAAGCTGAACTATACTGTAAACAATGTCACGGTCGAAAGTTTGGCCCAAAAGGTGTTGGCTTTGGTTTAGGTGCTGGCGCTTTAACAATGGACGATGGTTCAAGATTTGCCAATAAATGAATTTCAAATGGTGATCAGATAGATGTAGCAACTATTTTTCATTTTAAAAACATTTCAAAAAACACTTAACTAATAAGTCTAACAAATCTTTTGGCTAAATTTACTAAAGCATCTAATACTTCTGGAATATATCAATTCTTCCATACTAAATTTTAACTATATTATATATTAAATTATCATAAATTATCTTAAAATTATTTTACAATTTATTCAACTTTCTCATTTACTAAATTTGTTTAAATTTTTGTTATTTTTTTTTTTGGTTAAAATTATATTTTTATTTCATTTTTTTTTTCTATTTTTTTTCCAGGAATCGACCGATGACAGCGGAAGCATTCACAGCACCAATCAATCCAACTCATAAATAAATAAGAAATGAGAAAAAATGATTCCAAAAAAAAAAAAAAAAATATTCGTTTGAAATATATTTGACATATAATTTCATACAATAAGCTATATGACAATGACCTGTTGACTCTCGTATTTTTCAATTTTTTCTTGATGATTTATTATAAAATTATTTTTTGTTTTTTTGTTTTTTTTTTTATAAAATTTAATTGCTCTTCAAATGTTGACCTTATCAAAGAGCTATATTTTAATTTTTTCACCATATGATAATAAATCTATGTGTGAATAAAAATTTTTTTCTGATTATAATCTAAAAAGTTTTACAGCTTTCTTTTTTTTTTTTCTTTACAAATTATTTTGCAATTTTTGTTTTAAATTTTTTTTATCTTAGTAAGAATTATGTTTTCGGCGGAAAAAAGAAAACAATTCAACAAGAAATTTAGCAAAAATTTTCATTGATGAAACAAAAAAGAAACAACATTTAGAATTAAAATGAAAAATATTATTGTACTGTAATATTTAGAAAAAGATGAAAATGTTTTTTAATAAAATTCTTTGGTTGCTTCTTCACAATTTCCTGCACATTGTTTTTCGGGTATTTTGATGAATGTTCAGACTGATTATACCCATATTGTAAACTTTATTAATTGATGTTGATGGTATGGCGAATCGATCAGTAACAATGCATCGCTGCAATTAAAATTCATAAAATATATCGACTTAATTAATTTTAAATATGTTATAAAAAGTGAGTAATGGCTTAATTAAATTAAATCAAACAAATTGTATTCAAAAAATTATCAAAAAATAACAAATTAGCAATGATTATAAACTATAGTTAGAAATATTTATCTAATTATTTAAGAATAAATTAATGATAATAAAATTTACGATTATATAAAAAACAGAAATTTTAACGCTAATCATTGCAAATAAGAATGCAAAAAAAAATTAAATAAAATTACTGAATTTGTTGAAAAAATCTAAAAGATTTAATTTTAATAAGTGTAAAATTTTGCCAGAATAATTTTAAATTGAGCAATAATGCGCCATCATCCCTTTTTAGTAATACTTAAATTTGCATTAATCATTCATAAATTTCTTTTATCCGTCCATTGTCAATAATAAATTCACATTGCACTCAGTTATTTTGGAAATTTTATTAATAAATAAGTTCTCGTTATAACTTAATTTTGAAAGAGAGAAAAAAGAAAACTGGAAAGACAATAATTTAATCATTTCACTGATACTAAAAATTTATCACTACAGTACAACATATTATATATAAATATTAAGCAGTAATTGTTATCAGTGATAAGATTTTCTACATCTAAACTATAACATACATTTGTTAAATTATCTCTTTGTTTTATACTTTAGGAAAATTTTCACTCAAAAAACGACAATTTAAACAAATAAATATTTATTTCTTTTCGCAAAAAGAAGAGAGAGAGAGAGACTATTTTATCTTAATTTAAAAGATCAAAAAAAAAATTCTAAAAAAAGATAAAAAACAAAAACAAACCGTATTAACCTTGCCCTGATAACAATGATGTCTGATAATCAAATATGTTTCAATGCTACCCCATTCTCTCTCTGTTCCACTAATTTCAAAGAATCCATCATGTTGTGGTTGTGTTGAATTTAATTTATCATCAGATAATGAAATTGAATGCAAAATGATACGATCACATATTATCAAATAATAACTTATGAATATCACTAATATTAATAAAATATATCAATTATAATAATTACAAACAAAAGAAAAAAAAAAAAACATAATTTTTCACATTGTTTTCTTTTTTTTACGTATGGTAAAATGGCAAGAAAAAATTTCAATTAATGTCTTTTTTTTTTTTTTCCTTTTTTTTAAAGTTATTTAAAAAAGATATATGAATTTATAATTGAATTAATTTAAAAAAAAAAATTACCAACATCTTTTTCCCAAAGTTCAATATGAACATCTAAGGTATGTACATTATTTTCACATCCAATTTCGCCCTGCACCGTAATTTGTTGCTGTTTTCCGAATAACAAAAATCCGTTGATAAGTGATAAGAATAGCATAAATATCATTAACACTTCCATAAATGCTTATAAAAGTAAAATTTTTCATAAATATAATTTACTTAAATAATTTAAATGATTCTAATGTTTATTATCGAATTTAATTAGCAAAAATTAATGGTTATTGAAATTTAAATTAGCCAAAAATGGATATCATTGGTCATCCTTGCTTGTCTCATAACTTTCACATGCATTTCATTTATTCAAGTATTACACTTACTGTATCGAATTATTTTCGATTAATTTAAAATACTATAAAAATTTTAAATGAATTTTGTATAAATTATTTTTACTTTTTGATTTGATATCATTTAATTTTCATTAAAAAATAGTTTAATTTATTTATAATTGCGCCTTTTTTTTTCCTTTTTAATTTCAATGATTGTTTGCAATTATTGAAATTATCATTTTTTCTTTTCTCTTATAATTATTTAACAATGTCAAAAAAATATATATATATAAAAACCGTCCATTTTTAATTTAATTAACATGCATTGAATAAGTATTAAATATTTCAAAGAATAAAAATTGTTCACATTTTCAATTTGAAAAAAAAATTTTTACAATTTTATAATTAATTGCAACTGTTGACATCTGATAATATCTTTTTGTGTGATAATTTTACTATGATTTCATGAAACATCAAACTTAAAAACTGCTAATTAATATGTATTAAGTAAGAATTAAAAAAATGAAAAATTTTTTACAAACAAAAATTATTGACTGAAAATAGCGACGAAATTTGCAAAAAAAAAGAGAAAAAGTATTTTAAATAAACTTTCGTTTTTGTTATTGTCTACTAAAGTGGCACATGAATTAGCAAATAAAAGCAATTTATCGTCAAAATATCCTTTTCTAATATAAGCAATAATTTTTATGCTTTTTTTGATGACATTTAATTTGATGAAGGAAATAATTTCAATTAATAATATAATATTTATGTTATTTTGTTGTTTTTTTTTTGGATAGTTTAAAAATCATCTAGAAATTTTCCCTTTTATTGCCAAAATATTAATAATAGCTAAGGTAATTTAATTACAAAAAAGAAATTTTTATTTTAATTTTATAAATTGACTTTTTTTTTTGTAAAGCATTTTAATTTCTCACTTTTTTGTTTTTAATTGAAAATGTTTTCAGCACTATAAATGGTATAAAATTTATCAATACAGATCATATCAACTTAATTGCTTAATTAATTACTTGATTATTGTTTATTTGCTTAATTAAATCAGTTTATATCCGAGTTACTATTGCTAGTAACATTGTATTATTCACACTACGAAAATGATTTTCCAATTATTTATGAATATTTTTAACGTTCAAAAAAAAAAAAAAAAAAAAATCAATTCATTATTTAGATTAAAATCAATTAATTATACTTTTACTTTCATCAAATACAAATCATTTAAATCATTTTATATGCTATTTTATACTTTGCAAATTGCAAATTATAGGTAAAGTAATGTAATAATCAAATGATTTAATCTTTTTTTTTTTTCAATTTAATTTCACAACTAAAATGATTACAGTACATACATACGACAACGATAAACATTATTGCAAATTACAGGGATGAAAAATTTTCAAATATTCTAAGTGAAGTTTAAATAAGAAATGATTACTTAATTTCTGTTAAAATTCATCACACCCTTAATTTCGACAAAGATATGTTTCACTCAATGACAATTTTTCTTGTGATTCATTCGTGCAATATTTAAACTAACAATTCCCATTTTATAAATTTTACCAATTTGATCATTTGGAATTGGAAAATCGTCCGTAATGATACAATTCTGTAAAAAGCAAAAAAAAAAAATAAAATAAAATTCAAATAGATCAAAATAGATTTTTTTATTTTAATTATTGAAATATTTTAGGCAAAAGTAAAATCTTTTTTTTTCTTATTCTTTAATCATTTCTATCATATTATTTTGATGGAAAATTTATTTAAATTATTACAATTAAAGTTAAAATAATTAATTAATTAATTGATAATTAAATTATGATTACTCATTCTCCAAAAGAATTACCTCAGAAAGTATTCCATCTTCGCAGTTGTGAATAATTCTCAAATATGGCTCAATACTACCAACTTCACATTCCTCACCATAAACCGTAAAATATCCTTTGTTATCACTTTTAGTTTTATTCAATGAATCATCTGGGTCAACTGAAATTTTCAAAAATTTTCAAAAAAAAAAAAAAAAAAAAAAAAAAAAACAAAAATAATTATAGCAAATATAATATTCGCAAAATAAAAAATATGAATTTGAAAAAAAAAAAAGTTTTTTTCATATATTATTATAAAATTATTTTTATAATTATAAATTAACAAATTGATAATAAATAGTGTGCAATTTGAAATTAAGAAATTAATTAAAAACTAATTTGTAATCATAATGAATGCAAACTTACGTGTATCATGTTCACGTAACTCAACAATTACATTTTTTAATGCTCGTTCACCACAACCTAACTGTCCTGTTACCGTAACATGACTGGTAGTACAGATTGCATTCAGGAATGATGGTAATCCGGCAAATGATAACAGGAAAATTATAGCATATAGCATTTAGTCTATGAAAATCACATTTTTAAACTTTATAGTATACATTTTTTTTTTTTTTAAATATTTGATGATATTTGTAAATGAATAGTTATAGTATAAAACTGATAACAAAATGATAAAAAAGTTAAGTGTAAAATGTTGAATTAAAATTATAACTCTCGTAAAGTGATATTAAATTAAGTGGAAAACATAATTGAAATTATGTGACACTTTTTGTAATACTATGACAATAATTTCCTAAAATTAAATTTAAAAAATTACAGCGAAGAAATTGTCATTTAGTAATTAATTATGACATTTCAACATTAAAAAAAAAAAAAGAAGCTGTAATAATAAAAGTTTTTGTTTACTTATGCTTACTCACGAAATGTTTACGTTACCAAAAGTACATGCAATGAACAATTTCTAGAAGAAATTCTTAGCTAATATTAAATTTTAAATTAAAACCAATTAATTTTTTAATATATCAAAAATTTTTGGTAAAATTTTAATGAATATCATTTTACAATAAATAATAAATGATGAAAAATATTTAAAAAATTAAGTATATTTGATTCTATCAAACATTTCAGTTTCTTTCTAAAACGATTATTGAATTAAACTATGAAAATAAAAAAAAAATTATGCCAATAATTAAAAATTAGAAATTTTAATAAGAAAGTAATTTCTAAATAAAATAAATTTGTTGCAAAATGTTAAAAATATCCTTAATTAATTATTTAATTAAATCATAATTAAAAAAAAAAAAAAAACAAATTGAAAAAAAAAAAAAATTTAAACATAGAAATCAATTGGCATCGAATCGTTTCGTAGTGTAAATGAATGAATGAATGGGTAAAATTATATGATGGGTAAAATGTTACCATCAAATAACCTGTTTTAAAAGAGGAAAGAGAGGGAGAGAGAGGGAGAGGCAGAGAGAGAAAAAAAAAAAGGAAGGAAAAACAGTAATGTGAATTCCTTACGTGGCGTTTGCATTGATAATTGTTTAGGTCATTTTTTATAATTGTATTGTAATTTCATACATTTTAAGTGTATTTTGTCAAACAATCATTATTGATTGTTTAATTAGTTTGAGAGAGAGAAAAAAAAAAAAACAATAAATATAATTATTTTCACTAAAAATAATAATACAGAGATTTATAATATTATATATTGTTTATCATTGATTAAAATAATACTTTAAAATTAATTTTATTAACTCAAACAATTTTTTTTTTTGTTTGCACTTTTTATTCAAAATTTGTTGATGAAATTAGAAATTGGAAAAAAAAAAATGAAATAAAATTCTTTAATTTATCTAATCAACTTTAAATGTAATACTTATGAAAAAGAAAATATAAATTGAATTTTTGGTAAAAACATACTTTGAGATTACTCGAATAAATGAATTTAATACCGATAATTCTAAAGCTATTTCTTGAAAGTTTAACTAATTAATTAACATAAAGTTTTAAATTATAGCAAATAATACTTTTTCTTTATTTCTGTGCTGAAAAATTATTTGAAAAGAATTATTGTTTTTTTTTTTGCTTGTATATTACTATTCGAAATTTGTAATAATAGAACAAGAATTAACTAAATAATTAAAGCTATTAAGATATGATTTTAAATTATTAAAAGTAATATTTTTGTTTTAGTGTTGAAAAATTAATTCGAAAAAAAATTTTTTTTCTTATTTACATATTATTATTAAAAATTTGATAACAAAATAGGAACTAATTAACTAATCAATAGCTAATTAATCAAGTAGGTAGAAATACTAACATATAATTTTAAATTATCGAGTTTAAATTTAATATTTTTTGTTTCTGTGTTGGAAAATTATTTGAAAAGAATTTCTTTTTCTTTCTTTTCTTTCTTTTCTTTGCATATTAATCACTAAAAATTTGTAATAATAGCAAAACAGGATGATAGTGATTGATGTTTTAAATGTTGAATTCAATCAATAAATATTAATTTTTTTATTTTATTATTTCCAAATTACATTAGCATTAAACAGAGTAATAATAATAGTAATAAAAAGTAATAGTAATAATAATAATAATAAAGTAATAATAAAAAGTAATAATAATAATAGTTATAGCAAATATATATTAATGACTACAAATATCACATGCGAGAAAAGAAAAAATGAAAAGAATTTTCATTTTTAATTTCATCCAATTCAAACGCAATTCTTTTGTCGTCTCTTTACAATATTTAAGCTTACAATGCCCATATTGTAAGTGTCACCAACATATTTTCGTGGTATTTCATATCGATCTTTTATTGAACATTTCTGTGTGAAAAAAAAAAAATGAGAGAAAAATAGGAATGAAAATATTAAATTTAATTTTTAGCTAAATTAAAACGAAATTTTGATATAAAAAAGACTATTTTTTACATTATTTCTATTAAATTCAAAAAAAAAAAAAAACCTATTTATTATTAGTAAAATTTGCAATTAATACTTTCTACATTTTATACTGTAACTAATAAAAGTTTCATTTTCTTTCATTCTTATTTCCATTTTACTATCTGTATAAACTATTAACTAATAATTAATGTTATCAATTTTTAATAATAATTTGTAATAATGTCATTTCATTAAAAAAAAAAAAGAAAAAAAATAATATTTGTATCAATTAAAAATGATTTTAACAAAAAAAAAAGCGAAAAAAAATTTTATAGTTCAATAAAATTGAAACTTGAAAGATAAAGTATAAGAGTATAAATGTGTTTTACAGGTAATATCACTTTTTGTTAGTTAAAAAAAAAAAAAAAAAACTAAATTTACCGGATTAATGACACCATTATCACAGCTGTGTATAATTATTAGATACGGTTCAATATTATTCACTTCATTTTCCTGTCCAAATATTCGGAAACGTCCGTGATTATCCGTTTTTGTCGTATTTAGCAAATCATCCGGATCCACTAGAAATTAAAATTACAATTTTATATCATCATTTCAATCATAAATTATTATACAATTTGTTATTATAATAATTATGCAGAAAAAAAAAGATAACTAATAATAATTTAAGTGAAATATAAATAATTCAATGAAAAATGAAAGGATGGAATTTTATTAAATATCTGATTAAAATAAATAAATTATAATTAAACATGAAAGTGACTAACAGGTGTCACGTTCCCATAGTTGTATTTCAATATCTTTTTGTGACCGATCACTGCATGCCACCTGTCCGGTGACAGTTATATTTTTCATACTTCCTGCAGCAAATGTTGAAACTACCGCAACACTCAACAATATTACACAATTAATAAGCATAACTGAAAGAAATTTTATTGTTTTTCATTTTTAACTTTTTTTTTCTGAATTTTATATATTTTTCAAAAAGGCGAATTATCAATTTCAATGATAAAATTGAAAAAAAAAAATTAAACAAACAATAAAACAATTTAATATTTTAAACTAACATAAAGAGAAATTGAAAAAAAAAAAAATATTTCATTGGTTTTATTTGATACATTTGAAAAAGTTATGAATAATAAATGATAAAATTATTAGCAATTAAATTATGCTTGTGAAGAATATTAATATTCGATAAAAATATTGCAAATAGTAAATAATTTCTTTGCAGCACTTACTTTTTAATAACTTTTACCTCTGAAAAATAACTTTATCCTGTTGAAGTAATCATATTATTGTAATATAATTCTAAATAATTTCAATGAAATTCTTTCTCATTACTTTATCTCTTTGTTAAAATAAAATAAAAGTTAATAACTATTAGTTGAAAAAAAATATTATTTTAAACATAATTTTTTTATTAGAATATATAATTAAATGGATAATATTTAAAAATTGTGACTAATCATTTTCTCTGATTAAAACAAGTTTGAAATAATTGCTGCTATTATTATAGCATTAGTAAACTTTTTTTAAAAAAGTGAACTAGAAAATAATTCTTTTTACAATGCATATTAAAAATTCATAAATGAGAAATTATTCGTTTTTCGTTTTTTTTTTTTTTTTCTTTTGTTCGATTAAGTATTAATAATTTAAAATTTTTTAAAATGATGCCAAGATAATTGTCTCTAATTTATTAAAAAAAAATCCTTTCATTATTTTTTTTTTAAAAAATTCTTCTACAGTGAAATGGAAAGAGAGAGAGAAAGAGAAGAGAGAAAGAGAAAAAAAAAACGAATTAATATTATAAATGTTTCTTTTTTTCTATCAATGTTTAAAAAAAGACATTAAAATTATTCGATCTTTTATTATTCATAGTAAAATAATTAATAATGTATTGATTGATTGATTTTTTTTTTAATTTTGACTTTATTTATTAATTTTTAATTTTTGTTGAAAATATGGGAAGAAATGAAAGTCAAGAGAGAAATGATAGTCAAAAGTTGGGAAAGTTTTGGAAATGTTAAAATTTTAGTAAAGAGATAAATGTTTCTAATGTAATTTGAGAAAAGTGATAAGTGAAGTGATCTATGATTTAATGATAAATGTTATTGATTAAACTGATTGTGTTTCTTTGCAAACACAAAAGAGAATCGATGTTTTGGAGTTTTTTATTTCTAAAATAATGAAAAATGAGGCGAATAGACTCTCAAACATAAATTCAATTCGGTCTATTCTCTACAATTTCAATTTTTTTAGTAAAACAATTGCTTAAGTTTTAAAAATAGAAAGTAAATAAAATAAAAAAATGAAAGTATTAAGTTTCATCCATATTAGATATGATAATGATAAAATAAACCTTAAGTAATCATTCTTGACAAAACTGATAACCATTTATTTCTGCAGGATTGTTTTGCTAATCATTGTATCAATTACTATATAAAAATCATGATTATATCATATATTATGCATATTATATCACTGATTTCATGGAAAGATAATAATAATAATAATAATAATAATAATAATAATAATAATAATAATAATAATAATAATGGATTAATAGAAGACAAAAATGCAATAATTATGATTTAATAATTATTTTATTACATTATATAATTGTTATTATATAATCAACTCATTAATTTTAATTATTAAACTAAATTTAACAAATAAATTAGGAAGAAACTGTAAATTATTATTTTTTTTTTTAAGAAAAGGAAGAAAAAGTGGTCAATTCTGAAAAATACAATTGTGGGTAATTTCTTCCACATAAGTATAATTAAATCCAAAAAAAAAAGTTGTTTGCAAAAAATATTTTATTAATAACCAAAATTAAATAATATTAATATCCTTAATTTCCTTTCATTTCAAAGGAAAAAAAAATCAATTATCGATCTTTTCGTGATCGATTGATTGCATCCATTATCGATCATCATTCTTTACATTGCTTCTTATGATTCTTTCCGGCAATATTTAGACTTACAATATGCATATCATATGTTTTACCAATATATTCTTTTGGAATTGGATATTCATCAGTGATTGTGCAATTCTAGAAATCAATCAATCAATAATGATAATCATAATATCATCAAACTATTATTAGTGATATTAATGATCAATGAAATATTAAAATTTTATACTCTATTATCAAACAAATTTTCTCAATTTTTCTTTATATATATGTATCTTATAAATGCTACCGTTATTTATTAAAAGCATTGCAAAAAAATAAATTTTAATAATATAAATTTATTTTCAAAAATTATTTTGCTTAAAATCAGAGAAAAAAATAGGTAAAATTTAATAACTAACCGTTTTAATAATACCATTATCACAGCTATGCTTAATGATTAGATAAGGTTCAATTGCAGTTACTTCCTTATCTTCACCGTATACTTTAAAAACTCCTCTACCATTTGAAGTGGTAGAATTTAATAGATCATCAGGATCACCTAAAATAATTCAAATATTTTTATCATATCAATCATTACTCTCTGCTTTGATTAGTAAAAAAAAGAAGGAAATAACGATTTTAAATTATTTTTGATTTTTTATTTTTACTATCAATAAATTTGTTGGTACTATTTTATTATATTAATATCACATAAATATAAATTGAAAAAAAAAAAAAAAAAACTTATCAGTATCCTCCTCCCAGAGTTGAACTTCGACATCACGTACTGACTTTGTGCCACACGCAAGTCGACCAGTTACAGTGATACCTTGAATTGAGCCAATAACGCCTGCATTTGCGCAAAATGCAACAAAACCAAGTAGTAGAAATATTCGCCAAAACATTATTCTGTATGAATTTTTGAAATCAATGAAAATAATTAATTTAAAAAAAAAAAAAAAAAAAAGCAGCGATAACTCAAATATTAATGTTATTAACACAAAATTGATGTGATAATCAAATTATACATAATGCTAATAAATGTCTAAATTTTTAATTTAAAAAAAAATTCACTCTTCATGTCAGTAATAATTAAATAATTTGATTAAAATAATTCCTCATAACACTTCAAAAAAAAAAGTGTGAAAATATTTTAATTTTTTTATTTCCATAAGCAATTTTAAAGTTTGCTGCTACATATTAATTTCAATCATTTTTTTTCTTTATATTGCATTAAATAAAATTAAAAAAAAATTACTCAACAAAAGTACTTATATTAAAGAGAAATTAAAATAATAACAATTCAAAGAGTTTATTTATTTCATTTTTTTACGAAGGTTTTTCAGTGCTTTCTTCATTTTTTTTCTTTTTCCATTTTGCCTTCTTTCCTTTTTGATTAGTAAATTATCTTATTAAAATTAATTTAAAAATTTTAATTTTTTTTATGAAGTAAACTTTTTCACATATTCAAGTAATCATTCCTTTTCAAATCATTTTTCTTTCTTATTTTATTATTTAAAAATCTTTCGAATATGATTGATGAATCATATTGAAAACATTCTTTTCTTTTTTTTTTTTTTGAATCATTTAAATATGATTTTTAACTAAATGAAAAGCCATAAAACAAAATGCGAAAGAAAAAAAAAAACGAAAAATTTCCATCGTTTATTTATTTCATTCATATATTTTTCTCATTCAAGGGCAAAAGAAAATTTTTGTATGTTAGAACTGGTTTTTGCATAGAATTAAATATTATCAATAATGCTATCATTTTGTATTCTTAATATGATTTAATCATTATAATCATTTATCATCATTATCATATGTTATTTTATTATATTAACATTAATTACATTTAATTATACATTTTTGAAGTAACAAATGTATGTATATGAAAAGAAAAATACAATAACACTTAATCAGTAATCAATGATAATGCTCTTAGACATTTCGTTAGAAATTTATTAAAAATAAAAATGATAGAAGAAAACTTCATCAATTTGATTAAAGTTAAATTAATTTAAGATTTAATTTTGAATTTGTTTTTTCAAATTAGTTTGTTCAGTTATTTTCATCTAAAATATTCAACAAAAAAGAAAAAAAGAGAGAAAAAATGACAGAAGAAAAGCTAAATGAAATTATTTTTTTTGTTAATTTCATCTATGCATTTTTTAAAGTTCGTTTATTTTATAAATATTAGAAAAAAATTTTTTTGCAAACACATAGAACAGAAATTATCATTGTGGAATGAATGAATGAATGAATGAATGGGTGTGCAAATTGATTTTAATTTAAAAAAAAAAGCGACCGTTACGGCTAATTCTAAACGAGACATTTTTAATTCATTTCATGTCTCTCTCATTTCTCATTTTCTCTGTCCTCAAAAAAAAAAAAATGAAAGATATAAAATAAACACTTTTATAAATTATTAAACTTGTAAAATTAACGAGCAAAATTGTAAAATTCAATAGCAGTATTTGCTAACTAACTAACTAACTAACTAACTAAGCTAGTTACTTAGTTAATTAATTAGTTAGTTAGTTAGTAGTAGAGAAATAATCATTTATTATAAATGATATCTCTTTTAAATCATTTAACAACAGTAAACATTTGAGTGAAAATTAAAAGTAAAAATAAAATAAATAATGTTAGTGTTTAAAAATTAGTGAAGCATTGTAAATTATTTATCGAATTTAAAAAGATTTTTTTTCCATAACATATTAGAATTACTCAATTTTGTGTAATAAATAAATTGGAAACAAACAAAAACTCTGAATGAAATTGAATGTCAGGTGGTACTCATTCTTATTCTTACTTTCAATCATAGTTATATGAGCTAAATCACTATTTATGAGAGAAATTTGGGATTACAATTTATCAGTCTTATCAGTATGAATCTGTATGTATGTGTATGTGTGTGTATGTGTGTGTGTGTGTATGTGTGTGTGTGTGTATGTGTGTGTGTGCGTGTGTGTGTGTGTGTGTGTGTGATATTAATTTGTAAAATGAATGAATGTATGTTTGTCTAAGACATGTAATGAATTCATTAAATTTATTTATCAGTTATTATCACATCTGTTTATTATTCAAAATCCAATAACAAAAAGTTATTTTCAATGAAATTAAATTCCAATTGAAACAAACAATGAAATTTTTATGAAAAATGTTAATATTAATGACTAATAGATAAAATATGTTAACAAATGATTACAATTAGACATGCAAATAACACAGTAATAGAAAAAGAAATTATGAATTTCAGACTATAATTAAAATGTAATAAAGATATTATATTAATTAATTAAATTTCTTATCAAAAAATTTATTACAATGGGTGATAAATGATGTAATCATTTAGTAGTACAATTGATATATTTAATAAATTCATATCCAACTTTTTCATTTTCAAATTAAAATGATTAAATAGAAACATAATTTATTAATTTAGTTTTACAGATTATTCATATGTCTTTAATTTTTTGATTGCAAATAACTTGGGAAATGATAACAAACTCACTTTATAATTTACGTATTAGAAGGAAACATTTTGAAAAAAAAAAAAAAAATTTTTTTTTAAATTTAACATTTATAAATGTAGATGAAATTTCTTTTGAATAATTTAAATTTTACACAAATACTCCTTCAGTTTTATGTTTTAATGGAGCACATAGTTAGACTTTAATCTAAAAATATTTCGTTAAATTTATTTTTGAACCAAAAAAAAAGGAAAAAAAAAAGGATAAATGATAAATATAAGCACGAAGTCGATTATTCATGAATAGTTGTCATTAAATTCAAAATGAATACATTCAGTTTTTCTCCCATTTTCATTGCAAGCAATCATAAATGCGTGAATAAAATATTTTAAAATTTCTTTTTCCAATTAAATATATATCGTATTTTATTTTTCACTAACATTTATAATTTTAAAAACTAATTCTACATATTTATTTTAAAATGCAATTTTTTTTCCAACAATTTTTCTAGTTTAATAGATAGATGAATGAATATTTAAGTTTCATTTTTCTTCAAAACTTTTCTTTAAAGAAAAGAAACCATTACTTACTCGTAAAGTATGAAAATTCTTCTTACAGTTTAATCGTTTTTTTTTTTTTTTTGTTTTTCAAATTAACAAATATTTACCAAAATTCATAAATAAATTCCAAGTGGTGAAATAAAGTAATTTCAAATTAATATTAATTAATATGGGCAGTAAAATCAACTAGGAATATTTATCAATAATTCATTTTGAGTCTTATCCTAATTTTTAATTAATTTGAATTTCAAATAGATAAACCTTTTAATGAATATAAACTATCTTTATAGGTTTTTTTGTAACAAATTATTAATACACCAATAATATGTTACATTATTTGAATTAAAAATAAAATCATTTAGATTTTATAGTGTTATTATCATTGTTTGTTTGACCTTTGACATTTCTAAATAGAATGACAAATAGCAATTGATTGAACATTTCAACATTATCTGTTTGTTAACTGATCAATCACTTTATTCAGAAATAGAAATTAAACAAAACATTGATTATCAGTCATATCAAAAGAACGATCATTTCATTTTTTTTGCAATTACAAAGGTCAAACAGAAGACAAACAAATAGTATAGCATATCGCAGCTCATTAACATCGATTTGACCTTTGCTAACAAAAAAAAAAAATTTGATTTTCGGAATTTTTTTTTGCTTGTTTAAAAAAAAAAAAAACTTTTTAAAAGGTTTTTTTTGTTTTTTATTTTTTTTAGTGACACTTCTCTTTACGCTTTTTAGTAGCAACCGCTAAGTCCACTAAGCCTAGATTGTATACTTTTCCTTGATATTGTTTCGGTACATCGAAACGATCAATTATTTCGCATCTCTATAATTAATAAAAAAAAAAAAAAAAGTTTCAAAATTATAAATTCTTAATTTTATGCATTAAATTATTAATAATAAGTAATATTTGATAGGTTAAAGGTTATTTCATATAGTTTTCGTATATGAATAATGATATAATAAATAACTTTTTAAATCTTACCACATCATGAACACCATGCTTGCAAAAGTGATGCATTTTTAAATATGGCTCAATATTTCGTATTTCTCTTGCTTGGCCAAATATCTTGAATTGGCCACTGTTATTCGTATATGTCACATTCAATTTATCATCTGGACCAACTATAAAAGCAAAAATTTACAAATATTATTATTTTTTAGAAAAAAAAAAAAAAAAAAAAACTAACTGGTATCTGCTTCCCAAAGTTCCACTCTTACATTAGAATAATAATTTCGACCACAGTTTAATTCACCCGTTACTGTGATATTCTTCTTTCGTCCAAATAAACCATAAGCAATTGATGAAATAATTAGTAATAATAAAAGTTGAGAATGAAACATTATTAATCCTTAAATATTTCAAATTAATTATCATAAAATATTCTTAATATTAAATTTACAAATTAATAATTAAATAATATCATTGATTAAGATAATTTCGATTTTTTTTCTAAGTGATAAGTGATAAAGTATAAACAGTAATACTAATAAAATTAGGAACATCACAAGTGAAGAAAAATAAAAAAATATTTGAAGTTTTGTATATCTGAGAGAGAGAGAGCGAGAGAGAGAAAGACAGAGAGAGAATCATTACACAATGGTTTAAAACTGTTGAAACAAATGATGAATCGATCAATTCAGCATAAAACAAGTTGATCTGTGCGAAGAAGTAATTTATCTGCGAAAAAAAAATTTTTAATGATTGTTTATTATTTTACTAGGTTAATTCTTGTATTCCAATTTAAATATTTATTAAATGGCATAAACTTTCTGTGATCATTTTAATTTATATGAAATCATTTCTCTCTTTTTACCTGGCTTATATTATCGGTATATTCATTTGAAGTTATCATAGGATAAATGCTAATCAAATTTTACATTTCGTAGCAAATAATGATAATGCATCAATTTTATTTTTTTTTTTTTTTTTAAACAATTTTCATATTTATTGTTGACAAAGAAAGAATGAAGATACATCTGGGTGACATTTTCAAATTTACTACTTCGTTGAAATTTATTTTCATTTTTATTTTAAATATCAAATTTTACCATTATTTTAATTGCATAAAAAGATTAAAATTGTAAAGGAAGCATTAATATTATACAATTTAATTTAAACAAGAAAATAACAAATTAAAAAATGATATTTAAAATAAAAATGAAAATAAATATTGTTAAAAAAATTTTTTTTGAGTTTTTTGAAGCATTATTTTGCTACATATTTAGTGGAAAACAGAAATAATCCATTGGAGTAAGTATTGCTAACAATTAATACTGCCAAACAGCTGACACTATTTTAAATTGCAATGAAATAAGTGCAAAGTTATTTTCAAATTTATCATATATATTTTTCTCATTGCTCTTTTTACTTCGAATGTTGATCGACAAGAAAGAAACGAAGCATTTTGCTTCATTCAAACATTTCTTCAAGGGACCATTACTCTTGCAAACAATATTATATTTAATAAGAGTAGCACAATTCAATCCAACAAAGCAATATTTCAAATATTATTTTATTTCAATAATTTTTTTCTTTTGTTTCACAATGATTTCGTTATCATTCGATGTGTCTCAGTCATTTTCAATATGCCATGATAAGGAAACTTAATCAGTTGATAAGCTTGAGCTCTTAGTTTTTAATCTCAACCACTTTTTTTTCTTTGTTTCACAATGATTTTGTTATCAATGTATCTCAACCATTTTCAATATATCATGACAAGGAAACTTAATCAGTTGATAAGCTTGAGCTCTTGGTTTTTGATTTCAACTATTTTTGTTTTCTTTTGCTTTTCAATATTTTAAAATGCTGAAATGTTTATTTCACAAGCTACACATATATGAGCTAAGATTTTTTAATCAAAGGAAAAGCATAATATTGTTTACTCTCTTTTTTTTGATTTAATAAACAATTTGTAAAATAACTCACTGTTTTCAAATCTTGTAGATAATAGAGTAAAAGAACTGGATATAACTATAGCCTAAATTAATTTGCTTTTAATTCTTATAAAAATTGACGACTGCGAAACAGATGAAAAGAAATGTGATAAATGTGAATATTAAAGAGATTAAAAAAAAATTTACTTGACGTAACCAAACAAATTTAAAAAGTTTTTCTGAAATAATAAAATGAGAACATACCAACCTGTTTCGTTTGCTTTCGTAAAATTTATGCAAATTCTTTATACCATTAATAAATTTAGAGAAAATGAACATAGTAATAATTCAGAATTTATTTATTGATAACTTATAAGGTACCATTATTTCCGATCACAATCCATTTGTTCATTATAAGCTTCTTTCAGATCTTTCAGTAAATTGCGTTCCAATATATTTCCAGCTGTGATTAAACCACTGTACAGTACACTTGCAATGCCACAGAAGAGAACATCTTGTCCTAAAAAGTTCCATTAAAAATTAATCTTTTCAAAAATAATTTCCAAACCACATTTTGGTCATAAAAATCGATGAAATAAGTATTACATATTATCAATAATACAGTTAGAAAAAAAAAAAAAAAAGAGAAAAAAATCATAAGAAAGATGAGATTGATTATAGATAGATAGGATAAGTAGTGATGAGAAAATGTAAGAGTACTAATTAAAGGATTTAAAACCGTCTATTCAATTATAGTTGATGAAATAAAAGAAAAAATTTTGTGCAATTAAATTTTTAATCAATATTACGATAAATAAAGAACACTTGGAAAAATTACAGATCTACCTGAAAGATAGAGACCAGGTAAATCTGTTTTGCATCTCAATTCACTCCAGAATTTCAATTTAAACCGATCAATTTGTTGCGTTAATGAATAGTATTCACCATGTGCATTTCGCATATAATACTGCTGAGTTAATGGAGTTGAAAATTCAACGTATGCTATCTGTAAGTTAAAATTTTAGCATTTATTAATATTTAACTCAAATCTATTTTCAATCACAAAGAAATCACAGTTAATTCTTCTTATTAACCTTTGACCGGTTGCAAACAACTACCTACTAGTTTCCTTATTATTTCTTTCAAAATTTATAATTCGCAATTCATTAATCTCATTTAAAAATTTCAAGTTTGCTTTTTGGAATTCTAAACTTACATGTGATTTAAGATTTGGAAACAATTTCAAGAATTGACTTAACATCAATTCACCAATTACATGTTTTAATTCAGTATACTCTGCTCGATTCAATCGTTTTATGGAATTCTTTTTCGATATATCTTTAAATTTTTCGAACCAAGCAGGATTTGCTAGCGAAATTAATTGACATGTTGAAGTACCTGAAATTTGCCTACTCGTAGAGATTTTCTAACCAAAGGATATTTAAAATGCTATCAGTTCAATAAAAATTTGGTATTTATACCAGGATTTCGTTCATCCCATGTTGGATCTTTGGCTGATGGGAAGCAAATGAACATTTGTGCTGGACAGCCATATTCCATTGCTTCTGAGGATGACAAACTGAAATTTCAGCAATATTTTCACTCAAAAAATATCTAAAAATGTCATGAGTTCAATAACTGAAATAATACAGATGAAATTCTGTTTTATGCATTAGCTAGCACAAAATTTTGTTGCAAAATCGTTTTAAAGTAAGTGATGCTCTTTCAAAGGTTATTTAAGGAAAACAGAAAAAAAACTTTTGTATTCTCATATTTCACAACGAATTCAATTATGGTATTGTTGCTTAACAATATAGTAATAGTGTTTCGCTTATCATTGGACTTTGCAACAAAACTTTAGTTATAATAAGACCTTGCTTAATTCAAAGCTGTGAAAAATAATGACAAAAAAAAAAAAAGAAAAAAACTTCAAACCATCAAAATAATTAACCTCAAATAATGATCAAACTCATAAGGATTACTGTTTTTGTACCAAAAAAAATTATTGGACGGTAATCGGAGGTTATTTTGCGTTCCAGATAAACCAATATATGCTTGAAATCCACCAACCGGCACAGTCTCCAGCGAATTAAGTTCATTCACCTTTTTAAACATAACTGTAAAATATGAAAAACTCTGTATTAATTCATCTTAAGGAAATATTCAATTATCCAAATAATTACCCGAATTTCGAGCAATATTTTGAGGTATTAGCTCGTTGAATGTCTTAATAATTGGAGCTGTTGAAACAACCAATGAAGTTTGGATGATGTATTCAAAAGAACCATGTTTCACTTTTACTCCTAAAGTTCAAAAATTTAGAAATTGATGGAATAACCACAAGAAGCATCAATTATCATCGAGCAAAGAATTGCATAAACTGGTTTTAATACAATTTTATGACTGCAAATTTTGTTTTTTACTTACAAATACACATGGCAATTAATAAGAAAACATCGGTAAAAATGCAACATTTTTTATTTTACTAGATGTAAACATAATCAAAGTTAAGTACCATTAACCCTTCCACTGTTAAATACAATCTCTTGCACATCTGCTTGCACAATCACTTTTCCACCAAAATTTTGAATCGATCGAATAATGCTGGCAATAAGAAATGCTGCGCCACCAATGGGATAATATCCATTTTCCATAAGAAATAGATTATGTTGAAGAAATGATGCACGATTTGGAGGAATACCTGAAAAGTAATTAAAATTAATTTCAAAAGTACTGCAAAACGTTGAGATAAAGTGTATATGTCATTCTAGTTGCAGTCTCTAATTTGTGGAAAAGGTTCCAAATTTCTATATAATTCCAATAGTTTCAAGAATAAATAAATTACGAATTTAAAATAAAACGAGAAATTGGGAAATGTTAATTTGTTAATCAAAAGCATACCAAAAAGAAGAAAGAAAGAAAATTCGCCATAGGAAGACTGTGATAAATGAAATAAATACTGTTAACGTAATGTAAAGTAAGGTAAGTAAATAAGATAAAAGTAATTAAGACATATCAGATATCGTCAATTATTTTAAAAAGTAGTAAAATAACGAATTTGTTCCATTTAAAGACTTACCATAATTAACAAAATAATAACTAATAATAGCTTTCACATCATCGCTGAGTCCATAGCTCTTCATAACATCTATCAGATTTAGTTCGCAATATTTAAATAAACTGGTAAAGAAATTGATCAAACTGAATTTGGATAGTAAGCGAACGAAGAAAAGTGGTAAGTGTTTTACTCCAGTCAACCACCACAAATTAATATTAAGACATTTCTAAAATTTAAATCTACCTTTAGAAATCATTTTATGTGATGAATTCTTATCTACCAAAAAGGAATGATTTCATCTTGTTTACAAAAAAAGGATTAACTTGAGCATTTGCCCTTATTCAATTAACCTTCGCAACAGAGTTCAAGTTAAAAAGTTCTCTCTTCACTTCTTTCCTAAGTTAATCAATCATTAGAACATGAACTTGAAACTCACCAAAACAAAATCAAAATAGCTGTGGATACTATCTGCTTCTTCTGAAAACCACAATTTTAACTGATCACGAAAATGCATACTATTTCCAGTTTTTCGACCATAATATCGTTCTCCAATTATTATCTTTAAAATAATAAATTTATATTAATTTTTTGATATATCAATTCATAATTAGTTCTAATTAAAAGGTCTAATTAAATAGCAACTTTTGAAAGATGAAATGTACGGTATCGAATGGTTCTTCCATTTTTTGCCAATGAACTTGTGAATCTGTAATAGCTGAACATATGCGATACAATTCTTTTCCGGGATACATATCTTGTACATAGTGCAAACCTGAAATTTTCATTCAGGAAATAGAAAATTGAATAGCGAAGGGATAAAAAGTAATATAAGTAATACTTTTTACTACTTTGCTTTTTAATAAAGCGGATTCAAGCATTTTGGAAGTGCTAAAATTCGTTTACATAACAGAACAAAATAACAAAAAAATTGAATCGAAATGAAATGATAAGCATGAAAAAGAAATGATAAGCAATAGCTGAACAATACTGATGAATGACAGATACATTTTTGACAAATATATACTAACCTAATTGTTGCTTTAAATGTTCACCCTAGGATGAACTAAAAATTTTAAAGAAAACTTGCCAACATCAAATTCATATTTGTCAAGTTTGAAAGTATGACATGAGCCACCAGCTCGATCATGTTGCTCCAGCACAAGTACCTTACGACCTGCAGTTGCTAGTATTTTTGCTACTGTCAACCCTGATAAACCTGATCCAATTACAATCACATCCCATTTCTCATTAACAATTGATGGATTAAATCTAAAAATAATAACCATTGTTGGATGCGAAATATTATTCATTCATCAAATTACCATCAAATATATGAAGAAATGTCACATAGAATGTCACATCAAAACGTCGTTTAGTTAAAAAACTTCAATCAAAATAGAAATAATTCATTAATATATACTACAACTTTGAATATAAATAATAAACCTGCAACTTTGGACAAAAAAATGTCAAAAACATACCTATTTCTTAAAATATTATAAATTTGTTCAGTGGATAATGGCGGATCCATAGATTTACCAGTACAAATCATCTTGCGAAAACAATTATTTATATCACTGCCATGTTTTAACATTTTGAGTGATATAAAGAAGAAAAGAGATGTAACTGCAAGGATCACATACATTTCAACAAGAACCATTTCTGGAATAAATTTAGCATTCAATCTAATTTGCTTAATATATGTGCAAATTGACTCTTCAGTATCACTAAATCTGCAATTTGTGACATTCACTAATTGCATTGATATTGAGACTTTGTAGTGAATTTGTCTCCAGTCAATACAGCAAACTTAGAGTAGACATGTTATCATCGACTTCCTTAGTTTGATTAAATTGATTTAAGCGAGAAAAATTAAAGAAACTTTAATTTTTTGGTGAATTGAAGGTTTTTTTTGAACGTGGAAATGATGTAACTTTGAGCAGTCCAACCTGACGGAGGAAACCGGTCCACTGAAGTTAACGACATTTCGCTATCACAACACAAAATCATGCCACACTGTCTCCAAATAACAACCCATGTTCAACTACTATGTACCTCACTCCATCAATCTTAATTCAATTTATAATGATCCTGTTTTATCAGATATCAAATTCTTCAGAAAATACAAATGCAAACATATATCAGTCAATATCGTTCTGTCTTATCCACCGTGCAATAATGATTTTGTTGTGTGGTTGAGAAAAAGGAAGTTTTACTATCTTTCAGATCACTCCAGTCAATGTTTTCAGCTTTCATTTCAGTAAACTGCATTAAAACAAGCATTTTGCCATATAAGGTACAAAGAGGAATGAATGCTGGAAGGATGAAATTGTTCACATGGTAAATATATTCATTCTCAAAAATTTGGTTGGTACAGTAACAGTAATGAAAATAACGCAGCCAATGAGGAAATTATTTTAAAATGCGTGATGAATAAAAATGTGAGGCACAACGAATTACGAGACACAAGTTTACGCAAGATTAACTAGCAAATAGTCGCACAAAAAATCAGCGTAATTAACTAAAAACAAAATCAGTATGCATCAAAAACATCATATGCACTTATCCAAATCAACAAAATAACAAAATTGGACACTAATTTTTGACTTTTAGACTTACATGAATAAATTTGCTGGCCATAAGTAAATTTCAAGATTTTAAATATTTTGAGAAAATAATGGTCCAACGCTTATGTAATACTCATCATCCACTTAGAACAAACAAATTATAACTCAATAATTAAACGTCGAAATGAGAGACGAATCTTAAAAAACACCCGTCCAAAAATCAGTACATTCCTCCCATACCTCCCATGCCACCACCCATACCACCGCCCATTCCAGCTGCCATCTGAGGCTCCTCTTTCGGCATCTCCGTCACTACGCACTCCGTTGTGGCCAACAATGATGCAACACCAGCCGCATCCTAAAAATTCCGTTGCTGGTTAAAATTCAGTAAAAGAATTTGAACACCTAATTTCAACAGCAACGCGCGTAAAAAAGTATGTCCAGAAAAACTTTACTCACCCACACAATTATCAAATAGCTAATTACCAAAAAATAAAAAAATATATGATTATTTCAGAACAAAAGTTGATGTCTACCGATCATCTAATGATGCTTTTAACTGTTCTGAAAACTTGATTCCTTCTCTTGATACCTTCAGACTATTGCAAAAAAACTAGGATCTATGCACTATTTTGACTCTGAGATGAAAAATGAAATACATCACGGAAAAAGAAAACTACCTGTAGAGCAGTTCGGATGACTTTCGTAGGATCAATGATACCGGCTTTGAACATATCCACAAAAGTATCATTCAGGGCATCATATCCAAACGGTAATTCACTGCTAGCAAGTACTTTTTCCACAACAGAAGATGGATCAACACCGGCATTTCTCACAATTGTCATGATTGGCTCACGTACTGCTTTCTGCACTATTCGCATACCTTAAACTGACTACAGTGAATTCTTATATGGGAAATCAATTTAAAGAATGCATTAAACATAATGAAGTAAAGAAGTATAACCTTTTTCCTGATCAGCATTCTCTCCTTTAACATCTTCGATAGCTTTCAGGGCACGGAGAAGTGCAACACCGCCACCTGGTACAATACCTTCTTCAACAGCTGCTCTAGTGGCATTTAACGCATCTGTGACACGGTCCTTTTTTTCGTTTACCTCTACTTCACTAGCACCACCTACTTTCAGGACTGCAACACCCTTCGAGAGCTTTGCCAATCGCTCATTCAGTTTTTCCTAAAATAATCATTTTTCCCCCACAGTGAAAGGAACTATCTCAACAAAACAACACGAAAAGAAAAAGAGCTTATTTAAAAATTATTTGCATTCACCTTCTCGTATTCAGATGTACTTTGTTCCAGCTCATCTTCAATCATTGAAATTCGTTTCTCCAGGTCTTCAGGTTTTCCCTGCAAATGATTCCCAAAATCACAAATTATAAGAGTCATTCCTTTAACAAATAACTTATTAACAAATAACTTATTAAAAAATAAGAATTTAAATATCATAGAATTTTTTCATATATAACATAAAAAGATCTTAAATCACTAATCAATCTGCTCCCGATCTCAACATAACAAAGAAACCTCAAGTTTTTTTTTTCCGGAAGTGAGATCCTTTTAACCTAACATTTTTTGCGACGGAATTAACACACAGTAACAGAGTTACCTACCACTTGGAGGATTTACAGATTTAAGTAAATTTCGATATAAGTCAATTCTCTATCTTTTTGTAAGAGAAAATTCTTTTATTTCGAGATTATTTATATAAGAGATGTACACACTCCTCCATATTACTTCACCTGATATATAAAAGACACACGGGAGAAAGAAACTTGATATTACACTATTAGTTCATGGAAGTGCTTTAGCATGAAGTAATATTGTTTTTGCACGAAGTGATGCCACTAAGTTGATGTGAATGTCAGTGACTGCAGACCGTTGGATTTACGACCTTGAGTTAATTTTGAAGTTTTAAATAATTTTGTATTCTAAATTGACGGGTTTCATTGTCCAGTATAATGGTATCGCGGCGCCAGCACTACTTACTTTAGAGTAACAAATGTCTTCATACTTTCCACCAGATAAGTTAAAAAAAAAATTCTGAATAACAGCGGATATATTCAAAGTCCTCAATATCGAATCATACCTTGCCACGCAAGATGAGTGTATCATCTTTCGTAATCGAAACTTCTTCAGCTTCACCGAGATCACTGATCTGCACATCTTCGATTTTTAGCAAATTAGCATCATCTCCAAATACTGTCCCACCTGTAGCTATCGCCATGTCCTTCAGTGTATTTTTCCTGTTATCGCCAAAACCGGGTGCTTTCACAGCTGCCACTTGGAGGCCAACCTAGAACAAGTAAACCAATATTGCTCATATATTAATAAACCTGAATTAGTCTCTTTTGCGTAAGTTCAGCCTCCTAAGACTTCAGTAATTTTTGGTGGTTGGATATCTTGGTGACTGATTTAAAATATGTGATCTTTTTAGAAATTTGCTAGCAAGAAAGTCACTGGAAAAAACCAAATAGTAGATTCAGTAGTATATATTTTATATTTGGTAGTATAAACATAAAATTAAAAATTTTATTTTCCCTTCTGTTTATGAAATAAAATTACCTTCAACCTATTCAGCACAAGAGTAGTAAGTGCTTCGCCATCTACATCTTCCGCAACAATCACAATTGGCTTTCTGTATTTGTTAGCCAATTCAAGAGCTGGTACGATATCCTAAAATCGGTGTGTCAAGTATGTATATTGTTTGAAGGTATAAAAACCAACATCCATAGATTCAGAGTCTAATGAATGAACATCACCCTGCAGTTGTGCAGATAAGGTGTACAGAAGTAACATATAGCGACCGTGACCGTATAACAATGGTTTTGCTAAGAACTTATTAAAGAAGGTTAATATACCGTTCTTTCTTGTGTAGTAGGTTCCACAAATTCCAATTTTGATCAAAAATGATTAGAATATATTCTTTACATTCATTTGCCACAATGGCTCATAAATTAACACCACGCACAAATTAGCTCTACATGTTTACCTGTACTTGGCTGATTTTCTTTTCCGAAAACAAAAGAAGACATTTCTCGAACTCCACTTTAGCTCCCTTTGTTGTGTTTATAAAGTATGGAGAAATGTATCCACGATCAAATTTCATTCCTTCGATTGTTTCCAATTCATCATGCAATGTTTTACCATCTTTGACGGTGATCACGCCCTTGTTTCCGACCTAAAATTTGAATTAATTCATTACGGACTTTGATCCACGTCAATTTCATTGCAAAAGCAAATAAACATTTGATGTTACGGATAGTACTGGAAAAAAAAAGATTGAGTTACTTTAATCTCGCAACGCAAAAAAAAACTAATAACCAAGGGTTTCTCCAACATGGACAAAATCATTTCAACTAATGGCGAACTGAGCATGCTTCTACAGTACGGAATGTGTTGCAGATATTGAAAATAGATGTTTTTATTTTATAAAACACTTGGAAAAAAAAATTTGATAGGAACACAAAAATACCTTCTTCATTGCTTCGGATATCAGTTTCCCCACAGTGGAATCACCGTTAGCTGAAATTGTTGCTACTTGCGCGATTTCTTCCGGGGTTGTCACATCTTTGCTCATTTTCTTCAATTCAGCAACCAAGAGTTCCACAGCCTTCATTACTCCTACATAACAGAGAGAGAAATATCCAGAAAAGATCTAATTACAATCTTGGTAAATATAATGATTCGGTTTCAAAGGATGGGAAGCAGCAATTCCTTTTTCAAAGACTAAACATTTAAATTACTACCCTTACCAACTCAACTCGACCTTTAAACATTACGAATTAATTCATAAGATATGTAAAAAAAGTTCAACAGAAACTACTAAAGATGTTGGACAAAAATATGAGTAAAGCAAATGTCAAGTGTTAATGTTCCCTCAGAAAAATCTAAATTTACCTCTTCGAACTTCCACTGGATTGGCTCCTTTGCTGATATTCTCGAAACCTTCTTTCGCAATTGCTCGTGCCAGAACTGTAGCGCATGTGGTACCATCACCAGCCTCTTCATTGGTTTTGTTTGCTACATCCTGAAAATAAACGGCACTATCGAAGTAACAAAGACAGCTCACAAAGTATGGTAAATCATTTATCAGTGCTCCAGATTAATGGTATTAGACAACAGATTCCCAGAAGATGATTCAATTTTAATCACCCATTTCTTGTTATCAACCAATAAAACTCTCGGCTTCAACTTTTCGCATGCTAAAGACAGTAACTTCTGCAAAATCCTTCTCTCTTACCTGCACCAGTTTTGCACCCAAGTTCTTGTACTTATCTTTGAAATCGATTGCTTTCGCCACAGTAACACCATCTTTTGTGATCTTTGGACTTCCCCATGACTGCTCAATTACGACATTTCTTCCCTGAAAAACTGGGCAATAGGACTGATATATGAAAATCCATAGAATTTCCCATGACAGTTTACATATTTAGCATCAAGTGGTAACTACTTCCAATGGTCATGGCAATCACCTTATTAATTCTGATACATTCCAAAAGTACTTGTTTATAAAAATTGTGAAAATGTAGCAAACACATTTAAAAACCTTTGGTCCCATAGTGACAGCGACTGCATCAGCAAGAGTATCTACACCATACAACATTGAAGCACGTCCGTCCGCACCAAACTTTACATCCTTGGCATAATGTCTTAAACCTGATTGCACTGTACGTGAAACAAGTCGTGCCACCGATTGTCCACCGATACGGAACATTTTTGTCGCAGCTCTGTGGATTAACAAGGCTATAAATTAATCATTCAATTAAAGCAAGAAAGCACTCACATAACTATCTCATCACAATGATACAGTCACCTAGAGATATCAGGACCACTTAACATTTCAATTCTGGAAATCGAATCTGCACTCCCATCACTGCAACTTATCATCTATGAAGTTTACAACGAACATTTCGACCCTACTTTAGAAGTGTATTAGCTAGCGAGCAACCACGACCCTACTTGTAAACTAAACAAGCAATAACGGCAGACTATCCATAGAAAAAAGATCTCTAGCTCTATATTTTAGGATAATTGCCTTACGGTAGCAGTGAACAGAATGCAATAGACAGTTATGTTTAAAAAACTTGCTGCTCATTGCTTCTGCAAATCTCTAATATCGTTTGCTAATTATACTCTATTTCAGGTGATACTTCTTACCTGTAACAATTATATGCTAAATACCCAAAGCTTAAAGCTTATCCTTTTTTTTTTTTTTTTTTCTTTCAATCTTAAAATGAAAATTGCATAAACATTATTCAATGTATATAAACCAGAAATGTTTGCTTATCATTCGTTAGATTATATGAATGATCTAAAATATTTCTTCTCAAAACTATTCTGTAGGATAACTTATTAAAGAGAAAGGACAGCAAATTAATCTCTTTGTTAGACACGAATCTGCCATAAAGTGGTAACACCAACTTTAGGCTACGCCATCCTAACAGCCTCCCTGTGAAGTGAAGCAGCAACACAAGGTGGAGAGAGACGCACACAGGGCAGAATGTTCTGGAAGGATCCATCCTGCATCCCTCCCTCTCTCTCTCGATGTCTCTGCTCGTCTTACGTCCAGCTCACGCATACACACACTACTCTGTTTATTTCGCGAGTCTTCTGGAATGTTCCATTGTTGTATCATCTCTCTTTCTGTACGATCTGTCTGTCTGACTCTCCGTCCATCCGTCTATGTTCAGTTCAATGTCATTTGTTGGGGTGAGAACATTGAATTAACTATTTAGGAATAGTTTAGTGATATTTTTACGTCAGACTACGCTTTAACAGCTTTATTTTACGTGTCACGTGATACTATTATTTTATCATGTAAGCGTTGAAAGATATGATAGACGACTATCTAATCATCCAAAGTTGTTTTAATCATATTAATTTAACTTCTTTTTAATAATTCTAGATTAACTTATTTTAATCATTCTAGGTTAATCTATTCACTTCTTTCATTATATTTCTCTTTAAAACAAATCATACTTACATGTTAGGCAGAAAAAGAAAAATTTGTGACTTTGATTATTTGTCTGTTTGTTTAATGCGAAATGGATTAAATCCTTTACTCGTGTATAGTAGTTGCTATCAGTATTATTAATTGCAGAAAAAAGAGTTTAATAATGGCATCCATGTCAGTAGCAAGGAAAGCTGTAAGTTTGTTTCTTTTTGCTTAGCGCGAAATTAGAAGTTTCTAAACTGTATCAGTGTCAGATGAAGTTAAACATTTGGTGTATTTAAATGATGTTTCAAAATTATCCTATTCACGGAGAAGATATTCTTCATACAAAAAATAAGCTCTAATTCTAAAGTTTACTAAAAGTTTTCACGACATGCGTTATGGAAACAAAATGGAGGAAGGAAAACCAATAACGGCATAAGATTGTGCTAGGGGTTAAAAAGTTGTTCATTTTGCATTTCTTTCTGAAACTAAAAATTTTAGCTCGGTGATTTAATCAAAGCATTCAAACCACTATCAGACAGAGTACTGGTAGAACGGTTTGCAGCAGAGACGAAAACCAAAGGTGGAATTATGATTCCAGACAAAGCACAAGGAAAAGTTCTGGAAGCAACAGTAATTTCTACTGGACCTGGTGGACGTGATAGTAAGGGAAATTTGGTTCCGATGACTGTTCAGGTAATAAGTTCTCTGTCGCTACTTGACTGCTAGAGTTACTGTTCCTCATATTTTTATTCGAGATAGTAATTGTTCATTTTTGTGATGAAAATTTATTCTTTATTTTGTATTATTATGCCGCATTTGGGGTTTTGTAATGCAAAAAGCAGCGCCGTTATAGGCAGGAGACCATGTTTTGCTTCCTGAATATGGCGGCACAAAGGTTGTTGTTGACGAAAAGGAATACCACATATTTCGAGAGGCAGATATTCTTGGAAAATTCGACCAGTAAATATCGACATGCGTTATGAATTTTTAATGTACGACTAATATGTTATTTTTACGTTTTTAATGAACCATATTTCTCCCATAAAATGAGCTCATTTCAACTGTATGATATTTAACTAGAGAATATCTGGACAATGATCTTAAATACTTATTTGAATGTCTGTGCGAAGATTCAAGATATCTGCACAGTAGGAAATCACTGGAGAGATGAGTTCGATGATGATCGGGTGGTTTTGTTCCCTTTAGTTTATGTCGCTATAGCCTTATGTTACTTTATTGTCACTGTTTTTGTTAAATTCATTTCCGAATAAACACATAAATGCTAACATCGTCTTACAGTCTTGAATTGACATCACAATTTTAAAAATGTTAAGTGATTACATTTTTAAATGTTAAATGATTGCATTTGAATAAGTTATGAAGTCTAAAGAGATAACATCACCATGCGAGAGAGTGACTAACAACCATACCTTAGAGTTTGAATGGAGATGTCACAACAACGCTGTTTCACTTTTCCAAAGGGTCTGTACTAAAATGTAGCCGAGGAACTCGAACTAAAATCAAGGTACAGACACCTGAACACCAAAAACGACATTTTCAAGGGCGACAGTGCTAACATCATTTTATCCCCCGTAGCCAGCGGGAATTTCGGTGACTTGGTTTATGTGAGAATTCCTGAATTTAGAATTTCTAGAAGGACATCTTCACTCAGAAAGTGTTACAGACGTACACGACACAGTGAATAGCAACATAATTACTGTACACGAACACAAATGTTGATACACAGGTACAAAAGTCTTTCTTAACCGCTTCCCACTGAGTAATACAACACAAGTTTAGTACATAGAATAAATTACTTCAGGACCGGTTTCTTACGAACAGGTAACCCGTTTTACCCAATTAAATTATTTTTGTACTGTTCCGCATGCAAAGGCTATTCATCTATTTTTTTTTTCTTCTGATTGCCAAGAATACTTTTGAATATCAAAAAACGGAATAATTACCTACGAAGCAAAAAAAAAAATTTAAACGGCAAATAACATATTATGATAGCTATATATAATTTTTGAGATGGTAAAGAACGGAAACTGCTTACATTGAAATATGTAGATATCAAAATTGCTCGAATGGATCGCCATTTGTGGTCGGTGGTTTTGGAACGAAAGCTATGGTATGTTTTCCTTTAGCAACTATTCGGCCATCACCTTTTCTTCGAAATTCAGCTTCTGTGAAAGCAATATTTCGACCAATTTTCAACACTTTTGCCTCGATTTCGATCGTTTCACCAAGTTTCACCGGTAACAAGTAACTAAAAAGGACAACATACGCCACTGACGATTTTAAAGTACCATGGATACATGGTACTTTAACTCTATAAATCTTGAAATGAGACTTTTGCTTGCAAACCTCGATCTCGAGTAAGTTCACAGATATGTTATATTTTGACAACTCTGGAAATTACAAAACCTTTTCATGCATAAATATATAAATAAAGTGTACATGTATAGAACTATACAACACATACTTAAATTCCATTTAAATTCATAAGTATATTATACATATTAGTTATTAGTAGTTATTTTAACAAAAATATAAAAAATGCATTGGTTTGTCTTTAATATAATGAATAGAACATTGAAACATTCCATAAAAAGTGTACCTACCTGACAGCAAGCTCGACGGAGACCATAACTCTGTCTCGTACAGTCATTCCAACTGCGCGTGCGGTTGTCATATCCACCAATGCAGCAGTTTGACCCCCGTGTAAGGTTTTTTTACTGTTAACGTGCTCCTCCTCCACTACCATTTCTACGACAATTCGATCAGCTGACGCCGATACTGCACGTATCTGTAATTAGCTATCATTACGTACGTATCACCATTTTACTTATTAGTAATTACAATGACTGAATGAATTAGGATGGCAAATAATTTACCAATTAAATTTAGTAGCCAATTCTTAGGCTTTTTAAAAGTTTGTATCTAGTCTAATATACAACTTTTTATATGTATAATTTCTAAAACAACAAAGAGAAGAGAAGAATGTTAATGATTATTCTCGATATCTGATATACTACTTTTTATATACTACGAGTGATATATTACCAAAATTATGATCAAAAAAGAGTTGTAATGCTGTTATAACTTTATTATTTATGGCCAAAATGATAGTTTAAAAATGTAAAATAGCATTTCATATTGAATTAACTAACAAAAAAAAAAAGTTAACCTTACGAGCAACGCGATTAAAATCATTGGCACAACGGATATTATTAATAGTTTTATTCAGATAAGCCAAATAATCGTTTCCTTCTGAAGTGACCATTCCGCTGTTACCGTAACCATCGGTAGCCATCACATCAACAATTCTTTCCTGTACACATTCCATTTATATCAAACGAACGTTGTCTGATGCCTCTTTTTCTTTCTCCCTCCTTCTGTAGGTCATATTAACTTAACACGTGACACGTGACCTTTACTTTCTATCATTATTCAAAAGTATAAACTATTTCTCCTCTCTGATTATCACAGCTAACTTACAACTGAACTCAGTGAAGTGTGGGCCACATTTCACTACAACATAACACACTGCTGGCACGGCCTGAAGGCTAAACTTATGTACAAATCGATTGAGGATAGTGTTTTCAAGAAATTTTATTCCAATTTTGATTGAAATTAAAATTATTTCACTCTTCAAACCTACTTATTCACTTACTCTATTCATTTAAATTTTGAAAATGTCAAGAAATTCAGTCTATTTTCTATGGGAAAAAGATATCATAATTTTGATGAATAAATATTTCGCAAAGTATGGAATTTAAAGAAAAAATAATAATAATAATAGGATTGAAAGGGATGGGAATGTAAAGAAAAATGTGGAGCATTCAATGAAAAGATAATAATCATTCAAGAAAGAAAGAAGGAAAGAAAGACAGAGAGAAAGAAAGAAAGAAAAAAAAGACAAAGAGAAAAGAACCGATCATTGTAACGTTCATTTCTTATGTCATAAAGATGAGTGTTCGTTGATAATTTAGGCCATGTTGTTTTAATTAGGCAATTTTTATACTATAAATAGTGATACTATGAGAAATTCATTTAATTTTATATTTATTGAATTATTCAGAAGCAATGAGTCACTTTTTAATTATTTTAAATTTAATCTCACAATTCAGCATTCTAAATATTAAATTTGTCTATTTGCTTCTCATTACTATTCGTACATTAACACTGATTGTTATCAGTTGATGTTTTCGAATTTTGAATTTCAATAAACATTTAACAATCTTTCAGTATTAAAAAAAAATTAATTGTCATAATTGTTTTAATTAATTCAAATTCGAAAACATATGTCATCAACAAAGAGCTCATTTAATAAAAACTTTCGAGAAAAAACGAGAGTGAAATATATTGTTTTATCTTTTTATCATCCAAACTGGATGAAATATTGGCTACAATTCTTCCATGAATATTTCATAGCAATGAAAAAAAAAAAAAAAGTTTTCTGTGGGAATTATCGTCCGCGGTTATTTCTAAAATTAAAATAGTCAATTAAGTATATTTATATTAGCCGTAACAATTCATTAGAATATGAAATATCAAATTAATATTAATAAATAAAATGGAACAATTTCTTCTGTTTTAGGAAAGTGACAAATCATCTTGTATTTACGATAAATTGTATTTAAATTGTTCAGTTCTGTCGAGATGAGTTGTTGATGACCTCTTTTTGTTCTAATATTTTTCAACCCAAATTAGAAAATGATTTAATAATGAACTATAATAATGTTGATAATTATTTTTAACTTCAATTCTATACTTCTTTTACCTGCAAAAAAACTTTTACTATTTTAATTCTTTTCTAAGAGAAAAAAAAATCTCAATTATTGGAATCGAAAAAATCGAATTTTAATAATATTTATATTAAATTGTATCCATCCATAAGTCAAAATAAAATTGTCTTAATGCATACGATTAATGATTCTCTTAATTGAATATTCTTTAAAAAATGTTTCAAACTATTCCAAATCTATATACTATGTAAACAATCATTTTTTTTCAGTTGCAGCTAAACTTATCTACATTATTTAAAATATTTTAATTATTAACAATTAAAATATAATTGTTAACGCTTGATATTTTGAGAATTACTCATTTTTTTAAAAAAGAAAAACCAAATCTCCATGCATTTATATGCATCTTTTACTATAAAATAGATAAGGAATAAAAATTAAAGAGTTGAAATCATCTGATAGATAAATTCTTTACTTACTGTAAGCGAATGGCTTCATTATATATGAATTTAAATTGTTTATTTAAGTTAATTGTTTGGTACCAACAAACTACAATGTTTCGCTCTCATTTAAATATTTTATTTAAATTTCCTATCGATTTATTTCTCTCTTTTCATCTCATATTCGTAAACTTTTAAGTCATACAAAATTATCAGTGACAACTATATGTCGTAGTTGTTAACGAATAAAATTCGTTATAGTAGATTCTTTCTCAATACATTCGTCTACATCAATTCCAAACAAAAAAAAAAATCAAGAAAGGTTCTCCTAACGAAGACCTATAATTTCTCGACAATTGATAAGAAAGTTATTTATCACTTATTTACTTAACATCTTACCTGTCGCATATTTTCTATTCAATAAAAACCAAGCAGTTTCTCTTACTCAATAAGAATCAAACAATTAATTTCCTTTAAAGATGTGTAAAAAAGAAATTATCGATATCATTTCACAATTCTCTGCAATATATTAAATTATTATTAATAAATTTTTATTACAATCTTCAAAAATTAGATGAAATGGATATTGATTGATTGATTGATCGATTGATCGATCACTTATGTCGTTTTTCAGAAATCATCTTCGCTGCTAGTATCCAACTTCTTAATATTTCCATTATTTCCTTCCAATTCTGATTTGTTCTAAAAAATATTCGTCACTTTTCGTTTAAAATAATTAGCAGAAAAAAACAAAACAAAATGGAATAGAAATTTGCAAAAAAAAAAAAAAAAAAGGACCAGTTTATTGCGATATGGAATATTATCACCGTCATCATCAACATCATCATCTCCATAAAAAATATCATTTTCTTGATCATCATCATCATTATCATCATCATCATCATCATCACTAATTCCTGCCCCAATCATATTGCCAAATACTTTTGACCCTTAAAAGAAAGCAAAATAATCCCTATCAGTTTGAATATTTTATAAGAATTAATTTAAATTCAATAGGTAGAAAGCTTCAAAATTATATGCATGCTTTGAAGACCTTTGACTTTTGGTTTTGTTGAATTTGCTTCTTTATCTAATCCAGCCATCCTGAAAATTCATTAATTACATCAATCTAAATTCAATGGTTAATTATTTCATTGTTGACTTATTTCTTTTAGTAAAATTATAAATTTATTAAAAAATATTTCTCTTCACTTAATTTTTCTCATAAAATTATATTGATGAATTTAATAATTGAATATCATATACTGTGCTTCTCGAAGTATTAATTCTTGTGCTCGCATGCGCTCCACCATATTGCGCATATTTTGTTCAGCTTCTACATTTCGTTCGTGTTCTGCTCGATCAAATTCATTCTAAGAAAATTTTCATTCAATAATAATTTCATCTAAAGTAAAAAAAAAAAAAAAAAAGAAAAAAGGCGAGAAAATTTTGAGTTGTACACATAATTCTTTCTTTTTTTTATAATGAAAAGATATTAATAGTTAAAGTCATTTTCTGTCAACTGTCACACATACCTGTAATCCTTGTAAAAATGATACATTTCTAAATTTTAATACATAAATAGCATATAGCTGTTTCAATTTCATTTCATATTTCTCGTATTCATCCATACATTGAGGACGAAATGACTGCAACGCTACTTTTTTTTTGCAATTTTAAATTAAGTAATTATAAGAAGAAAATTAATCATAGAATAAATAAAAAAAGAAAATATTCATCTTTTAATAGGTTTACTTATGCTAAAAAAAACTCAAATATATATACAAGCATTAATAGTAGTTTGCTCACTTTTTTTTTCTTTCATTTCTCGATTGTCAATCAGTAATTCTCATAAAATAAACTTTACAATAATAAAGTAATAATTTCAAGTAAATAAATACTACGCTTATTTTATATGTAATAATTGAAAAATTGAAATACTTGTAATTTAGCTAAGCGTTTTTGTTGCTGATCATATTCCTTCTTTCGACGTTCAATTTTTGCATCCAATGCTGCTTCATCCGAACTAACATTTTGCAAATTGTGATTTATTACAGCTAATTCCTCCTTTAAAACTATACAGAATTAATAATTTCAATCCAAATTATTAAATGTTTCAATCTATTCTCATTATTGTTTAATATTTAAACTTTATGCAACTATTTTTTCTTTTTTTGAAAAACAATTTTATCTTTTTATCTTATCAATTACGTATTTACGTGTGCTTTTGATAACAGCATAATGAATTTATATTTAAAAAAGAAGAAAAAAAGGGATAAGTTATAAAAATAAAAGTTTTGATGATAAAAGATGCAAATATTTCGTAGTTCAGAAAAAAAGAAAAAAAAAACGATAATTTTTTACTTCTATCTGCAATATTTATTTTGTTTTTAATTTTCTCAAAATTAAAAAAAAAGAAAATATATCGATGAAAAGTTTCATTCAATAATTACTAATAATAATCTAAAAATAAATAATATACTTGTATAGCTTGAGTAGCTTGTAAAATAGCTTTTTCACCATCTGATAAACTTAATGAGAATGATAATGCTTTGTTTCGTTCAACCTGAAAAGTTCAACTTTTAAAAATAGATCATATCAAATAGGTCATGTTCTACAATAATCAGATTAATCACGTGAAAATTTCTTAAACTACTAGTTTACTTTCAGAATACTAATAAATGAAATTTCACCCTTGCAGTGACCTCTTTTGCCAAAAGGTCATACAATGTTGCACCATGATTTGGAATTTGTAATGCTAATTGTTGACATTTTTTTAGCTCTTCGCTCTGAAATTTTTTTTTTTCAGTTTTTTCTAATATTGCATATTTCAGTTAAAAATTGAAGAAATTTATCACTTTTATAGCTAATAGCTACAACTATGTTAGATATTTTTATAGTGACGTACGTGTACGTAAGAGAATTATTTGTAATAAATTGAAAAGTAAACTTATTTTGCTTGATATAATATTTCTCATCGAACTAATAGTAGCATTTTGATCGAAATCACTTGTATGACGAGTTATTTCATATAAATTTCGCACAACAACAGCAATCTCTTGAACTGCATATCCATCTGCCTTCAATTATAATTTAATGAAATTAATCATAAGTCATTTTTTAATTAAAAATTAAGCTTATTATTAATCTACACTTCCAAACATTTCTTCCCTTTACAAATTAACACCAAAACTTTTAGTATTTAATTTTATTCGTTAAAGAAGAACTAAAATGTGATATTTATATAAATACATAGAATGTATAAATGCAATGACTAGATTAATTGTTTTGTAATTCGAGAATCATTCAGAACATAGCTATTAATTATTTTAAATTAAAATTTAAATATATGAAAAATTTTACCATGTATAATTTCTTGGGATTAAGTTTAATTCGAGCTTTTTGAAGAATATAAAATGTAGCTGATTTTATAAAAAATGCTCGTTCTTGCTCTGTTTCAATCACAAGTGGAATGGAAATTTGCGCATCGTATCTGAATGATATATGATAAACTGATTATATGATAAACTGATTATATGATAGACTGATTACATAGAGTTAAATGCATTACTGATTGTGAAACTTTTAAACCAATTATAATTTGTAAAAAATTCTTTAGAATTCTAACTGAAACAATTAGATAAAAATGAGTTATATCTTAAAATTCATGCCAATTTATATTTACTAAATGTTAAATTCTATTTTACTCAAAGAAAGTTGATAATATATATCAATCACAACAATGGAAACAAACGATTGATTGAAATTTCAAGAAGATTTACCTATGCACTAACCATTCCAATATTTCGGCGATTAATTTAAAATTTGGTGTTCGAAAATTTTCCATGGAAACAAGTCGTGGGTAACCAAGAACCCGTAACTGCTCCACCATATCTAAAAGCAACATTATTATTAGGGCTATTTTAATTTCATTTGATGTTAACACTCAAAAAAATAAATTTTTTTAAAAAGGATTAATTTTGAATTTGAATTCAATTATATTCTTTATTTAAAAAAGTTTTAGAATTTTACTTTGAATTTAGCTTGGGATTTCACATTGATAAAATAAAATAGTATACAAAATTGTGTGTTAAAACAAACTTCAAATAAATCAGAATGGCACAATTTTGTCATAGCCTAGGACGTATCCAACTTTCAATTAGGCCATTTTACCTGTTTCACCTTAAATAGCCTTATTAATTTAATTTAATAAAAAAATAACTTTTTTTTAAAAAAAAAAAAACAAAAGACAAAAAACAAACTTCTTAATTCTCTGTATGACATTCTAATTTGAATGCAATGGATGAATAGCAAAACTTTATGAAATGCTAATGTTGTTGCCAAGGAAACTAATTTTAGTATTTATCCTAAATGTGACTGACTGATCGTTTATAGAACGAAAGCACTTTTCGTACTAAAAGGTAAAACAATTTATGAAATTTAATTGGCTTTCTTTATCAGATTTCTTCTCTGCAATAATCTTTTTTGAGTTAAAACTAAAATTAAGAATAAATTCACTCTTTATGCATTCTTTAAAAAAAAAAAAATATATATTATTGATTGTTCTTTTAAAATTATGCACTGATTCTAATTTAAATATTTTCAAATGTATGCTTATATAATTTCAGTTAAAAATAAAAGATTCTAGTAGAGTGCAAAATATTTTGTCAATAATTAATGTAATCAGCACAAATTGATTTTTTTTTGTATATATTTATAATATATTGATAAGTGATATGATAAATGACAATTGCATAATTAAAATTTATATTTGAGTTTTAGCATAAGAAACAAGAAGATTCAAGAGACCATCAAATAGTTCAAAATGTTCAATTGTATTGCATCGTTGATTTCGTACACTTTTAATCTGCAAGAAGAAAATACTTATGAAAGTAAAATATGCTTATTACATTTGAATGAATATTTTATGAATTTATATGTTACTAATAATATTATAATTTTCTATTAAATTTATACTTTACCTTTAATTTCATATTCAAATTTGAATTCAATTTAAGTATGCACTAATCTTTTAAATTTCTTTTGACAAACTAATAAAATATAATTAAGTCAAATACAATCTAAATTATATTATCAAATACACCTGAAGCAATAAATTAAATTTTGCAATTTTCCAAAAAGAATTTCAATTCTATTACTGAAAACAATTAGTTAACCAATATAATAATAATTATAATAACTCTTTGGCTGAAATCTCAATGCTATCTCATCGCAGTAATCAGAATTTCATTATTAATTTAACCAAATATTAAACTAACTGTATCAGAGAACCGAATTCGATTTTTGGTTTTTAGGCGCTCAGATTCCGTATCAAATACCGCCCATACACCAGCACGATGAGCACCTGTTGGACATACGACAAGTTGTGAGCATTCACGGGGTTTATCCTCTAATTGCTTATGGACCTGAAATTATTTAATGCATAATTTAATAGTATTACTTAATTTGCACATATGTATTACAATATCGTTAATAAAAATGCATGTTTGCAATATTCTAAAGTATAAATAAACAACATAATAGTATGCTAATAATTAATATAATTATAAATTAATTAATTACTAGGTATTAATTTATAATTATTGACCTATATTACTGATTTATAATTACTATTTTTAGCATCCTATAGCCATTCTCAATATGTTTTTTCCTTTTAATTTGTTTCTCAAATTTCCATAACATATTTATATCTAATAAATCCATTTTTTTTTCTGGACAAATTTTTTGATTAAAAGAAAATCGGTTTGCTTCATCCCTTCCCTTTCCTATCATTCCCGTAGCAACAAAAAGTTTTTAAGAGTTATACAGTCATTTGCTTTCCAACATTTAACACTTTTTTTTCCGTTGAATAATACTTAGAAATGCTTATGCTTTTTTCTTAAAATTTTCAAATTTCAAAATAGTCCAAAAAAGGTTATTTTATCACAAATAAAAGCAATTTAGTATAGTTTCTTGAATCCATTAATATAACTGAATTAAAAAATGAAACAGTTATGATAATTTTTATGTTTAGTTATGTTAGTTATGATAAAACTAACAATTAGATCGTAATCGAAAAAGTAATCATTTAATGCAAAATTTAATCCATGATTTAATTTAAAATTATCTTTAAATAAAATAAGACTAATATATTAATATTAAATGACACTATGTTGTAGCTCTTTTTATACATTTCATTTCAAACATACAATTTATTATTCATTTTAGATTTCATTAAACTACTATTTTCTAATTACTGTTTAACTAATTAACATACCAATTTATGAAATTTAATGAAATCATCTTTTGGTATAATCATATCATCGGTCCATGTGTTAAATGTTAATAATTGATATTTCTGTTCAATTTTTTCCATTTCTTTCATTACAATCAATTTATAATGGCTATATTTTTCAATTGTTTCCTTTGATAAGGAACGACTTTCATTTTTCTCATTTCGAACACTTATTGTACCATACTTTCGTGGTTTTGATCCCATAATATATCTATCAATTATTATTATTATTATTATTATTATTATTATTATTATTACTACTATTATTATTATTATTATTATTATTATTGTTATTATCATTATCATTCATTATCAGAAAAATTGTTGATAAAAAAAAACATTTTCATTTATTACTATATGTATTATTATAGTTCTTAAACTATTGTAACAATCTTTGTCAAATGATAATTGATTATTATCATTATTATTATAAAGAATGAAGGAGAAAAAGATAAAGCAAAAGAGAGAGAGAAAGAGAGAGTGAGTGATAAATTATTAGTTACTATTAAAAACATACTGTTCATTATCATTTAAATTCAAATCCATAAGTACAATGATCAATTCTGGTTTGCACTGCATTACCAATCGAAAGAAATCACAGGCTGTTGTTTCATTAAATGGTGCCTGAGCCAATACATATTGTTTGGCCTGCATTAAAAAATAAGCCTAGCCTTAGGATATTAAATGTTTTTCTTCTTGAATTTATTATATAAAAATATAAGCATACAATAAAAAGATATATTATATTTTGCCTGTCTGCATCCATCAACATATGATGCATGATAGTAATCAGGCTTTTCATTCAATACTACTCGAGTTCGATCCAGAAGAAATATCTCTAAAAATATTTACTTCGATAATATTTTTTACAATTTTAAATTATCATTTTTCTTTTTTCTTGTTACCTCAATTTGTTTTTAATTTTATTTAATTTTTCCATTTTTCTAATCAATTGTTTAATACTTTATAATCGAAACGTAATACAAAGAAAATTGATGCATAAATAAATAGGAAATCTCATAAAAAAGAAAAAAAAAATCGCTTCCATCAATTTTTTTCATCAATTAAAGTTAATTTAAACTTTTTATCAAAAAAATTTTTTGGCACGATAAGCTATTCGATAAATAAAATACATTTGGAAATTAATAAAAAAATCAAATAATAAAAAATCAAAATTAAACAATGCAAAAAAGTTCAATGCAATTAGAGAAATTTAGCACATTTGCGCTCAGTTTTATTCATTATGCAAATTATTTAGCGCTTATTCACCATTTGGAAATTTGTTTTTTGCTCTATTTTCAGCACTAAAAAATGCAAAAAATGTGGGTGATTCTTTTTCAAATTGTTCGTACAAATCTGCAATTCCCTCTCCAAGTTTACGGCCATTAGCTTTTAGCTGAAAATTATTAATCGATTTTAAGTTATACTCATATTTCATTTTTAATTCAATTACAATTCGAAATTTCAAATCAGAATTAGCATAAATATGTGGAATGTATTAGCATCGTCCAGTAACCATTTGATGTAAAAACTCTAATAATAAGCTTATACTCTAATAAATTTACTATAAAAATTGCTAGCAATAGAGTTATACAGATCAGAGTTGTTTGTAAAAGTGAGATATTGTTTCGAATTTTAATAAATAATATGAAATCATTCAAATGAAATAGAATTTAGAACTGAGTGAAATTAAATTTTAATAAAATCAAGCCAAAAAAAAAAAATAATTTTATTATAATTTAAATTTAAACAAAAATTTGAACATTTCTCAAATAAGAACTGAATAAATAAAACAGAAACCGGAAATGAAAAAGAAAAGAAGACTTCAAACATTTCTGAATCATGCAAAATCCGATATACTTCTATTTTCAATTCGTCAACTGAAGTATTACTAATGTCATATATGCTGAAAGTGTAACAGAATTGCGTTCACTTTTAAATTTCAATTCTGAGTTAAATAACGTGAAATCAAATAATAAACAAAACGAATCGTACGTGAGATGCAAGTGACGCAGGCGTTAATATCATTTTTGTTTTTCCACGACGAACTGAACGCATCGAACTGCGTACATTCTCAGCACTAATTGCTACAGCACCTTCCTTTGTTTGAATTGTGTCCACCATATCTTCAAAAATTGTCACATACTATCACACACACACACACACACACACACACACACACACACACGCACAAGCACACGCACACGCATGACAGACAGACACACACACACACACACACACACACACACACACACACACACACACACACACACACACACACACACACGCACAAGCACACGCACACGCATGACAGACAGACACAGACACGCACACATGCACGCAAAGTGTTGAAATTGATTATTACTTATTGAAAGTATAAAAGTAACACGAAGGGTAGATAACATGCAAAGAAAAGAAGAAAAAACAAACTTGTTATAGCTGAGACCTTGGAACTACCGATTGATGGAAGTTATATGCGAAAATATGACTGTCATATCACAGTTCATACTTTTTGTTTAGTTTTTTTTTTTAAATAATTTGAATATTTAAATATATTTTTTTTTAAATGGGATAAATATTAATGTAATTAGGAAACATTTGATAATAATCAGTTATGTAATTTGGAGAGTTCTTTTTTTTTGTATTTAAATTTAAACTTTTTATTTCCATCTTGGAATGTTTACTCACGTAAATCTGACGTTGCGTACTGACGACGTTATAACTTATTTAAAAGCATCAAAGTACTAAATTTTATCGATTGATGCTAGCATTTTTTAATAAAATTTCTCATATTTATTTATCACTATTAATTTATCCATATGTTAACATATTTCAAGAATTATTTGATATGCATAAAGATGATGAAAATCAAGATAATGTTACTGGTGTTGAGAAATTGTCGAGACAAATAATTCAGAAACCAAGGATATTGGCTCGACGAGTTTGGAAAAGATCCTCAAATACTCCAGATAGGATTGAAAGCGCGGTATGTTCCGTTTTATGATCAGTTTAGAATTTAAAAACTGCTGTGCTTGAAAGAATTTAAAAGAAAGCATAAGGTTTTTGCAGCCTTTGGATCCTAAACCATGTTCGACAGAGAAGGAAGAATTTGAAGAAATTAGAAATGAAGAAATAGATGACACTGAAGACATATTCAGTTGTACTGGTAAACTTAAGTTTTATTACTTATAGTTTGTTTGTACATATCATGGAAACTGTTTAAAATGTTTTTATGTATCTTAGAGAAATTATTATTCCAATAGATAAATAATTTGTCATACCAAACTAACAGGGAAATTTAGAGTTTCAAATTCTGTCATCTTCCTATCAGTGTCGTTTAGTTTAAAACAAATTTCAACAATATTTAATATTCGCCTGGAATGAGTCATCTTTATGTTGCATAGCTGACTCTTTGGTAATTAGCTGCACGGCTTAAGCACATTTTTATTTAAATTCAAACACTTCTGACTTACCGGAGTGTTGGCTCACGTAACCTTGCGTTGTGCACCCACGCGTCACTTATATTTGACCTTTCACATTTGTCACACTTACATACGTATTTTAATAATATCTATTGTTCCTCCAATCTGTGGACTGCTCTTTTAATATTCCAATGTTCTCATTACTTTATCATGACTCTGCTGATCGTGATATTCTCGATTTTTCTTTATTCTAGGAATTATTTAGGAATGAAATTGTTAAAGATTTCGCTTTTGTAAAATTTATATTTGATATAATTAGCATTGTTTATTAGAAGAAATTAGCAATCTTTAAATAAAGAGATCACCGAAGTTCTGAACTTTATCGATCGGTCTGTATAATTTTCCATATCTGTTTATCATTATCAACTTATTTTTGGTAATATATTTTAAGAATTAGGTGATATGCACAAAGATGATGAAAATCGACATGCTAGTAGTGCTGAGGAACTATCAAGACGAGTGATTCGGAGACCGAGGATATTGGCTCAACGAACTTGGAAAAAACTATCGAATACTATAAGTAGTATTGAGACCACGGTATTTTATGTTTTTATCAATTTAGAAATTGGAAATTGCTATGCTCGAAAGAATTGAGAAAAGCAGCAAAATTTCTTGTAGGATTTGGATCCTAAACCATGTTCGATAGAGAAGAAAGAATCTGGAAATGTTGAAATGGATCAGGCCTCGAATACTGAAGGTATTTTCAGTTGTGTTATATTCTTATATATCTGTTTAGAAATTCTTATGTGTCTTAAAGAAATTATCGCAATATCCAAATAACTTGTCATGAATCATTACATACACAAAGGAAAGTTTAGAGCTTCAAATCCCACCATCACACGATCGGTAATTATATTATTGCAATTGAAACTTTCAGTAGGTGCAAGTTGTTTGTGGAAATACGACTGTCACTTTTTTTGTTCCATACTTTTAAGTAATTTGAATGTTTGAATATAATAACTGTCTACAACTCAGCCAGGAAACATCTGTATTAGCCATGTGTGAGTAGGATTAAGGGAACATATGAATGGTGACAGATACTTTTCGTAGATTCTGGTCTTTCAGCCTTCAGTTAATGCAAATTGATGAAATACTTGAAGATATTTTCTTCCAGCTTTTCTACTTCTTTCTGTAAGCTAATATCTGATTTCTCAGGTAACAGACAATCAAATCTATTTCAGTATTTGGCATAGTGAAAAAATGACAATGGGTAATATTGAGAAGTCTTGAGCTGTTTAAAGATTTTTATGCACTTGGTAATCGTCCTGGTATCAGTTTGTTTTTGTTTTAGAAAAATGTGAATATGAGTCAAACTAATATATAGCAGATCATTGAAATCAATAATTATAATGGATTTTATAAATTCAAAATTATTTTACGAGTTTACGTAATTCAGTTTTTAAGAAACCCAGAATTTATCATAGCATAATTATTATCATTTGTAGAACTGGATAGCACGATTGAAAGAATTTTTCCTGTGAATATCAAAAAGATTAATTTATATATAAACACCGTAATTATTCACATTGATATTTCTAATTACAAATGTCACATAGCGTAATGTCCAGTATTGCGCTATGTGATCATTGAATAGGTGGACTTTTTCATCGGAAATAGGAGGTTATCGTTTGCTTAATGAATAACTTCAATTTCCGGTCCAATATCGAACACCTGGAAATATGAGCAGATGAAGTATTCATTCTGGAATTACACTGAAGAGCAGTAAAAGTTCTAAACACCGGAATAAATCGCCGTCTTGGTAATATTACTCAGTCATATCAGGCATGAATAATTAACCTTACCTCATGCTGTTCAGCAAATGTAAAATGTTTTTCAACTGCTCGTGTGTCATCCTCGTCATTCACCTGCAACAAAATGCTCGACAGAGCAATAAGTGGAGGTAATTGAAGAAGGAAGGGAATCAGTACCTTGCATGGCTTTTTTGAACAGGATAATTTCATGGAATTCAAAGAAAAGTAAGATTTAGGTGGACGAGTAAAGAACGAAGCTAAAAAGCAGGCATTAAAAAAAATACTTACTTGTTCAAGATCTACTTTCTCATTTTCAATTTTCAACGGGCCTCTGTGCTCGAACTGACTTGCAATTAGAAATATTTTTTCTGCAACAAACGTTACTAACGTCAAGTTTAATTTCGGTAAGTTAATTGAGGTGACACATATGAGGAGGATGAGAGAATACAAATCAAGTAATAGCCTAATAGCGATAAATTATTATGATATTCGTAGTTAGCGTAGCAATTTAAATAAATAACTGGCAAAGAATCAAATGAAAAGTACCATTCTTTGCTCGCATACACATTCTTCCTGTTCTTTTATCGCTCAGTTTAAAATAAATTTTAACAATATTTACATTCATCTGGAATGAGTCCTCTTTTATGTTTAGAGATTTAGCAAGAAATTTGCATATTCTTTGTGCTATGGCTTAAATTAATTCATCTTGTCTTCCCAACCAAATTTCTAATTTCGACCTCAATTTCGTCTTTCCAATCAAATTTCCTTGGAAAAGTTGCATAGCTAGCTCTGTTGCTTAAGCACATTTTTATTTAAATTCAAATATTTCGAGAGGCTCACGTACCTGAGTTGCATACCCACACATCACGCATATATTTGTCTTCCACATTTGTAATAGTTACATACAAATAAGCAGTATTTAAATGATATCTATTGTTCTTCTTTTGATCTCTGACGTCCGTTGTGATCTCTTGGTCGACATTTCTTTGTTCTAGAAACTATTATTAAAGATATTATTTTTGTAAAATGCATGTTTGTGAAGTTATCTAAAGATTAAGTATTACCTATTAATACTGGTCGTCTTTGTAATTTTCCATATCTGTTTGTTAATATTAATTTATCTATGTTAGTATGTTTTAAGTATTGCTTGATATGTGCAAAGATGATGAAAATCGACATGTTACCAGTGCTGAGGAACCGTCGACACAAGTGATTCGGAAACCAAGGATATTGGCTCGACGAGTTTGGAAAAGATCCTCAAATACTCCAGATAGGATTGAAAGCGCGGTATGTTCCGTTTTATGATCAGTTTAGAATTTAAAAACTGCTGTGCTTGAAAGAATTTAAAAGAAAGCATAAGGTTTTTGCAGCCTTTGGATCCTAAACCATGTTCGACAGAGAAGGAAGAATTTGAAGAAATTAGAAATGAAGAAATAGATGACACTGAAGGCATATTCAGTTGTACTGGTAAACTTAAGTTTTATTACTTATAGTTTGTTTGTACATATCATAAAAACTGTTTAAAATGTTTTTATGTGTCTTAGAGAAATTATTATTCCAATAGCTAAATAATCTGTTGTGATGAATTACAACATACTAAGTTGAAAGAGAAGTTTAGAGTCATATTTTTATTATCATTGTTACAGAAAGAGTTAAAAAATTCTCTTCAAATTCTCTGTAATAGTTATACTTTTTAGCTCTCAGTGAAACACTTCGAAAAAACAAGCCGCTCCATGTCGCTGAACATGTCCCGGTCTTGTACGATACTCAGCTGCGTATGCGTTTTGGTAATGAGGAAGATGTATCTGATCGTGTTCGCATGATTGGTGTCACTCTTGCCGAACGTGCCTTAAAAGCTTTGAGAACCGTATCAGGAAATGGACCACGTTTTCAAGTGAATTTTTAAGATTATTTTGCAGCAAAATCAACTATTGAATGTATATTTACATGATTAGGTTCTGGGAAGGATTTGACGGTTGACTTTATGAGATATTCATGTCTAGCATGCTAATCCAGTATATCATCATGTCACCACTAGGATTTGTAATTAATCAAATACTTCTGATGATTAGTTTCATTTTTATCTATTTCTCCCTTCATTTTCGATTTCCCTATTTCTGTCTTTTTTCAGTTTACGTTTCCCAAAGAGGCTGCAAAAGTCAACTTAAATTCAGCGGATGACCCAGCTAGTGTATCTCAGATATTAAGTGGTTCTCATCCAGTAGAGCAAGACAAGTGACCAACTTATTATTATTGTTTTCTCATTTCCATCCCATCTGAACTTCTCTGTTTTCATTTCTTTTTTAAAAAATTTGGAAGATTTTTTCAAGCGAATAACTTGCAGCCCATCTGCCTCATCTTCCGGAAAGTCTTCCCGAAGCCCTATCATTCTTCGGATCACAAGGACGAAATCCGGTAGCCGGAAAGCTTCTACGGATGTCCGTCGGCATACGAAACAAAAGGTGAGTCAGTGAAGGATTCTTCGATATCTGAGGTAATGCTATGAATTCTTTTTTCATCCATCTAATCAGGCATGTAACTTATTTGTTTCATGCAAAACTCAGCTTATGTGCGGTTGACAGAAGCTGAGGGGAATATGAAATCTAAAGAAAAAAAAACTTGAGTCAAACTGGTGAAGCACTGCTGTTAACGATTAAGCATTTTAAATGATCACTATCTGATCAGTTGCAGAGTGCAGAGTATGATTTGAATAAACCTTTATGTATTTTTAATAATATGGAAGTTTTTTTATTAATCAAACTACCAAAAATTTAGGAATGTCGTAAAGAACAGAAAAAAGCGAATGTTGTAACGCGTAGGAAAAGGACAAAAGAATACGATTCCCCGAGCACATCGCTTGGATATAGGAGTTCTACCAATCAGACAAAAGATGATACCGAAGTGGCTGCTGAGAACCCTACTCCCGAAGAGAAAGCTGTTGTCGACCAGGTATATTTTCATGTTGAATCTTTACCTCACTTGTCTCACTAGTACGAGAAATTAAAATTATTGGCAACTTTGAGATAAATTCAAGCATCAAAATTCATCTTTAATTAGTTGTCTAATGATTGATGTTGATGTTATCTAATGATTACATACCTACTTACTTGTTTATTTTAAGGTATTATTACTTTGTAGACAGTTCATCAGGTCTATAGATTATGCTGATGCCAATTGGTATAGCAAACTTAAAAAGGCCGTAAGTACCTTTGTTCAATTAGCTTCTCTTTTTTCCTTAAAATTCGGTCAAAAAATTGTAGTAGTGATGTCGAATAGGGGAATCCATGTTGTGCAATGTCCTTTGTCTGTTTGTCATCATTAAAAACTCAATATACTGACTCCATCAAATAGTCTTTTCGAATAGCGATCTTTGTATCTTTTATGTTTCTCGTACTGCGTCACTTTTCACGATATTGCAAAAGTTTTAGTGATTTATTTAGATATTTTGATTTTTAGATTTATTTTCGATTACATCAGTTGGTGGAGAATATGAAGAATGCAATGTCAAACCGTAGGGAATTACGCGAACGTAATGAGGAACTTCGCAAATTGCATGATCATCTCATTAAGCGTAAACAGATCACTGAGCTTCAACATGAATATCAAGAGGTCTCTAAATTTTCACGAATTTCCGTGGATTTTTGATTATGTATGAAATTTATGGCATTTGTTTGAAAAATATTCGATGAAGATCACTTTCAGGTTCTTCCAGGTCCTAGCAGTGAAGGTTTGAGTTCTCAGCCACCAGAATGGTTTTAGTTTTTGTTCAGTCAAAATGTCATGTGTTTTTTATTTACGTAAGTCTGATTTCAGTAACGAAAAGATTCCGAATTATAGGTGAAAAAGTAATGCTGTATATTTTAGCTCTCATGAATGCATGTTATCATTTAGAAAAGACAAATAACATCACTCCCTGACCATATAGTTTTTCTGAAAACTTCAAATTACATCTTCGTAACAAATGAAAAGTGTTATGAACGATTATAAAATTCTATATCAAGATGTTGTAGCATTATAGGAATATCTGTCATACAATTTGCTTATTTGTACAGTGTCTGATATTGAATATAAACTAGAATCTTTTTAGGATATAAGTAAATTTTAGATAAAATAGAAATAGTTCATCCATCCAAAATAAATTGAAGGATAGAGGTAGCAAAATAATTTGTAGTGAAAGGTAAGATAATAAGAATGCTAGTGAAGAAACAATGCTTATCCGCACTTCGGCGGAGAGGAAGTATTAGAAACTTAAGCTGTTACTTTACTCACATTTTTCACTTCCTTTTACAATTTATGCCATCTTGTCTTTTCCTGAAGAAAACTTACATGATACCTCATTATACCTCATTGCTGTGCTTTTAGATTTAACATTTCTACATCTTTCACCTCCCTTTATAAATTCCTTGCATAGTTTTTTTTTTATACTTCATTGTTATGTTAATTGTATCTCTGCAATCTACCAAATCTTCTGTGTTTTATTCTTGTTAACACTGTCTTTCCCTCGATGATGATAATGTGAGAATTTGGAGTCTTTGATGGAATTTTTGATTTCTCATGTTAACTTTTTGATATAGCACTATTATTATTGTTTTGAACTAACCGGTGTTTTTTCAGCTAATTTATACTTCGCTTTTAGTTTTTTGCTACTAGCATAGATTAGGAGAGGACTAGAAAATTTCTTAGGTTAAGAAAAAATCCTGAAATATTTTCTTGGGTTCTAATTCAAAATTTCATAGGACATTTAAGGTTTTTCGTTCCTATCCTATCGCAGTGGAATACTGATCACTCTATCTTCCAACTTTTTTGTACAAAAAAAAAGAAAAAAAAATCGAAAGTTGATAGATTAAAGATACTTTTATCATCAGCAAATAATATGTTTCATTATCTTGAACTTCACAAATCAGATCAATTATTTTACCATAACAAGACATGTCTAAACAATATGACAGTGTCGATCAGCGCGATCTGATGCCAAAACAAAGGGTCTAGGGACAAATAGGAAAGGTGATCAACAAAATCCGAAGGTCAACATTAATAATATGGGAGTGACGGGATTAAGAGCAGTAAAATTCTCTCAAACCATTTTTTACCCGAAAAATTTGACTTTCAAATTCCTAATATACCTGGAGCAAACAAACTTTAGCTATAGAGTCAAGAAACTAATTTATTTCTGTGCACTTTCTTCAAAAAGTTTTGAAACTGACATATCCTGCTTGGGACTGTTCGAATAATCAGGTTTCAACCTTTTCTCCATTTGCTCACCATATGGATTGAAGCCAAGTCGTTCCATTTCAGCCTGCAATTAGTGCAATACACTTGTGAAAGGGTAGCAATTTTGCTAAGATAATAATCTTAGAACATGATGGGAAGGTAACACTTGACAAAAGAAAATGCAAACCTTCATCGCCATTCTCATAGTCTTCTTATCTTTTTCAGCTTCTGTTCGTGGTGGATGGAGTTTAGTAAAAACGCCAGTTCCAATTGTAACTGGATCCTTACGAATTGTAAACCTTTGTTGTGGTTCGATAAACTGAACTGTATTCATATACAACTCAACCCTGAAATATAAGGGAAGAGTAACACATCGATTCTTCTTCTTAAAAGCAAAGACTCTTAAATTGTAAAGAATAAACAGTGTTATCCAATAAATGGAAGATATGAAACTTGGAAAAAGATAAACATACTCTCCAACTTCTCCGGGCATGATGAAGTCTTTGCCTTTGATTTTGATTATTACTCCGCAATCCCACGTTAGCGAAAATAGATGTTCCGTGAAATAGTTTGCAACTGGTGTCTTCGCACCTCCTTCTTCTGGTTTCAGTATGTACAACTGAAATGAAAGAAATAAATGAACAAAATAAAATGAGTAAGGCATAATACCAACAATAACAAACTTTCCGACAGAACTCTTGGAAATGCTATATTAGTTTTGACCAAAAATTTTCAAAACTATTCCATTAATTCGGTTGGGAAACAAATATTGGAAGTTTGAAATCGTAACATAACTCATAACCTGAGCTTCTACTTTATCAGTAGGAACATGTTTATGCCCTTGGGGTAGAAGTACGCTGCCACGTCGTACCGCTTTACTTTCCACACCTCTCAGTAAAACTCCAAGCTGGTCACCAGGTTCCGCCACGTCTAGCGATTTCTTGAATGTTTCAAGACCTAAAAAATCAGATGCATTTAAAAGCAAAAGGCTGAAATTACATAAAAACAACAGTAACAAAAGTTATAATGACGAATCAAAATTACTTACTGGAAACTACCGACTTGACCGGTTCTTTTCCTCCACCAACTAATTCCACTTTGTCTCCTCTTTTCAACGAACCTCTTTCCAGTTTGCCAGTTATAACAGTACCACGGCCTAAAGTTTTATTTAAAGTGAACTCACCAATTATTTTGTCGTAAAGCAATGTAATAAGACTATAGATGAATTTAAATGGAAAATTCAAAAAAAGTGGTTTACGAGAAATGAAAAATAAGTGAATTAAGAAAAAAATGCCAACGCTTTTTTTAATCATGTTAATATAAAGAAACAACTAGATCCATTCTATCATTTGATGAAATGTATCAATGGAAAAACAGTTACCTTTGATTGCATAAACATGTTCGGCCGGGAACATAACTTCTGTATTCTGATGGCGTTCTGGAATAATGAATGAGTTGTCAAGAACATCTAGAAGTTTCCAGATTGATTCTTCCCCTATTTCTGGATTCTTTCCTTCTAAAGCACAAAGCGCTGAACCAAAAACAACCTGTAATTACTCTTTATGCTAATATGGATTGGTAAAAAGTCACTGTAATTGTTCAATCACTAAATAATGCTTTCATTCAAAAATTTACATTTCTCAAGGAGATTTAGAACGCTTAAATTTATTCCACAACTGACAGAAAATAGCAAATACCACTTCCTCTATAATTACATAACATAAAAGTTCATAAAAGCTGTAATGAAAACCCTCAATAAAAACTTGACAATTATTCCAAAAAATGTAGAAAATAACCGGTGAATCAGATGGATAACTGAGTTCCGAAAGAAGTTCACGCATCTCCATTTCAACTAATTCGTGTGTTTCTTTGTCCGGCACTTCGTCTATTTTATTCAGATATACAACAATATTTTCCAGAGGAATACCAACTTGTCGAGCCAACAATAAATGTTCCCGAGTCTGTAAAAAATCATTAGCATATAGAGAAGACTGATTTTTCCAATACTGAGTGTCTAATCATTTTTGAGAAGTGAAAAAAATTGCTTCGTAAAAGCCAATTACAATAAACTAAAAGCTAACCTGTGGCATAGCTCCATCAGTGGCAGCTACCACTAAAATGGCGCCTTCCATTTGGGCAGTTCCCGTAATCATATTTTTGATATAATCTGCATGACCTGGACAATCGATGTGAGCGTAATGCCGTTTCTCTGTTTCGTATTCCAAATGGAATGCATTAATAGTTATGCCTGAAATCAAAAATACATTCAAATCATTTTCATGTCTCTCACAATTCTCTATTTTAGTTAAGAAAACAGATTTGTTTCAGTTTCTTTGAAGTGTTAACTGTAATCAGAGATGCGATTCGGAATATGCGGCAAGCCTACAAAAGATAGCAGACGAGATTACAGATAAGGAATCCAGAAATGTGCATGCACTTCAAATGGAACATTTAAGCAGGAGAAAATGGAAACGGAGGCAAGATTCCGGTTTGATCAAACAGAAGTGTTCGCAGTATATCTAAATGCAACAAACCACGAGCTTTTTCCTCAGGTGCATTGTCGATTTCATCGTACTTTCTATATTTTGCGCCTTTTTTTGTCGCCAGAACTGGAAAACTTTGACGAATTTAAACGTGAGCTATTTAAAATGCAACATTTAAATGAAGACATTAAAAAAAAAAAACCAAACCTTTAGTAATAGCCGAAGAGAGTGTTGTTTTGCCGTGGTCCACGTGTCCAATGGTACCAACATTGAGATGAGGCTTTGTCCTCTTGTACACTTGCTTTGCTCCCGGAACAGCAAGGCATCGGGCATGTTTTAGTTGGGCTAATTTCGTCAGAAAATTCTCACGAAAACCTCCTGCAGCATTTACCATCTCTGTAATGTGACAATCACATTTACCACCAAAAACGAAAATTGAACAAAATTTAGTTATAAAAATCTAACAGTGCTATTTTATCTTCCCATAAATTTCATCTATTTCCATTCTATCAACCGTTCATTTCCTATTTTTAACAAAAAATGGAAAATATATGAAAGAAAAAAAGGGGAAAAAACATTCCCTAAGATTATTCATTTATTTCATTTAAAAGAATGTATAGAATATCTCAAAAAGCTAACAATTAATTAAACTTAGAAAAGAGAAAATGTAAATACTTACTGGGGCTTGCTAGCATAGATCGATGACATGCTGAGTACACCAACATAATTTATTCCACAGAGCCTGAGAATCGCTTATCAGCAGCCTAACAAAATTGAAAGTAAAGTGAAACAAGTCAAATCACGAAGAGTGGCCGTTCCAGTTTATATAATCGGGCAAAAGAAGCCTTATAATTAAGTTACTCGAATTATAGTTAGGGCGGGGAAATGAATTGCTGAGTTTTTTGGTGATAAGTGATAAGATATGATAAGAACTCATGTAATTCAGTATAATGATATTTCTGTTGACAAATTATTCCTTGCATATTGACAACCTGAATTATTAATTTGTTAGTCTACCGTGTTGTCCTGAGTTTTTTTTTTTTTTTTTTTTTTTTTTTTTAACGGACTTTTGATTAGATTTTATATTTGTTAATAATTCTATTATATCCATTAATATCTTAATTATTTGTCATTATTTGAAAGTTTTTTTTAGATAATAATTGTGCCTAATTTCAGATTGTATTAAGAAGCAATGGTAGAATTGGATTACTTATTTTTGGGATCTGTTGGTTTCTTAACGATAGCGCTAATGCTTATCATACTGCGCATTATTAAATTATATTTTGATGAGAAACAAGCTCGAAAGCGTAAAGAAGCATTAAGCGCAATGGCAGCTGACGAGCATGCTGCAAGAAATGAGCGTGATGTTGTTGGTAAAATTTAGATTAATGTATATAGTTCAGTAAGATTGATCTGAGAAATGCCAAAAGTTATAGCATCCTATTTAATTAATTTGAAATTGCAGATAAGATGGTTTTAGAGTAATTCCTCATACGATTTTAAAATATTTGCTATCAAGCTTTTCAGTTCAGTTTATAATATTTTATTTTTATAATTATCAAAAAATGGTGAGTATTTATTAATTTAAAAATGATGAGTATTTATTTATTTAATTATAATAAATAAGCAACAGGAAATTGCAGTGGTTGGTGGACGACGAGTACAAACAGCACGTCGAAGAGTGCGACACAATGTAGATGATGGTAATAATGATGATATGGGTTTCGTAAGAAATGCTATCGACCAAAATGGTGATATTTCTGAGCAGGGTAATTCTATCATTTAATTAGTTAACAAGTAACCTCTGATAAGTGAGAATAATTGTGATTAGATAATATATATTGCATTCTGATGCACTGATGTTCGAGCGGAAATTCATTAACTTTTTTAGCTATTTGTTGGTTTGAATCTGTCGACTGATTAATTTCAGCGAGATGATAATTTTTAAACTGTAGGATAAAAAGACAGCGAAATTTATGCAGTAATTACAGAAGATTTGCCATCAGCTGATCTAGCCAGAGATGAGCATTTTGGCAAAAAGAAGTTGGCGAAACTTCAAGCTAAAGAAGAACGACGGAAACAAAGAGAAGCTGTAAGCTTGTTTGGTTCTATTCATAGAATGACATTACCAAATTTCGTCTTTTTTAATTAATTTATTTTTTTTTCAATTTCTTAATATTTCCGGTTTTTTATTTCTATGTAGGAATTGTTGGAGCGAGAAGAACGAAAGAAATTGGAGCAGGAAAAAGAAAAACGCCTGCAGAAAGAACGTGAAAAACAAATGGAACAAGAGGAAGAGGAACGTAAAAGGAAATGTCGGGAAAGAGAAGAACGTGAGAAACGAGAGGAAGAGGAATATAAAAAGGTTTATCTAATTATGTAATTTTGATATTGACAATCAATTTTAAAAGATAAAAAATTTTGACTAAAACTTGTTTAACGGGTCATATTCTCCAGCTTCGAGAAACGTTTGCTGTTGATGAAGAAGGATTTGACCAAACTGATGGAGAGGAATCACAGAATCTTCTACGCGATTTCGTTGAGTATGTTCGAAAAACTAAAGTTCGTCATCTGAAGTTCTTTTTCCAAGTTAAATTATGCATTAATTCAGTGTAACACAACTGCCATATTGGAGATAAGGTATTTTAGAGTTTAGATAGAACGAGATAAAGTATTTTAGATGATTCTCATAATTTAATAAAATATGACACCAGACTTCATAATGACAGTGTGATTGTTAATAGAAAATGTTAAATATGAATAGTTCATTCATCGTTATTTTGGGTTTTTAGATTTCTTAGATATTAATATCGTGAACTTAGCAATATGATGACTGAGGGAATTGTCATTCAGTTGCATGGGATGGAATGAAAAAATGTCTAAACAAGGAATTTATGGTGTTATTATTCTACATCTAATACTTTGGAGAATATTGTTGTCTTTACAGGTTGTTAATATAGACGAATTAGGTGCTCATTTCAATCTGCGCACAGAAGATGCGGTGGACCGACTTAACTTTTTGGTAGGCAATGGCACTTTGACAGGAATAATGGACGATCGCGGGAAATTCATTCATATTACTTCAGAAGAACTTCAAGCCGGTTAGTAAATACTTCATTTTAATTTTGTAATTTATTAATACTGAAAATTTCTATGTGAAAAAATCTTAAATCTTGTTTTACATCCAAACATTTTGCAACTTTTGCTTTTTTAGTCGAAAATAAAATATTTGGATTGTAGTCAAAAATTATTTGTTAATGAATAAAACTGAAGTAAACCATTCTTCTAGTTTTTATCTGAGATTAGGCATTTAGCAACGATAGTACTTTACAACTTAGTCAAGCTGATGCATTTTTATGGCCATATTTTGGCACCGAAACGTAGAAATTTAAATTTACAAATATTTCATATCGTTTTATCAGGCTGTTATTTCCAGTTGCAAAATTTATCAACCAGCGTGGTCGAGTGTCGAAAGCAGAATTGATTGAGTATAGTAATAAATTAATTGCCTTAGAATCACGGTGTGTGGAACATGTATCAGAATTGACAGCCGCATGAAGTATTCTTTAACTGCTGGCTATTTAAAACATTGTGTTTTTATCGGTTTTTTTAATTTCTTCAAAATAAATTAGTTTTTCGATTTTATCAAGTATAGTGAGCACGAATGTCTGAAAAATAATTTAAGAGCTTGAATTTCATTTAATTTCATTTTGGAGCCATGCAGAAATGAATATAAAACGATTGTATTAAGGAAGATGAATTTATAGTATTTACATTTGCAACAAAAATTGCAAAAATTGATACTATAAATTTTGCATTTAAACATTTACAGACACATATCTGTTAGACTTTTCGCTAAAGAGAAAATGTCCTGAAGCATGTAAAGTAACATGAAATTAAACTGTTCCCTTGCTCACTGCTAAAATTAAGTAACCAAATATATTGCAATGGTACGTACTATCCGGTTGAGTGCCGACATCTGTGTAGTAACGGTGTCTTTATTATGAAGATCCAATTATACAGGTACGGCCAGTTTTTGAAAGGTGGAAGTTATAAATAGTAAAAAGGATAAGAAACATAGTATCAAAACATGGTTAAAGTTTGTATGTATATGATTACCATATTTGTATATGTCATGCTATGTAAATCCCTATATTGGCTGGCAAATAATCATAAATTGTTCGTATGGTTTTTCGACAATTTCATTGATATCCATACTCATCTTCTTGTATGTTGTATATTGCAATGTATTATGAATACTGTGCGCAGCAAATTTATCCATATCTGTTTATTTTGTTCGGGTTCTGTTTTAGTTCTTGCTAATATCTAAGCAGGTGTTTGAATCTAATAATTTTGAAATCATTTTCACTATGTCGCCTATCACTATTGCTATAGGTATGTATTGCATATTTTGAATCTGAATGAAGGATGCACTAAACACATTGTGCGAATGGCTTTTAACTGCATTGTTTTAATATGTGCATATCATAATCAGATAGTTATCCCATCTTTCAGCGGTGATGGTTTGCGAACATATGTGCCCTTTTTTTTTTTTGAAAGTCTGTACTTTCACATCGTTTACTTTAATTTGCTTTCTAAAGACTATCAGAAACTTTTATTTTCTCAAAATAAAACAAGAGATGTAAGAAGCGCATATAAGAGACTACAAAAGTTGTTTTAGAGAGCTTCAGTAACAGAACAGGGACTTGCGGGCGGGTAAGGTTGCCAAATTAGACATGTGAACTGGCAAGTCTTTACTTAAGTTCAAGCTGGCTGTGCTATCCATTACGGTATCGCTAGCAAGAAATTCTTATTTCAAATTTTCTTCCTTGTTAATGTTCTTTCTTTTTTTTTGTTTGATATTATTAATGAATAGCGGGAAAGAAACAACGGAACAAGAACAGAAAAAGCAAGCTTTTAAGAGCGGCTGCGTCGACGTCGCGGACTACGGCTTCGAGATCGATTGAACCGACTTGGTCCCAGTGGCACCATATTCCCACCAGTTCCGTGTGCACGAGGTGGACTGCGGTATCTACGTGGTGATAGACCACGAAAACTAAATTTAAAAAAAAGAAAAAAACCAGAATAAATAAAGTATAAAAACTATGGAAGTTCAACTTTCCCAGTAAAGTCCAAACCATAAGACTGCTTAGTTACTTGCTAGAACTACAGCAAGTGGATTAATCTATTGAATTCATCAAATTGATATTTTCGACCAATTACCCTTGATCAAACAATAAGCGGCAGTATCTTTTTCATTTTCGTGAAATTTCCGGGGATTTCATTCTCTCAAAACATACCAAAAAATTCTATGTTTTGAAAACATCATTGTTACTCTTCCTAAATTATGAAATTTCAGATGACTTAAAACACTGAGACGTCTTTCTCTTTCCAAACATTCAATGAATAGTAATAAAGAAAAGATTTACCGTAGTGGTGAAAGCGGGCGCCTTCCACTTCCATTAAGCGTGGAACGAGGTGGGTGTGTTAGTTCGCAAGTGACTTCCTGGCCATCAATCTGTCCACCGTCCATGTGTTTCAAAGCTTTCTCTGCATCTTCCGGTTGCTCGAATTCTACATAACCATAACCTTAAAGTATATTAATGCAGGCATTATGCAAAACAACCATATTTAACCTAATAAAGAATAAGAATGGACAAGAAATCTCTACAGAAGAACTCATCTCTTCAACAGGAATAGTACGTTACCGACCAAGTACACGACTCTACTGCGCCACTTATAACCTTGAGTTTGAATATCTTTAAGGAAAAATTATGCCAAAATTGAATTAAAATGTGATATAAATATGAAAGAAAGCAAAAACCTCTGCCAAGATGTGTATGTTGTCGATCCATAGGTAGTTCGCAGCTTCTTAAAGCTCCATACACACTAAAAATTTCCGACAAGTGTTCCTTTGTAACATTGCGACTCAAATTACGCACACACAGACGACGGGGTGGTGGTGTTGCTTTGCGGACTGGACTCGCCTGAAGATGAAGGTCTTTTGAAATTGATGAAAATATAAAAAAGATTAGGTGAACATCTCAACTAAGACATATGAGAAGAGGATTACAATGCCATCATCACACTATTCTCATTTGTCATATTTATCAGGTAGTTGCTTACACTATCGTGATTACTGCTTTAATGTTTATGTAGTCCCAATAATAAACATAATGAACAAGCAATTTAAAACTTTAAAAACCGCAAGGTGTAAATATAACCTATGCAAGCTTACAAAAACAAGTGAGCAAATAATTTAAAAACTCGAAAAAAATGTAAAAAAACTACCTTACGTTCCCGTGAACGTGAACGGTTACGTCTATCTCGGCTACCACTTCGGTCACGCCTCTTAGGTGATGGTGATGGTCGCCGTTTTGGAGATGGCGATGAACGTCGTCGGCGTCGTTCCGGAGTTGGTGATCGACGAGAAGACGCGATAACCACCTTTTCACTACGTTCTGCTCGTGCACCAGCCCGAGGTGAACGCGAACGTCGAGCTGGACTTCGTGCTCGATCTAAATTTAGTTCTCTTTTATCGAGTGAAATAAAAGTAGGAATCTTCAACACGAGAAAAAAGCTGAGTTATGAGGTAACAATTCATAATTTACTTTTTGCTGAACTGAAATAGGTCATAGTTGCTTGGAATTTTATAGATTTAATTCAGATTAAAAACGCCGTGTACTCGTGAAATCAATCTACTCTAGTGAATGAAGACAGATCATGTCACGTCACACTACAAAGGCAATACAGACACAAGTCAACTTCATGGTTAAGATGACCACTACTGCCAACGCTAGAATGAGATAAATACCTTTAGCTGTTTTTCTCGGAGTAGGCGATCTGGAAGATTCCGAACTCGTCGTAGTGCCAGAGCGTGATGTCGAAGAGGAATCACTAAAAGATGAACTTTCCGAAGAGTCGGACGAGCTATCCGAAGAAGAACTACTGCTCGATTCACGCCGTCTCTTCACTTCCTTCTTATTTTCTCTTTCGGTGGGCTTACCTTCAACCATTTCGAATCAGATCTAAAATATTTATCAATTATTCATTCATAAGCCCCTCCATGAACTGTAATGACCAACAGTACATAATGCTCAGTGAACTGTAATGCATAATTCAAGATGAAATAAACGGGGATGCATAAGTACATTAATGCAACTGGGTATCCTATACAACCCTACATCATGCATCCGCTATCTATACATACTCAATCTAATTCATTTCAGCGATATTGATTTTATCAAGAGACACTGATTATACTACTAATTAGACCAGAAGCTAGGCAAACTTTCCATTATATAAATTTTTAATAGGATGAAGAAAACTGCGAAAATAAAATATGCTCATTAGTTGTAATACATATAGCTCAAATCGTACGTAAAATGATAACTTATCACTAAATAAGTGATAATTCTAACATGAGAAATTGATTATTTTGCACCGAAGTATAATAATTTACTTTCTAAATCCAAATAAGTAAATCCTAGGCAAATCAAATTACAAATTACTGCAAAAAAAGAAAAGAAAAATGCCCGCTCTCAAAGGCAACGAGAAATTTACTGAAACTGTTAGCAGCATTATGAAACTTCTCGTCTCATTGCATGAGATATCTCGATTATTATATAATTATTAGATGCAAATTTGAACTGAATTTCGAATTACAATTTAAAATTGAAAAATTTTCAAAGTCTATTAATATTAACACTATCTTTATTTCACGTTCACGTTCACGTTAGCGTTTACGTCAGCACATATTCTCTTTCTAAATTTAACAGTTTTATTACCCTTTTTTATATTAATTTTTAAATTTATTAATTTTATTACTTATATGTTATCATCATTAAAATTTGGAGGAAAAAAGAGAGAAATTCTAGAATTTACATATTTGTTAAATTTAAAGATTAAATTTGCTGTGGAAACATCAATATATCATACAATTATTCATCAATTTTTAATTGATATTTAATATTGCTTCTAGCAATAAAACTTTAAGTTTTTTTTTTTTTTTTTTGAATTTTATTCTGAATTTATTTATCGTTGTATTGTTCAACTCTTAAATAACACTATTATTTCATTTTTTTTAAAAAAAAACAAAAATGAAATTGAATGAAACAAATAAATTTTTTATTTCATTGTTGTAAAAATTTCCAAAAAAAAAAAAAAGGAAAGAAAGAAATGATACATTCATAATAAGCAGAGTTCACTTAAAAAAGAGATTAATCATTTGTTTAAGATAGTTTTTGCTATTTAATTTGACCATTTAAAATCATTGATTGAAATTTCAAATAATGCACTAATATGCTGAATGATTTAAAATTAAAATTTAATTTCATTTTTTTTTTATTTCAAATTTAAACCAAAAGGATGAATAAATGATTGTTGGAAAAAATTCTCAGTATTTAAATTCAAAAAAAAAAAAAAAACGTTTAAATTTAAATTTAAACTAAAAAAAAAGATGTAATTGAGTATGTTTTACAAAGATTAATTAATTGTAAAATGTTTCAAAAAAAATTTTTCAATCATTTTATGTAGTAAAATAGTTGTCACATTGATTTAGTTTTATTCATTTCATTTATTTTAAATTTTACAACAAACATTTTTTTTATTTGTACAAATTTCTAAACTAATTGCAAATATGAATGAATTAAAATAAGGCAATATATATATATATATATATTTTATTCAGTTAAAATTTCTACCTCATTTCTTTCTTTTTTTTTTTTTTAACTTTTCTCTTCCAATATGATCGATTAAAAATTTTCAAATTATTTTAATTGTACAGGAATAAGTTTTTATCATTAACTATTTTAACATATGTGAAAAACAAATATTATTTTATTTTCAAAAAAAATATTTCACAACATTTTTTTCTCACTTCAAAAATGATTTCTCTTTTTTTTAATTTAATCGATAATATTTTATTTTAGTTTTTATTGTTTTACTTACTCTGAAATTTGCATAAATTTTATTAGAACTAAATTCAGTTTGAAAAGCAAAGAGAAATCACATATTTGTGCTATTATATTAGGACAACTGCTGCTATTCAATTTTTACATTTTAACATAAAGATTATCCTATTTCTAGTCAAATAGAACTTATTATCTGTCAAATTATCTCTTCAATATTATCATATCAATTCATCAAATATCATTTAACCATTGTAAAAAGTTTACTGACAAATTCAAAATTATGATTTATTAAATGAGGAAGCTAATCGTTTAGCTGAAAATTACATTTTGTTTTATAAAAATTTTAGCTTATTTTTTCTTTCTTTTTTTGCTTATCAAAATTTTACTTTGATTTATATTTTATTTCATATCTATTTTTTCTCTTTTTTTTTCTTCTTAATACTTATTTCCTTTTTTTTTCTATTTATTATTAATTTGAAAAAATGAAACAATTATTTCATTCGCCATTGTCATTAGATTCTAATATAATTTCTTAATTTATCTTTTAATAAGAGATAGTTCATTAGTTTATTTCTTTTCTATCATTTTATATTAAAAAAAATTCAACTTTTCAATTTCTTTATCAAATTTCATTAGCAAGAATTAGCAATAAAACTCTAAAATAACGTAAAATATATTTTTGGAAATTTTAAGAAGCAAAAAATCGAAATGTTACCGTTAAGAATTAAATAAAATTAGTTAGTTATCAAAATACAATTGATAAAATGTATAAATTATATCAAATGAAAGCATAATTTTATTTATTCAAAATATTAATGATTAGAAATTACATTTTAAATTTCATTTATATTTCTGTTTTAATTATTCAATTTCATTGGAGCAAATAATAATTGTAATTTATTCTACATCAGTCAATTTGTGAATTGAAATCACAAATTGATGATAACTCTCAATACTATTATTAGAGAAAAGCAAAGAATGGCAAAACTGACAGAGAGAGAGAGAGGGAGAGAGAGGAAGAGAAAGAGAGAAAAAGTAAATAAGAAATTAAAATTAAAAATACTTCGGAGAGGGAAGATCATCAATTACTCACTCAGTGCACATCCGGAAAAAAGGAAAAAAAAAAAGGAACGAACGTAGATTTTCTGCTTTTCCTCTTATTTTTTTCAATGTAAATTATCCATCAGAAAAAAATTTATATATATATTACAGATTATTTAATCTGTAAAATTATCATTGCTTTACAACACAATTTTTTCCTACAATTTTTGTTTTTCCTTTCTAAGGATTCAATTAATTAATTATTAATTGAATGAATGATTAACTGATAATAAATTAATTTAAGCAAATATTTCATTTATTTGCTCATAAACTAGTATTTATAACATTTCTATCAGCAAAGGCTAACATTTACTTTTTGTTAATATAACAATAATTAATTTCGTATTTGTTTTCTTTTCTTTTTTTTTTCTGTAATAATTTTACTTTGTCTCAAATTCAAAAGCCATTTAATTTCTAAATTCTTTCAATTTCATACATTAATTTTCACAAATAAATCAATAATTTTAGTCATTTTAAACATTTTCAATTTTTTTTTTTTTTTTTTTAAATCAATACAAAACTTTTTTTTTTTTTTAAAATCTTCATAGTTTCATTGAAGTCTTAATCAAAGCCTTTGTTAGGAAATTCAATATTGTAGTCACAAGTAAGTCTGTCCATTAATGAAATTCTGTGTATGTTTGTATGTATGCATGTGTGCATGTATGTATGTATGTATGTATGTATGTGTGTATGTCTGTACAGGCCTTTATATCCATCTCATATAAGTTAGATTTCATTCTTGCCTTCATTTATTTTTCTACAACTAATAAATTTTTAATCATTATGTTAGCAAAAGAATAACAATGTACGATTATTTTGTTTAGGCTAATGAACATTTACTAGGCTCTTTTTTATTGGCTAAAATTTGCATTATATAAATAATGTAATATTGTAAAATATAAAATTTAATTTTAAACAAAACTGAAAGATTCATTTTTAATTTATTTAAATTTAATGAAATATAATTAACGATCTGTTTCATTATATCATTTAATTTAATCAGAAATGAATTAAATCCAATGACAGTGATAAAAAAGATTAAATGAAAAACATAAAAGCAATTTAATTTATATATGCAATTCCATTCCCTCAGGAAAATTAAATATGCTTATTTGATTTCTCAAATATTATTCATACAATTAGTTTGCTTTCTGAACTTTTAACCATAAAATTAATCTTTCGCATAATTTCATAGCTACTTTAACAATTTCAAATTTGCTCACTTTAGTTTAATACAATTTCAGCCTAAGAATCTAATTTTATGAATTCTTTGATCAATCAATATTGCTCAATGTAAAAATGATCAATCAATTAAATAAACTAACACAACTTAGTATATTTCAACAGAATAATAGAATTTTTAAAAAAAATTTTTGCAAAATTTCAAAAAGCATTTTCCTTTTTTTTTTTTTATTTTTGCCAATTCATTTTCGTAATATAAATAATAAAAAATTCATTTTTGATTTATTTAAATTTAATAAAATATAATTATCGACCTGTTCATTATTCAATGACACTGATAAAATAGATATGTATCAGTAAGAAAGAGAGAGAGAGAGGGAGAGAGAGGGAGAGAGAGAGAGAGAGGGAGAGAGAGAGGGATGTCACTAATTAATGAATGATAATGATAATAGCAGCAGTATTAGTTAGTTAGTATTTCTCTTTCATTTCTTCTCTCATTAACAAAGGATAAATTAGAGTTAAGTTGTAACAATAAGACAGATACATTTCATCTATTCCCTTTGAAAAATGAAATTAGTACAATTTCTGTTTAAAATCAATTTGTAAACCCCCTCCCTCCCTCTCTCTCTCTCTCTCTCCCTCTGTCCTTTCTCTCTCTCACTCCGTGTCTGTTTTCTTCCTTTTTGTCAGTAATTTTATTTAAATCTTTCTCTCTTTTTTTGTTTTGACAATGTTTAATTATTCTCACACATATCCTATCATTATTAATAATTGATTAATGTACTGTAAAATATATTATAATTCTAATTATTTAATTATTTGTTAAATTGTTAATAAGATATTGCAGTAATAAAATTTTGATCAATCAATCAATTAATCAATCAATCAATTAACCAATCAATCAATCAATCAATCATTTAATCAATCAGTTAATCTGCTATGATATCTTTTATTAATTTAGACTAAAAAATGATGGCAACAAAAAAAGAGAAAAAAAAAACTAAATGAAATTAAACATCCAAATCCATTGCATTGGCATAAATATTATCAAAAAAAAAGCTTTCAATGTTATATCAAAAAAAAAAAAATTTAACATTTTACCAATAAACTTTTTATCGTTTTCATTTGAAATTTACTATTATACACTTTTTTTTTTCTTTTCTTTTTTTGATAATTTTAGTTTTTAATACATTTTCAAATTAAAAAAGTTTTTTCTTGAATATTTTTTTTTTTTTGAATAATTAATACTTTCAAATTATACTTGCAGCGACGAAAATTCTAATATTTGATTGATTTGCAAACTTTAAACTTTGTCAAATTTTTATTTCATTTAATCATTTCTCGGCTAAAAATGATTATGGAAGAAAAAAAAATGTATTTTAACGTATTTTATTAAATTTATTTGTGTGTGCACAAATTTGCATAACACATACACATACACACACACACACACACACACACACACACACACACACACACATACATACATACATACATACATACACTATCCTAAATATTCGGAAGCTATAAAAAAAAAATTTTTTTTCATCAATGAATTTACGGAAAAAGATTTCCTTATTAAATTTGTTTGCCATTCTAAAATTGTAAAAGTATTTGAGCTGAGCCTTTTTATTATTTATAAACGAAAACAAATTTCAATTTTAAATACTTACTTATTTTTACTTTGTCATTTTTTTTCTTACATCAATAAAGTAAGCACAATGTGATAGAGACAATTGATAAAGAAAATTAGCACAGTTGTTGAAAGTTAAAATTATTTTCAGAGAAATTTAATGAGCAAAATAATTTGATCGAAATAGTAAGATTAAGGAGAATTAATTTTTATTAAAAGAAAAAAAAAAACAAAAACGATTAAAAAAATTTTTTTAAATTTCTTTTCATTTAGATAATACTAAATTATGTTTAACTTTTTGAGATATTTTAAAATATTTTTTTTTTTTAAAAAAAATGTAGTATAAATCATTGCTGCTTATTTTTTATCATTAAACGGAAATTATTAATATAATTTATTCAGCTGTAATCTAATTTCATCAAAAAAAAAAGAAAGAAAAAGCTCATTCTATTGCTAAAACAAACATTAATAATAATAAAATTCGTGTTATAAGTTTTATTTTATTTTTACTTATCAAAAAGCAAAAGCTTTGAATTTTTTTTTTCTAAAAATAATTTTGAAAAAAAAAATTGAAGCCTAAATCATAACAGCTATAACTTAATTTTTAGAGGAATGGCAAAAAAAAAAATTTCTTTCATTTCGTTTTTCGTTCTTTTTCTTTTTTAAGTCGATATTTGATAGTTGTATATCACTCCACAATTAATTGAAATAATTATTTCCAGTTTTAAATTTCCAGTATTGTAGTAATTGATTAATTGTGAGTGTTATTATCAGTGTGCTTATCATTATTATTATTATTATTATTATTATTAATATTATTACTATTATTACTGTTATTATTATTATTATTATTATTATTATTATTATTATTATTATTATTATTATTATTATTATTATTATTATTATTATTACAATTATTATTGATGATCATTGCATGAAAATAGTTTGTTGATTTTTGAAAATGTTTGATAAATATCTCTTAAGTAAATGTGACATGGTTAATTGAAATTTAATCTAATATGTTATATGTTTTGAATGCTTTTCTTCATCACTATAGTTTACTTTAAGTTACTTTCCTATATAAAATATACTTTACTTTAAGTTATCTTTCTATATCAAATATACTTTACTTTAAGTTACTTTTCTATATCAAATATACTTTAATTTAAGTTACTTTTCTATATCAAATATACTTTAATTTAAGTTACTTTTCTATATCAAATATACTTTAATTTAAGTTACTTTTCTATATCAGATATACTTTACTTTAGATTAGTTGAAAAAGAAAAAAAGAAAGAAGCAAGTAGCATATGATATTTATCATTTTTATCTCTTTTCCTTTGATCATTCTAAACTATTTATCATTTTTATCACTTCTTGTTTATTTCTTTTTTCTTTTTGATATTGAAATGTTAAAGCTGCAAAGCAAATAATATAAGAAGCTAAATTATTCATTCTATAAGCATTCACAACATTAGATATGTTAAGTAATCGTAGAATACTCTAATCATTTTATTCAAATGAGTGTAAATATTCTATGAGCAATAAATTATTTTAATTAATTTTACTATTATTATGAATAAATTAAGCTTAGATTACTTTGCGTGAATGAATGAATGAATGAATGAAAATTTGTTAAATGTTAATTTTGCTTTTCTTTTTAAAAAAAATTTATCGGTTGGTTATATTATTTGTTTATTATATCATAAAACAAATTTTATAAATACTTAATGATAAAAAATAAAAATAAAATTTTGCAAAAATTTCAAGAAAACTTTTTTTTTTTAAATTTTGGTTTACAAGTATGAAAAAGTGCAATAAAATTTGGTACATTCTATACTAACTTTTTTTTTTAAAAAAAAAGGAAAAAAATGTTTTCACTACAAATGCGCAAAATTGAAAATATCAAAAATTGTGTAAAGAGTTTAAAAAAAAAAAAAAATGAGAGAAAAAAATTTAGAAAGCACTTCTTATAGATCAATAATTATGTTTTCAATCTTTTATTTATTTATTTTCTTATTACTAAACAAAAAATCATTTTTCTCTCTCTCTCATTTAATCTAATACATTTACTATCATATTTATCATTTCTTTTTTTTTTTTTTTTGTTTTTGTATTTCTTATCAATTATCAAATTCTTATCATATCTTTTTTTAAATACATGTAGCATTAATCAATAATGTATAAATTAATCGATTATGTACTGTTGATCAAATTAAAATTTAATTATTTTGCAGTATTTATTTCAATGAAATTAAAATGATTGTAATATGCAAAAAAATGGATAAGAATATAAATCAGATTGAAATGAAATTAAACGATGTGAAATGAAATGTTGTCTGTACAATTTATCATATCATTTTCACTGATTATTTTACTTTGTTTACAAATTAATCCATCTGAATTATTATTTTGTCCAAATAAATGTTATTGCGAGAATTCTGAAATGGTTAGTTTTATTTCGAAAATTTTGATATATTATCAATTAATGAATAAATAAAAAGATGAAATGAGTTGAACTTAGGAATATCTAAGAAAATACAAATTAAAAATGTTATTCAGATTTTAATTTTATAGATTTAAACAAACAAATTTTGATTAAAGAAAAGTTCTTTAATCGTAGGAAAAGCTATTATCATTTTTACTTACAGCAGTTTTATTCAAAAAAAAAATGATAATAATAATAAAAAAATAAATAAACAAATATTAATAAATATATGCGCAATAAGATAAAGTTAAAATTTGGAAATTGTCATAAAATTCTTAAATTCTCAGAGCAAAATTATTCTTTAAAGAATTGTTTTCGGTTTTTTAATTTTTTTCAGCTTCGTAAAAATTCGTATAGAAAATATTAATTTAACATTCAAAGTTTGATGCAAAAGTATCAGAATTGATGCAATTATTCTTTCAATAATAAAAAAAAAAAAACAAAACTAATTGATTAGTAAAATTTCACTTTGAGTTTATCAAAATTTCAGGCATAAAATATAAAATTTCAGGTTGATTGTGAAGGTGCACATTTCGAACAGGTACCTAACATATTGAAAACAAAAGTTCGTATTTTAAGGATTAAAAATTCTTCCATTTCAATCATTCAAAAGGGTGCTTTTAAGAGGTATTTTTCAAATTACATTTTTATTTTATTTATTTATTTTTTTGATTCCATTTCTTTCCATAAGAAAAAAATCTTAAAAGCCAAAGGAAAAGTTGTGATATAGTAGCGTAGGCTTTTTCATCATATCAAATCAAATAGTCTAAACAATCAACAGTTTAATAATTAAATGAAATTAAAACAATTAAATTGATTGTTTAAATAATCTATTAACACACTTTTTTTAATGATAAGAATATACAATCTCTTATCAAACACATTACTTAATCTTATCATATAGTGTTACTTAACAAAATTATAGTAATAGTGATAATTGTTAAGATTTTTAATTTAAATTTATTTTTCAGAAACCAATAAACTAATTGGATATCAGTTTCTGTACTTGAAATGTACTTTTTTTTCTAATATAAAAGAATTTAAATAATATAGAAATAAATTCCATATGAAAGAAACTTGTTAGACAAGCGGAAAAGAAAATGAATAAAGCATTTTCGGTTCAGATTATAGCGCCTCATATAAATTACATATGCATGCATACAATGGTCATTAGCGCCAGGAAATGTTTATTAGCGCGAGCAAATGCAGCCACTTTTTTTTTAATTTAAAAAGATTAATTTTCTATTATCAGTGAAGAGATAAAATTAATCGTATATGCTAAAATGATGTGTTAATTTAATAACTCAATTTACAGTAAACAAAAAGACGTATTATTTAAGTTGCAAAATAAAAAAAAAAACAAATTTAAATATTTAATAATTTAATTTAATGAAAACTTTATTTGACTTTTGTTTTAATTTTTTAATAATAACATTTTTGTATATTTGCTAATATTGAAAACAAACGAGCAAACAACAAATGAATAAACAAACACAGACAAGCAAACAACAAACAAATAAACAAGCAAGCTTTCCAATGCTTTTGAAATGTGTTATGACGCTTATTAAAATATTACTACTAGAAAAAGTTAATTAATTTACAACATTTTTCATTTCGCACAGTAAATATCTTTACTCATTGTAAATTTTATTTAACTTGAAAGTATTTAAATTTTTATTGGATTTTTTCGATAAGTACCTTAATAATTCTATATTAATAATTATATGACAATAATAGTATAATAGAAATAGCTAATTTAATACACAATTAAATAATTAATGCATTATTGGTTGAGGTACACAGACCTAAAAGAATTAATAATCGAGAATTGCGACCAGTTGCATACAATTGAAAAATTTGCATTCAAAGGTTTAAGTCGTTTGAAGTAAGTTTTTACTTTAATTTGCTGAAATTTTTCAACAATCAAATTTATTATTATTTTCAACAAAAAAAAATTCTTTTTTTTTTCCTAAATGAATTTGTCAGTTAAATATTTTAAGTCAGAGTTAATATTAACAAATCCTGAAATTAATTAAAAATATTGTCAAGTAAAAATATTCTTTTAAGCATTTGATAGAAATTTTGAAATTAGTAAACATTAAATAAGAATGTTTCTAATTTTTTGAAATAAATGAAAATTCATAATCAATTAAGTAACATAATGTTAAATTATTCATATTTACAACAATACTAAGTTAGAATTTACATATAAATGCAGATCTCTTTATAATGATAACGATAATGATAATGATAGCGATCATAATAATAATAATAATAATAATAGTAATAGAAATGATATAATACATTTAAATTTAACTTCATTAATAAATGTTAAAATTAATAAATAAATTTATAAAATAACTGTTTAAGCCTAATTATTTACATTTTCCCGTTCATTGTGACCAATTATTCGCTTATTTATCATTTCTTTTATATTTTAATTTTCAGTAATTTCATTATAACAAATAAAAATTATGATTACTATTACTTTAAGAAAGTTTAAAAATTGATAAAATATTTTGAAAATATTTTATTTTTTCTTTTTCAGATTACTTCGTTTAGCTAATAATCCAACATTAAATAATATTGCAAAGAATGCATTTTCACAAATAACAAACAGGCATGGCTTACGAATTCAATTAATTAATAATAGTTTTAGTCGAATACGACAGGGTTTATTCAGGTCATTAATTATTATCATTTGAATTTCTTTTTATTATTTTTAACTTTTATTTGTTATAAAATTAAAAATTATTTAATTAATTTTGATTTATTACATTTAATCAAAATGAAATCGATTTGTAATAAATAGTCTGAAATAATCATATTTTGATCAAATTCTTATAATATTACAGGCAATTAAATCATTTGAGAGAATTTACACTGCAAGGTGAAAATTTAAAAATTGAAGTGAATGCATTTGCAAGTTTTACGCAAGTTGATTTTTTCAATTTATTCGGTGTAATTTCATTTGGATTACAATCATTTGAAAATACTTCCAGAATACATAGGTAATAATTATTTTTAATTGATGATAAAAACTTTTAATTTTATAACTTAAATATTAATTTTATTCATTCTTCCTACTTTACAATTTTTATCATATTTATTCCTAGAAAAAATGAGCAAAATGTTAACTAATCTTTCATTGCTTACTTTTTAAAGTAACTTTTAAAGCAACTCAAACTTTCATTACTTTATTCCATAAGGATAAATTAATTCAACAGTTGGTTAGTATAAATTAATTTAAATTTTAAATTCAACAAAAAAAAAAAAAAACATATATACATTAGTGTTGGCGCAAAAACTCAAATAAATGCAGCAACAAAATGCGCCTTCTTGATAATGAGAAATTTGATAATATTATTATATATCTATCAGCTCAATTTTATTTCATCCATCCATCATTATGTAATATTTTTTTTTCTCGAAAGTTTTTCTTTGAAACATTTTTCTCTTTTTTTTTAGACTTGAAATCAGTCATTCACAATTTTCGATCACAGCTGGCGTATTTACTGCTTTATCACATATACGAGAAGTAAACATATATTTACAATTCATTTCTTATTTAAGTTAAATAAAAAAAAAAAGTGAAATACCTAAGTGTTTTTTTTTAATTTTTAAAATATTTAAAAAAAAAATACTTTTTTGATAATTGTAATTTCTTGATTGTAAAAAAAGAAAAGAATAATTTATTGTGTTTATAGATTCATATTATTTCAAATGAAATTGATACGATTGATACGGAAGCATTTACCGGTCTTTATACAATTGGTTCATTAATAATAACTGATAATAAAATTGGTAATATTTCGGGTTATGCATTTGCAACAATTGTTAATATCGGTGAGATTATTATTGAACGGAATACTATCCGGAATCTGGAAACGGAAGCATTAATAAGTGAAGCATGGCAAATTAGATTTCAGGATAATATCCTGTACTGTAGTTGTGCTATTAATTGGCTCAGTTATATCAATGTTTGTTCTTCATTTTATATTTAAATATTAAAACAAAAATTTGTTTTTCCTAGGTTTATTAGGTTTTATTGTTTACGTCATTAATAATAATAATTCTTTTAATTTATTAAAAATACTAACTTATTAATTCTCTGAAGAAAAAATTTGCTAATTTGATAACTTTTATCAATTAGATAAATTGAATAATTGTTTAGCAGTACACATTTTAATAACATTTAATTTTGAACAAGAAATAAGTTAAAAACTTTAAGAGAAGTAAAAAAAGAATAAGAATAGATTTTCCTAAAACTTTTCTTAAAGCTTAATTCTTTAATTTAAATTTCAATTCAAAAAATTTTAATTATTGATTTATTTTTTTTTTTAGAATTCAGTATTACTAAAGAAGAATTTTTGTGGTGCTGAAGAATTTCATCGGTCTTTGTTAAACTATAAGCCGAATTGTCTACGGCCGAAAAGAGGACTGTCTGCAACAATTATTACAAGAACTCGTCATTTCATTATTATCTTTTGCTTGTTTATTGTTATGTTTTATCACAAAACAATCTGATTGTTTCTTTTCTTTTTTTTTTATCCAAAAATTGTAAAATGCAAAGGTCAGAGGGCATTTGAGAATTATTAGATTTGTATTTTGTGCATTTGCATTTTGTTAATTTTTAATTTATTTTTGGTATACTTATTATTAATTCCTAACTAATAACTTCTAATCTCTTGAACAATGTCAAATGTCAAATAATAGAATTATCGTCTTCCAGGGATTTAATTTTATTAATTTTAGTTATTAACTGATATGTTAATTGCGATTAGATTAAATTTCAAATTTCAAAAATGCAAAGTTTAAAAGTTTTAAAGTGAGTCATTAGTAAATAATTTGTTAAAAATATAGTTTCTTTTTTCAATATGTTAGTACTACTGTTATTAGTAAATAATATCGCTACCAATTACTTCAATGTCTTTCATTTTATTAAATATCCATTTTTTATATCTAAAATTATTCCTTGCATTGTTTAATTAAAATTTAAAATTCAATCATATCCAGGCTTATTATTATCATTATTATTATTACTATTACTATTATTATTATTATTTTTATTATTAAATGTTATCGCCAGTTTGCTGCTAAATTCTTGTTCATTTGGTTTTATTATTGCTAATTTTTTAATTTTTTTCTCAGGAAAAACGATATAGAAATGAATGATTTGATAATCACTTATATTTGTTGAAAATATTGCACCTCAAAACATTTCGATAATTAAAAAGTTATATTAAATTTATTCTTAAAGTTCAAAAATTTCTAAAAATATTTTTTTATTTGTTTTTTAGCAATAATAATTCAATTTCATTTTCTTTTCATAATTTTCTATTCGAAAATGTTTAACTTTTTCCTAATTTTAAATCAATTTTTTTCTCATAAACTACTGAATATGCGTAAAAATTTTTGTCTGTTGAAATGATAATTTTTTCCTTTTTTTTTTAATATGTCCTATTTAATTAGTAAATTTGAAATTGATTTAAATATGTATTTATTCGGGTCATATGTGTTACATTTTTGCGCTTATTATTACATATTAACAAATAAAAATATATAATGATTAAACTTTATTAACGCAAATTAATTATTTCCATTTCAAATTTAAATGCTTTATAAAAAAACAAGCAAAAGTTATTTCGAAAAAAAAAATGAATAATATAATTTTATCAGCGATGTATACAATCTCGTGATTCTTTCTCGAAAATAATTTGCATATTAATAGTACCAATATCAAAGAATTTCTCCACTTGTGTACCACTACTCACATATGATGATGGTATTTCAAATGCTATTTTTCGTTGACAAGGCTAAAATGATAATTGATATGATATGAAATAATCATTAATTGAAATTATCATTATTATATTACCGCAAAAAAAAAAGAAAGAAATTAGCAAAGATTTTTAAGTGAAAGATTTAAAAATTAAGAAAAATAATAATAATAATAATAATAATAGTAGAAAAAATTTATATTACAATTAGAAATTTTATTAAATTAAAAAAATCATATAGCTTACCATTATCTGATCATCACAATCATGATAAATCTTGAGAATAGGATTGATAGTAGTGATCTCACTGGTATGACCACTCAATTCGAAATAACCCTGAGCATTTGTCCTTCCTTCTTGTAGTAAATCATCAATGTCTATTGCTAAAGATTAATTAATAGAGAGTGTAATAATAATAATAGTAATTCATCCTTTCCTTTTTACCTATTATTTTTGATCTCTGAGACTAATATAAAATTATTTACAAACAAATAAATTAGTTAAATTCAATATGATTAAAATGATTAACTGAATATATTGCGATTAACTGAATATACTCATGTAATGCAATTAATATTTTACAAATGATGAAAAGAAATTGAAAAACAAAAGTTATTTTCGATCAAATATCACTGATATGGTTAGAATGGTAGAATTATCAAATCAAATATCACTGATATGGTTAGAATGGTAGAATTATCAAATCAAATATCACTGATATGGTTAGAATGGTAGAATTATCAAATCAAATATCACTGATATGGTTAGAATGGTAGAATTATCAAATCAAATATCACTGATATGGTTAGAATGGTAGAATTATCAAATCAAATATCACTGATATGGTTAGAATGGTAGAATTATCAAATCAAATATCACTGATATGGTTAGAATGGTAGAATTATCAAATCAAATATCACTGATATGGTTAGAATGGATGACTCTTTTAAATAGTCATTTCGTTTTTGCAAGAAAAAAGTGAAGAAGTTCATCAATAAATTAAATGAATTTAAAGGAATAGAATTTTAATACTAAACAAACCGTCTTCATCCCATAATTTTACTTTAGTATTTGCTAAGGGTAAATCACCGCACATCAAAATACCTCGAACGCCAGCACTTTGTGTTCGAAATCCATTTACTGAACACAATGTTATTGACAATGCAAGAAAAACAAACATTTGTAAATCTGAAATAAATATTATTACAAACTTCTTATCATCAAATTTTATCATTTCCATCAAACATAGCAATTATTTATCATTTTAGTAGTAATATCCTCAAATTAATGTTCTATCTAATTAATCTTCTAGTTAATTAAACTAATTGATATGTTACTTTATGATTAGTGATTAATTGTTTCTTCTTATCATTCTATTTCAAAATAGAATGATAGGATAACAAATGCATTTACTTGTGATTGTGCAAGAAAAAAAAAATAATAGCATTTAAATTAACAAATATTTGGAAAAAAATTAAACAGATTTCAGCATTTTTTTTTTTGATTTCTGTATTTAAAATTAACCAATTTCTGTTTTTTTTCTTTGTTAAACTTTTTTTTTCTTAAAAACTGCTATTTTTAATTTCAATATCAATTCAATAAAGCTATGTGTGGAAAAATTGAAAGTTTCTGAATGAATTTTTTGTATAATTCAAAAGTTTTTAATTGTAAAAAATTTTAACACAAATAATCTTTCTCTAAAATATTTGGTAAAAAGAAAAGAAACACTTAATCTATATAAAATATTATTAAACATTTAATCTTAGAATATTATTTTGTTGAAAAATTGATTTCACATATATTTAATCACATATTCATTTCTTTCATATATTGCGTAAAAATTTCAAATAAAAGAAAAGAAAATGACAAAATCAGTTTAATCAAAAATTTTTTTAAAGATTAAAAAAAACCAAAATCAAAATGTGTAAATTCAACTTACTCTATTAATCATTAACATTTATCACTAAAAGTGTAACTAAATATATTATCAAATTGTGTCTATCATTCTTCCTTCTAATATTTGAATAAAGTATTTCCCTAACAAATTGTCAATATGTCAAGTTAAGAATGTATTTTCATTACTTTATGATATGTCTCATCAGAACCAGTTTTTAAATTTCAACATATTATTGATATGTTAACACTAACAATTTTATCATCGATCACTCTTAACTTTCTCTCTTATCAACAATATCAAATTCATTCTTTTTAGAAGAAAAAGACTAATAAACAAAAAATATGAATGAGTTAAAATGAATGATACATTCAAATGGGATATTTTACATTAAATATTATTAATATTAACTTTTGTTTTAAAATGTTATTTCTTAATTTAATGTTGTGTTAGATGCATTCTTCACAATGTAAAACAAATCAAAAAATTGAAATGTTTAAGAAGACAGTTTATTAAGCAATTTTTTATTAATTCCATTTCAAATACAGTGCATCATCATTCGTACAAACATTCATGTCAGAAAATTTGGAATGAATTTTAATCATTGCAAGTAAACTTTATAGCACACATTAAAATACAATCATGCTTTACAAAAGTTTTCAGTAAATTTAAGAAAAAACACGAAATTCAGACATTCTCAGTCTTATTCTTTTTTTTTAAAAAAAAAAAAATAGAAATTTATATTAAAAAATAGAATGAAAATTTCGAAAAAAATAAGGCCGAAGAAAACATTATGATATTTATAAAGCTTTTCTGGAATCAATTTTGGACAAAATAAATAAAATTCTACTATTACTAGAACCAGAATTTTCGGAAAAATTAGTCCCAGAATGATTAATCTTGATGAAACCATTGTACACCTGACAAAATAAAGTGTAATAAAGTTTTCTATTAGTGACATAATAATAAAATTTATAACACAAAAAATAAAAATTAAAAATAAAAAAATAAAAAATTTATATTCTTAATATAAACTCTGCTTAATTTCGAAACTATTCTCTTGTCTATTAGAATTTGAAAAAGAAATGAGAAAGCAATGCAGTATATAAAGAGAAAATTATAAATTTATTTATGTTTTCTTCGAATTTCTTATTCCAGGATACCATTCCTCATCCGACGACTCCTTCGAACTGTTTTGTTTTCGGAGCGGAATCTTTGCTTAAACATAAATCAAATAAAACCATTTCATTTTTACTGCTTTTCACTCTCATTTCAAAGGAAAGATTGAGGTATAATAACATATATATAACATACGATGCATATCCTTCATTATTACAAATTCCTTTAGTTTTTTACGAAAGAAAGGAATAATGTTTTGGTATATTCAATTCTAATTCATAAAATTCTAATTCAATTAAAAAATAAGACTAATTGGACAATTAAAATTAATAAATACACGAGAAAGTAATTATACGTACTTGAAGACTGTTTTCCATTAGTTCGCACATTATATCGTTTATTTTGTGAACTGTATCGCCCTCAAAATGCTTCTAATTAATTATACTTTTTAAAAATTTAGTTTTTACATTTAATTTAAGCTAATAACAAGTCTTCAGTGGCATCTAAACACCAATAATGTAAAATACAAATAAAACAAATTGATAAGGAATCAGTCAGTCTTATAAGTAATCACACATGTTTTTACCTTAAATATGTTTAATTTAGACAAAATTTTTTTTCACCCACAGCTATTAGTGATAGAAGCAAAGCAAAAGCACGAAAGTAATAAAACGAATATCTAAAACCTTTCTTCCGCGGTGAATGTTCCATAATATTGTTGCTAACTTTCTCTTTACTACTGAACCAGAATCGATTGGTAAATCTGTTTCGTTTGCGAGATATATCTAAACTTTTTTTTTTAATTTGATATTAAACTGCTATAAGAAAAGATCACGTTTTGCCAGAAGAAAAATTATTCAAAATTTACTGGTGCTGCTAAAAAAGCATTTACAACTTATTCATATGGAATATAATTTCAGTAACTGTTTAAGGGTCTAATTTTCAGTTCATTGTTGATACAAAAAGAAAAAAAGTACACTATTTTCATGCATAACAAAAATTTTTGGTATTGTGCACTGATGTTTGCTTAATTTATTTAAATAGTACTTTTACATTTTAAATTTGTTACCTTATCATATATAAACTTCAAAGATGGTTTCCTATAAAAGAATCATCGATTTTTTACATTTCATATTTACGTTTTCTTACAAAACTATGTAAAATACACTCGAAAAAAGCAAACTTTTTTTCATTTAATTCTCCAATTTAAACTCTTCTCTGTATTATTCAAATAGCTCTAAATCACCTAACAAAGTTAAGAGAAATATATATAAAAATATGCTTCTATCTTAATAGTTTCACTAGTTTCAACACTACATCACTTATCATTATATCCGTATTTAATCACAAAAAAATGAGACCTTTTTTTCTAGATTTGGAGATAGAAATTTCTGCAAATGTTCCATTTTCAGCTGTTTCATCCGTAGTATCCGAATAATCAGATCTCATTAAGTATTCATCTCCATCGTCTAGTGCTGCTAAAATATTTCAGTTAAATATTGCTCCTGAAAAAAAAAAGCGCACTTGTCCTGTTATACAAAAACAACTCACGTGATTCGCTATCTTCCGATTCGCTATCATCTGCACTGCAAATATTATCAAGATTCTTATTTCTAGAAGTACCATTTTCATAAATGCGACGATACTGAAAATGCATTAAACAATAAGATATCACAATCTACGATATCATAAGCGGATCAATAAATGTTCGTTTATCAACTGCAGAATGTGGATAGAATTGGTTAGCAGATTTCTTACTTTATATTCAAATCCACAACAATTACAAGTATATTCTTTATATAGTCAGCAAAATTAAATTCCGTCATTGTTAACAAAGTTAAAAATTCAAAACCCACCACTAATTTTGTCAATTAATTCAAATCACTGTAAAGCCATAAAAATGTAACCCATTAAAGTTTAAAACATTTTAATAGTATTTATGATTGATTGTCATTCACAACGGCGTTCCCCTATTTAATTTAACTTGATACCACTACATGTGAGACTTTTTAAAGAAAGTTTGACATGCATAATCCCATATTATCCTGCTTAATTCATCAGCTAGTTAGGCATTTACTTACTGACAAAGATTTTCAAAAAACAAAAATTTCATTTCTTCCTTTTGAACAAAAGTTTTTCTTAAACAAGCAAAGGTTTGAGTCTAATCAAAAGATAGCTTAAAATATGATTTATATCATAAGTGTTCTATAGAAGGACCATAACGTATCTTAATCTAAAGTTTTTTAGACGCTCATGGTTCAAGAGTAAATTGATTTTTTAAAGATCAGTCCAGTTTCCTATTTGGGATGAAACGAAGATATGGAAGCATACATTGTGGAGTAAACATGTATGTATATGAAGAAAAAAGATAAGAAAAAGTATTGTATAAAAACAATAAAAACTGCATACTGATATATGAGAAAAAATCTTGTAAATCAATCAGTGATAGAAATACAAGAATGGATGAATTAAGATAAATGATTGGTACTTAAAAGAACGTATTTCTCTGAACCAACCTTGAGATCTTTACAGTCATCTGGCGCAAGCTCTGCTTCTAATGTACAGTTTGGTAAAAGATTTTGGACATATGTAAAGTGTTCAGCAGAAAGTGCACCCAAAACTCGACCATCCAAAATTAGCTTCTTTAACTGTTTTCGTAAAATAGGATGGATACTTTCAACTGCATTACATATTCGACTCGATAAGCCTAGTATCTTTGTTTCAGGGACTGAAAAAGAGACATGAACTTGTATCTTTCATTTTGAAATGACAATTATTCAACGAAAATCTTCTACCAGTTGGTGAAAGTATATTGAAAAGGAAAAAAGATCTCTACCTATATACACCGACATTATTTTAAAACTTTATATAATATTTAATGAACTGCAATTCAAGATTGACTCACCGCAACATACAATTCCCAAAGTTTCCAATCGAATAGGAATGCAATTCATGCCGTCCTCGCCTGTTATCAGTGATAACGTTTCGAAAAATTCAAAAAAGTACCTAGAACATTAAATGTTAGCAGCGAATACATATTCAACACGTAGTTTTCTTATGTTTAAAGAGAACCGCTTTCTGACTTAGCAAAATAGCATTTTTATAGGCGCTAAACTCTTCTTCCAATAGAACTATTCATTGGGAAAAATTTCATTCTGGAAGATGGA